GCCAGAAGGAACGAAACCCATTAGTGGTAGTATAGTTGACCTGCAGTCATATAATATAAATGGCAATTGCTTCTAAAAGCTGAAGGCGAAAGAGCTTAACTAGGACGAAATTAATAAAAGAGGCTTTGATTTGACCATAATTAATGAGAAGATCAAGGATGACGGAGGTCCCGTTATGTACTTGCTTTATCTATAGTTGTTACATGTACCCCAAGGATGGAATTGAGATGACTTTGCTTACAGTCGTCTTGACCCTTCCCCATGCCAATATAAAATTCACCTTGCTGGCTTCAGCTAGAAGCTGACTATGCCAGGCAAATTCTAGGTCCTGGTGGTAGGCAAGCATAAGCCAAATAATTGGGTTCAAGTCCTAAGGCAGAAATTATTATCCGCCTGGTCTTAATCCCATAGAGACATATATTATATAAACAGCGATTTATAAGCACTGTTGGGATTTGTAAACGGTAAACACTCTTTCTTCAGGAATATGATCGACCAAAACGGATCGGGTCGCTCTCTATATGCGAGGAAGGCATCGGCATGATTGATTGTTTCACATTCCTCTCCAGGCAACGGGATCCGCCCTCCGCGATCACTGATTTTAGCAGCCAGCCACATTTCACCAGCAGGCAATCACCTTGATATCCACCCGATGATAGTCGTAATCCTGACGATCACTATAACACCTGACCTAAAAGAGGTATCCAGGACAATTAACAACCTAAGGGCCTACCCGCGTTGACTGTTTTGAAAGCAAGGCGGCCAGTGATTCCCGAAGCCCTAATAAAGAATTAGCCGTCGCTGGCTGGTACTGTCAGAATACGATACTCCATATTGGACATCATGTGAAGTAATATAGTGACGTGGCTATATAAGCCGTGCCTCCAGAAGAGGAAGGGTAATGAGAACACATCACAACGGATTCAGAGAATATTCAGGCTCTCATATAATTCCATATATTTCTGACAATAACCTACCGTAGGAAGCCACATGACGCCTCATTCTCGGCTCCTTCTCCCCTGTCATGAACCTATCCAATCACCCCATACTTGATGGGTGTGAAGGAAGCAGTAAAGGTCGTACATGCATGCCCAAAGCTCAAGAATTCATTCTTGGATACAAGGCGGCATGACTCGCTGCGCGATACTGAATTTGTTTACTAAAATAACGTAATTAGCGTGATTGGCTCCGGTATGTCGTCCAGGGTCCTTGGAAAGTACGGTCAAAAATTTTCTATCGTGCTGTGTTTCTTTATTCTTTTTTTTTTTTTTTGGTTTTTTATATTTTGGCCAGTTTTTCAGCAACCTTGTCTAGGACCACTCCCCGCATGGCTTGTAGAGTCTCACAACATCCCTCAGTAATATCTGCAGGGGAATGTGTCAGAGATTCCAATAGGCTACGGGACTTGGACTGGATGCCTGGACTAGCTCAGATATCTGTCAGTTCAAGATCACACAGCAAAATGTGAATGAAGAACTTGTCTGAGAAGCAGTTAAAGTGATGTAACATATAATACGTCTATTTATGTAAGGCCGACTAGACAATATCTTCGAATAGATATGCCCTTGAAAATTCTTGCGCGGAATATTTATATGGTGAAAACTGCACTGTCCCTAACCCAGAACAATTCTTTGTTCATTTTCCTTGTTTGAGGTACTAGCTATTCTGTTTGGGTGCGTCGGTCATGGGTAATAAAACTAGGCTGCCGGTACCAGAGGTAAGTGTACTTGCTGAGAAAGTATCTTCTTTCCATCCTTAAAGCTACACCTAGCGAGTTCTTCTAAGCTAGGGCAGCGACACTGAGGTCTTATAAATTTGGCCAAGTCCATTCCAACTAATCACAGAGAATTTCAAGTACTAGGCGGACCATGTATCGAGGTAAGCATGGCGTGACGACAACAAAGATGAGATTTGGCAGGTAACAAGACACAGCGGAGATTTATGTCAAGCACTGATGCGAATATATCCACGATCGATGCTGATATCCCACTCCGCCAGTACGCACTCAAGGAGCTCGATAAGATGGTGAAGGACTTTGCGAATTATCACCAGGAATTGAAGTCCGACTTGCCAAAGACACAAGCGGGCCACATAATGCATTACACCCAGCGGAGGCTCAGAAGGCACATATCATTCATGAGGAGAGAGAGGCGTTTTGGGAACTGTCCAAGTACGTCAGAGCGTGTTTTAGCGCCCTTACTTCTCGAAAGTATTCAGTATGTATCCCAACAATACACCTGATGCCCACTCTCTTTATTCTTTTCTGTTATTTGCAACCAGGTGGAAAATACCTGTTGGCCTGCGTACCAGGGTTGGACCCAACCCGGTATGTAGCAAATAGGCTCCAGACAATGCAGAAACAAGATTTCTGCTCACAAAGCTGCACGGGGAAATGGAGGAACGCAGGCTTAACCCTTTATTTTAACCTACGTTATGATCCAAGTGACCCCATACGGACAACCAGTGACCAGTGGCGGTTTGGCGTAATAACATCCATCTCGTTCTTGGCAGGTGGCCTTCAGCGTGTCAGTTCTTATTTACTAACTGTTAAAGCTCCAGAATACTTAACCTGTTACTACAGAGCACCCTTTTCGCAGACCCCCTCCAAGAGTATTTACTGGGTCGTAGGGGCACTATTTTCTTCCCTATTGGACCCATTGATCAAGCCCTCTCGGTCAGTCTCCTACATATGGGAATATGCAGAGCCACCACAGGCTTAGCACTGGCTGGGAAGGCGACGAGTGCACCATTACTGTAGGCTGAAGTGGCCCCCAATCACATCGGTGGTACGGCTGCCTTCTACTCTAACATTTTAGACATAGGGAGTCCTAGTCTTCAAAGAGTTCGTGAACTGAGTAGCAATTACCGCGCTTCCTAGCCATCTGGCAGTTGAGTGATGCATTAGGTATTTTCTTTGGAGCGGCATTCAACCTGGCAGTTCTCCAAATTGCCGTTTCTGGTACCATCGACTGGAGTGTAAACATCTCGGCCGTCTTGATACCGACAATTGTTCTAGCCTTACTGGTGAATTTATTCCCGTTATGCTGCCTCACTTGAGCGTGCTTGTTACACAATTTAATATCACCAGAATCTCTTCTACTGCTAATAAGACAGGAAAGGTTTGCAATCTGTCCCCCTTGCCTTCCCATGTACCGCCTGCTTATAACTTACCCTAAGGTTCAGGTATCTTCCCGCCTCTGAATCATTCATCTTATTCGGGCCGGGGCCAGCTCAACACCTCGCAGCTCGCGACATAATCTATTCACATTGCCAGTTGCGGATGGAATGTATGCCCACACAAGCACCTCTAGCTGTTGGAATAGAGAATGTGAAGATCCCGTTATATAGTATCTTAAAGTTTACTTATTTCCAACGCCTCAGCCTGACATTTTTGATGGCCGATCACGAAGAGCCGACGATATGCGCCGTTCTTATAACAGTTATTAGGCATTTTGACACCCTTAGTATGCATGCCCTTATCACTCTACTCAAATTAACAAGTCGACTGTTTACTCTGTGACCATGGCATTCCAGGTACACCAGTCCACATCCATTGAAAACCATTCTAAACCTGTCCAAATGTAATCTTCTTGTCTGGAACAATCCTTCCTAATGACAACGCATGTGGCATGACGGGTGTATGGGTGAGCCTTGCACTAGGCCTTAGTAACTTTGTGTAAGAAACCGGTTCCCCTCCCCAGCGCCATTCTGAATGGCATCACGCCAATTAACGGACACCGGTTTCGGTATACCTGCCTTGTGGCTCTTCGATAGAGTCAGTCGAGCAATAATGTTACTCCTAGATTTTGTCTATATATTTATAACTATGCTTACTCTGGTGTTCTCGTTTGAAAAACTATTAGCAGTGGCGTTCACGAGCCCATCGCTATCACCCTCGGTATTCTATTCATCATTGCATACTCGCCCAATGCAGGACCAGCACTGTGGGCCATCTCAGCCGAGATGTTCCACTCGGTATTCGAGAAGTAGGTCACTCGCTGGCGGCTAGTGTGTTTTTTCTGAAGTTGTGAATCTTTCTATTGTGCTTCATTCCGTTGTCTGTTGCTGCCGGGGGGTATAAAGAGTCGGTTGCACTGTTCGTGAGTAAGATCCTAGCTAGTATAATAGACAAGTAGTGCCAACCGCCCTATACCCTCTACTCGTGCCGGAGACTAGAAGCCGGTACGATATATCGACTCGGGAGTGCAGTACATCCCGCAAGCTAATCTATAATAGGACTCTCGAGGAGCTGTAAACTGTCTTCGATATTCCGACAAAGCGACATATCCAGTGTCTTCTAACCGTCGTGCTTTTCTTGGCTGGCGGAACGTCGTCTATTCTCATGGCCGCGTGGATTATTTCTCTGGCGAAGGAAAAAATGTGAGAAGCAAACAGGCAGCATCTATAATATCGGCTTGTTGACGTTTCTATCACTGTTATATGATTGATCTGGACTTCTCGCGGTTGAAGAAAGGGAGCTTGGAAATAGAAAGGCTAGAGAGAGAACGAGTGCTAGACCGAATGTGTCTCTCAGAAACTCGAGGAATTCGGGAAGTGTGGTTACTTGAGCCTGGGTCTTCAATTGTTCTTCAACTTGAATCTGTGATTGTTCGGCTCGCTCACGTCATCGCTGCTCCTCTACCTGTCGTCGCTCGGCTTGCTCTCGTAGTCGCTGTTCTTCCTCAAGACGCCGGCGTAGGTCCTATATCTCCTCGAAGGACATTTTGGTTGCAGTTTGACGTGACTATCAAGATGGCTTGTAACAAGATATTTGTGCCCTGAAACTTGGGGCGCTTTTACAGTTCTCAATTGGCTGGTTATTATGCCAATTAGCTGTGGTTGAACTAGATTTGCTCTTGCTGAGTATCTAGAAATATTGGGTTACATCTAAATCTGTCTAGGAGGTAGAGGACTTGAGGTCTGCCAGTTTAGTGTATAACAGTTCCTGCTTCTATTCTACTTTCCAGTTGCACCTCTGGCAAGATTGGCCCTCCAAACAACTAAAGTTCTGAGTTATCGAGCAAAACACCTTTGCTTTCAGCCAGCTTCTCATGGTACAGGTTTTTAATTTCCTCACAAACCTTCCAAATCCTCCTGCGGTTAGCAAGTCCGGGAATGTAAGTAACTCTCCCTGTCTTATATTGACTCTTTTCCTCAAGTTCGGTAACTATTTTGGACAGTCTAGCCTCCAGCTCTTGCGACTTAAATGGGTTAATATTATGAATTTCCCAAAGCCAAGGCAGATCATTTTCCAATCTTGTTTTCCAGTTTCCGTTCGCGAGTGTGGTTGTGTGCATTGACCATGATGCAGCTTTAAGAGCAAGCACAGATGGCACAGACAGGAGTTCGAATATTTGACGTCGTATTTCATAGGGAAGTATATTGAATATGTCATAGGTTTTCTGGACTTTCTGAGTCTGAGAAGTGTATGTTTCATCAATTATGCCTTGGATTTCGTCCAGATATCTGGTCAGCTGAGTGATTTTCACTGGATTTGTCACTAGAAGCTATAGTATTGTTGTGTAAGTAGAGGTTTAACTTTCTAATAGTGGCTGAATTACCTCTTCGCCCTTTCTGCATTCCCAATATTGCTCATATGGTGGCATGGGATCCCCATAATTCAAAAGCAAACTTTTAATCGTAAACTCATCATCAACAAGTTCCTTGCAGAGGGAATAAAGCACATCTCCATTTATTTCTTCATTTTTAAAACATCTAAGGAGAATCTCTTTGTAGCACAGCTCATGGAAAGGGAAAACAGGTCTCTCTACCTGATCTCCGATCCAATCCCAGTATCTATAAGGGATTAGCACAGTAACGGGGGTAATAAAACAAATTTTAAAAAAGAATTCACACTTACGTGTAGAAGTAGTATGGCGGTTCCCTGTCTGGGTTTATAGGAACGTTTTGATCTACTTCAAGGTTAGAGTACAAGGCCAAGCTGATGGTATATTAAAACCCACCTTCACCTGGATAAGCATGGATAGCATTCTGAAACTTATATTTAGAACATCTTCCTGACGGTTTGAGCTAGGCAACAACTCACTGCATCGTCATAAGAGCCCTGGCCGGTAAGAAAAGACCTATATTTGTTAGGACACTAAGACGGCCCGTAATAATAATATATAACAAACTTTCTTTCTCCAGGGACGTCCGGATTGAGGCCCAATGCGCAGAGCGTGTTAAGCCATTCCAGGTCACTATCTCCAATAACATCTCCGCTATAGGTGTAATCGGTTTCATCATCAGAATCAATTGAAACGTTGCTCCGGAATGTTGAGCCACATATCGCACAATAAACGTCAAAGCCACCCATTTTCCGTAATGGCCTTCCAAGGAGAACCAATGCAGTTAATACAGCTCTTGAAGACGCATTTATAACTTGTTCGTGATAAATCTTGGGAGGTTAAATTTTAGCAAAATCTAGGCTCCCATGGGGGCTAAAACTTAGGCTCCAGTCTATTATTAGAGTCCCTGAAAGAAAATTTGATGTGGTGAAATTGTTAGGGATCTACCGTATTCGGTATGGTCACGTGACCTTGCTTAGTCACTCATCTGTAAGATATACGGCTAGTCCCGAAAAGGAAATAGAGTACGATTGGTAAAAAAGGTCTTATTTGAATGAATTGAGCTGGTTGGGCTCTTCTTGATTATTCTTCTTGGTTATTCTTGATTGATTATATTGTTGTGTGCTCCGCGGGGGTTTTACCCCGATCTAGTCACATGATTCTGATCCACCAACGGCCATATTATCTGATCTACTGTAAGAGTAGGCTGGCCGTTGGGAGGGGATTTTCCCTTGGGATTTCCCTCCCAAATGGGATCGGGACGGGAACGGGACAAATTTCAGGAAATTTATGGGAATTAGGGATTTTATGGAATATCCCATTCTCTAGATCAGGATTCCCTCTAATTTCCATTCGGGAATGGGACGGGAAACGGGACCTAATTTCTAAGATAAGTGGGAATGGGAATCTCCCATCTCGAATCCCTTGTAATGGGAATCCCTTCCCAAAAGACTTGGCACGGGGTGGGAATCAAAATGCAATTCCCATGGAAATATGGGACGGGACTGAAAGTCGCCCGCGATCCCGAATCCCGTCCCAACGTTCAGCCTACATAAGAGTAAGCATTGGAGTTTGTGAGGATAGATAGACAAACGTTAAACCAGGGGATCTTTAGCCTAAGAGAAGGATTTGACAAATATACAAGGATCAGTGCAGTTCAACCTCCAGTTGCTGCTTATATTTGGTTATGGCTGCCATACAACTCCAGATTTTGACCATTTCCACACCGTGAATCATATTTTACCTCTATGTCCGTAAACATATCTCCGCATCTTCAAAGCCACTCGATGTTGCCTGCTACAGGTTCGCAAAGCATATATACTTCTATATTTGGCAGCTTCAAACCTACTTGGGGGAAGTAATAAATCGAAAAGTTGGTGTCCTAATCACGCAACTGTGCAAAAATGTAATAACGTTAATAAAAAGCTGATATCTTTATTCAACTTCTCAGAAGAGATGTGAGAAAATTAAAGCAGATATGAACAAAGTAAACGCAGGATAGCCAATTACTGAACCCAGTATATCAGTCACATATTAACAAGAGTGTGTAAATAAAAGAGTGGACCATGCCCTCATTCGAAATTAAATTATTCCTATTTCTTATGACCAAGCAAAAGCACAGATGTCTTCGACAACTCGTGCATTTAGAGGCCGAGATTCGCCACCCACCTGTGTTGAGCCATATCCGTTGTGCCCTTCACTGAGCTTGTCGGCGGCAGATGGTTGTTGCACTGTCTGATTCATTGCGGGTAGGAATATGATCTTGTTGTTGGCAGCCTTGACCATAGACTGCGTCGCCTCAAGGCACCGAATTTATATTGCAGGGGCAGAGGAGAGAATGTCAGCCGCCTAGAGTGGCAGGGTTAAGTGCACATTAGTTCTCGGTCACTAATATATGCGAAGATATTAGAGTACCTGACGCATTAATTTTGTTAATTCTACCTCGGCCCGAGCAGCAATGACTTCGCCCTCGCCAATCTGCTTGGACTGCGCTGCAATAGAAAGCGAGCCCTGTAAGTCATCGCTGAATATGATATCCTTGATAAGCATTGACTCAACCTGGACCCCCCACCCCGAGGCCGCTTCCTCAATACCCTATGACGTAGACTGAGCAATCTTTTCGAGACGTTCAATTGTGTCCTGCAGAATGCGTGCTCTGATGAACTGGCACAGTGTCGTTTGGCTACGCAATATAAGCGCCTGTCGTACATTTGAAATCCCAAGCGCCGCCTTGTGGGGAGAATACTTAATAGTAGATAACAGATGTCAAGTTTAGGGCCACGTTGTCTTTAGTCATGCAAACCTGGAGCGGAACTTCAACAATCTGGATCTTAATATCCACAGATATGAGTCGTTTAGTCAGAGGGTTCACATTGACGAGGCCAGAGTCAACGGCTCATTCGAAGCTAGCTTGCCGATTAGCACGCAACTCTATCATAAATATCTAGGCACAAATATCGTCCGAATTTGGACATCGGGCCGACTTCACCTTGGACAATTGGCTTGAACAGGTTTGGGCAGCAAAGACAGCAGGGAATGGCACACGTATATCCAATACCGCCTCCCAGTCCGTGAACTTAATAAATGCATATTTTATCAGTAACAGAAGAAAGGAGAAAACCAAAGACCCTCACTGTAAAAGGCATCTAGCACGTACGTAGTGTTGCATACCACCCATGCACCTCCTCGCTTTCTTTATCGTGTTTAATCTGCTGCGCATATTTAGGCTGCAAATCGGCAGGACGCGCAGGCTGCACATTCATCAGACCATGAAGGTTTTAGAATGGGATCTAACGTCCCTAACCGGGGACTTTCCATCCACGGTGCTGCTGCCTCAGTGGGTTGAGAGGGGTTGGGAGTGGTGTTGACAATCCGGCAATGTGGTCGGGTTGTGAGGCCACAGTCGGAATCTGTACCGTTGGCTCCTTTCTTGGTTTGGCAGGGATTGGTGGGTAAGAAACGCATGGTTTGGAGAATAGAGGGATAATGATTCGAGATAAAATTCAGAAGCTATGGTATGCCAAAACCACGAAACTGCACTGTACTAGTGGAGGAATGAAGCACCTATTTGGATACGACTGGTAAGAGGATGTTAATGATACCAGAATGAGAATGACATGAACTTAAATAGGAGATACTGCACGAGACGAGACGAGTTTGATTGTGGCGAGATCCAGCTGATTACTATATGCAGCCCAGTCACAAAGACCACGTACCTTGGATGTGAGGAAAATCCATCGTCCATGTACATATGAACTTATAGTGGACAATGGGATAGCCCACAAAGTGGATGAAACCGGGCATCATTATATACAAGATAAACACCAGATTTATTTCAAATCTATACGAAACTTATTCTGCTTTTGAAACTCTTTCGTTCACTTCGTTGAGCCACTATAAAACCATTAACATATGTTATGACATATGAAACAAAGATGGAAATAAAGTCAAATCAACTCTATTCGGTGCCTGCAATGATCCACCGCTCCTCCGTGACCAAACCTAGTAGATAAAAAACCAACGCTCAATGCAAACCGACAGCGCAAGCCGGCCTCGCAGCGGTCGTCATAACTCTCAGTATTTTCGGTGATAAATTTGGACTTATAGTCAACAGCTAGCTAAACACAAATTCTTTAATTCTCGTCACACAGTATTTGTGCCTCACTAAGCGCTAAGAAGCAGGATAACTAAGTTCTTTAGATCTTCATTTTATTACTATAGAAAATTACTGGTAAAATAAAATGTAGAAATAAACAATGGTGCTAGTTTGAATATAGGACAAGGGATAATACTTGTTTTAGCCTTTAAAGAAATGAAAGAAAGAGAATGACGAAGAGGAAGAATGAAGTACGAGATCCACTGCACTGAACCGGGACAATCCCTTTTATGCCGCAAAGAACCTGAGCTATCTGAGGTCGCTCAACCTAGAGAACAGATTAAAGCCGGGGCCACAAGCTTCACTATGCACCAAAGAACTAAAGGTGTGCAGTATCGCATTTGATCATAGCTAACGCTTACTAGGGTCGGCCAATTGTTACCTCTACGTGTGGAATCACAAGGGACTTCGCTACCAGGAAATAGTATTAGGTGAGTCATGACTAGAGGACGACACACCGAATGCATTTGTATCAACTTATGTATATCAAGATTGGCTGCACTATTGGTATCAGGATCACTCCGATAGTTTCAAGCGAAGTCACCTCCCTGCGAATTGGGTGACAAAGCCCCCGGGTTGTATGCTGAACCCTTGGCAATTTGGATTAATTTGCCCAAAATAGCATACTCTAATTTAAACTTGATGCTGTATGTGACTGGTTTGAACATGACTTGGAGAGTGTAGAACCCGGCAAACTCGATCCCAACAACGGCCACGTCTAGAATAAGGATAATAATGTTGATAACAAGCAGTTGAATAAGGATTGTATAGTGCAATCTGTCTGGGCGAAGGCGTAGCAGCCTTACCGCTTGCCACATGTAAACGCTAGAGATAAGTGATTCCTGGAGACAAAAGCCTACAAGCTGGATCCGTTCCATCACGTTATATCCATCAGCAAACTGGTTTGGTTGGGATAGGTTGGATGACAACGACCCGTAGAGCAGGATGGTGGTGGGGGCATGGAGAACAACAGAGTCTATAATAATAGTCACAAGGATCGCACGGAGCAACTTTGGTGCCTGTAGGACTAGGTGGAGTCGCGACCAGAGCACGACCGAATGGCCTGTCACCATGGCATACCAGCTGACGATAACCAGAGAGACGGCGACATGAGGGGAGATCCCTAGGGGGTAGATAAAAAAGATGAAGCCCAGAACGTGCGGGATAAGACTTGAGGAGGCAATTAGCAAGCTCCAGAAGTAGGAACCCCGATATTTCTTAAAGGTGGCTAGGCAGAGTACCACTAGCTCGATAGCATTGTATAATACAATGGCTGCAAAAGCTGTCATAACATATTTCTGTACTTGATCGAGGTCAGAGTTTGGCTGAATGATCGCCTTAGCAGGGCTCTCAGTGAACGGCATGAGAAGGACATGTTACTGCTAGCAACAGAGAAATTTTGCGCGGCATATATATTGCACATATATAACACACATAGAGGCAGAGAGAGGTACAGAGGGAGGAAAGACATAGGACATATTACCATCGTCGGAGCCCTGGCCCGCATGGCTGAATAGAAACTTGGGATGCACTAGTAACTTAAAATTGATTGCCTTTTGTCAGCCGTTGCTAAGGCGGTATCGTCACGGATGCTGCCTACAACTGGCGTGATGCGCAGGAATCATAGAAGCTTCATGGTGACAGTTTCCCTGGCTTTCCATGGATCACGACCCCGACTGGGTGGATGAAAACAATGACGTACAGATCGCCCCACAGCCCCACATCTCTCCCCCCATATGATCAGGGAATGTGGATTAGGAATCATTTAGCCTGTTTAGGAAATGGGTCTGCCTCGACAGGAACAAGTGTTTATTGTGCCGTAGTGTCATTAACGGGACCGTTTATGCAATACGCCACACCCAGAGACAAGCTCCCGAACATTGATTCGGAATCAAACTTCAATAGCAACTCCAACAGACCATTTTGTGGCCAGCAGGGCGTCTGATTCCAAATGGCTGCATAGATATCCATAGTTTTATTTGGGCAGCCTCACGTGATGACCAACTGTGTTGAAAGCATAAAGGAGGCTAAATGTTGGTCAGCTGAATAGTATGAGCTAGTATCACCGATCATATAATAATATGGGTTGCTGGCTTAACCAATGCCCCCTTAAAGCTGCAATTCACCCTGCTCGCCGGCCTAATTCGCAAGAGCCTCGCGTCTCTACCACCACGGTTAAAAACCCTCCGCGCCGAGCTACAGTTGCTACGGTGGAAGAAGTGCCCACCTCCGACGAAGTACTATCGGAAACGAGCAGCTCCTGCCCATAGCCGCGGGACAGGAGCCTTTAGGGAAAAAGAAATTTGCTAGAACAGGAGAGCCGACCATTCCTAGTTGACGTACAAGTTAATGGAACTCAGTTTGCGAAAGCTCTTGTAGACACAGGCTGTCTTGTCTATGCTACAATTAGTAGTGCTTTTGTTAAATCTCTTGACCTCCCGCGCATCCGAATAAAACCTTGCACACTGGATGGTGTCGTGCCTGATCAAGGAACAATATGATCTTCCGACATATTCTTACAGAAAGGCATCGATGAGGCTGTGGATAGCATCAACTCTTATAAACAGTTGTATCCGCCATCAACTGAAGAACCTGTTGATCATTCACGGATATTCACAATGAAATTCCTAAACAAGAGAAGCCGTCCTCTAGACATAATCGAGAGATTCTATGTCTCTAGAGCTCGGAAACAAGCCAAGACAACTTGTATTTATCCCCAAAAACACATTGTACGCATGTCTCAAAGCAACTGGAGAAATGATCTGAACGACTGCTGCTGCTCACCCACAAAAACATGTAAGAGATGTTCTCTGTTGCTATCACTATAGTACGGTGGAAAACCTACTAACAGTTGTATTTAAGGTCCTTCTTGTAAGTTTTGTTCTATGCTGTCTGTTTGGTAAAACGCAGTCTCGTCTGACCGATAATAACCTTGAAAGATATAATCACTGCAACAGTAATGTAAGTAGCAAGATACCTCGTTTAGTTATGAGCTGTTGCATTTTAACCACATTAACAAAGTGCTGTCTATATTCAACTCTGTGTTGCGTTGGCCTTACTGGATTCAACTCACCTTTAAAGAAAGACATGTAAGGCAAAGGTACAATACTATAGGATCTAACTGTGGTGATTGTATTAAACCATGTTGCTGCACCTGCTGTGTTCTCATCCAACTCGACAAGGAGGTTGGCCAGCAGGAGACTGTCTTGGAACATGGTTACTAGCCTACTCCTGGGATAACATACGCTACGGAATAGGAAATTCATTAAGCAGTTATATTGAGCCTCATAGCTTTTTCAGAGTATTGCATGAGGCAAATGATGCAAAAATCGCCTTACCATGCGTACACTGGATTGCAAAAACGGTAGTCTATTATTTAGTAAGTTTGTAAAGGGCTAGAGCCCGTTTGACCTCTCGGGCCAATGTCCCTATTATCCCTGTTGTCCCTACTGTCCCCGTTGTCCCTATTGTCCCTAATGTCCCTACTGTCCCTATTGTCCCTACTGTCCCCGTTGTCCCTATTGTCCCTATTGTCCCTACTGTCCCCGTTGTCCCTACTGTCCCTACTGTCCCTACTGTCCCTACTGTCCCTACTGTCCCTACTGTCCCTTTTGGCCCTGTTGGCCCTTTGGGCCATTGGCCCTCGATCCCAGTCACGTGACTCCCCATCTTGTTTGTTTACCGCTTATTTTCCTCTTCCTTTCTTCCCTCCTTCAACGATTCCTTCTTGTACATAACCTATCTGTAGGTTCTACGGGTTCAGCCCTTGACAGAGTTGCTTGAATCCCCAAAGAATTGCTATATAGGTTCCATCGTTGGCTATTTTATATTTGGGATATGTTTTTTTTTTTTTTTTTTAGCCTGCACTGTTTAGCTAATATTAAAGCCTCCACTTGGCTGAAAGTTCTTGATTCGACGGGCAGCTGGGGCAGTAGCCGGGGTGGATAACAGTATAGCGGTAGATAATAGCTTTGCAATGTAAATTATTCCACGACCTTAAGTATTAGTTACTGTGATCGCGCAATTTTTTTCTTTTGAACCAGTTCATGCACTCGTAGCTATATTGTAATTTCGGACATAGTATTCCCGGGAGTCGCGCTGTATCCTTATCAACGCTTATAAATATAAAAACTTTCTTTGCTCTTGGCCAGCCTGCTATTATCAGCAAAGTATTCCACATGTCGTTAGGTTTAGTACTTACTCCTTGATATTCGCTTGGCAAATAGCCACAGGGCATTGGCCTTCAGCCGGAGCCTTGTTGAGAAAATATATTATGTTATAGTTACGACGACACTATGTTAACATATGCTTTGCAAACAGGAGTTTCTTGTTAAAAAAAAGTTGGCTCTACCGAAGACAACATCTCTGCTATACAGCCTAGTTCGGGTATAATAAGGGATAGGGTGCAGGTGCATGTGATGATATGCAGTGGACAGGTGACGTTAAGTTCCCAGTAATTAACAAAAGGTCTTCCACATATTAGTAGCAAATTGAACACCATGATCAGATGTGATAGCGCTAGGGATACCAGATATCCAATAAAATATTGGATAAGCTTATTAGCAACTGTGGGTGTATCTATTTGCTCGCAAGGTATTAATATAATACCCTTAGGCGATCAACAACAACCATAAGATTCTGGCAGCCATTAGACTCAGGCAGCTTTTAATAAAATCGATATCTATTTCTCTCCATTTTCTGTCAGGTATCGGCAAAGGTTTTAGTACTCCATAGCAGCGATCTCTTTATATTTTATTGGCATTGCATTTGTCGCAGATTTCCACAAAGCGGCGGACATGGGCGGTGATATTAGGCCAGTAAAACTACTTATCCTGGTCCGAAGGGATTTAACGTCAGGACCAGCGGCGGCCTTGGTATAGTAAACGGCACTTGGGTTATATACTACATTCAGAGATAGTAGTTTTCAGGCCGAGTTCCCTTGCAAAACAGGTAGCACCTTTATATACAGCGGCTCGAATAGCACTATGTTTAATATCCTGTTGTTCTGTGCCCGACCAGTGTTCATCTATTGGCAGGTTAATAGAGTCTCTTCCAGATATTGTCTGTTTAATAGATGTAGTAATTATTGTACTAATCCTGGCAGTTGCGGGGGTAAGACTTGGTTTCTTCCAAACTCTAGATGCGTTTAGGAGATAGTAAAAATGGTTCTGTAGCCGCTTATCTAAATAATCTCGTGGAAGGTCTTGTTCTCTGTGGAAGAGTGCGTCAGGCCCTCCTACAAATTCCCTCAGCTAGTAGTCCAGTATAAAGTTATACCTGCTGAGCAATACAGCCTATCGTATTTGTCATTTATTTAACCGTCGTAGAGTTGTGAAGATAGTCTGCTACTATGCAAAAACTGCTAATACTACATAGTTCTGATTCCTATTCCTTTAGTGCGTTAATAATGGCCCAATAATTCCTTGTTTGGGATCTTATAATTGCATTCCGCCGGCTGTTTTTCTTGGAGAAATAGGCGCAAGGCCTTAGTAGTCTCGTCCGTCAGCAATTGGAGCGTTAGATCGACGAATAGCTCCAGGATGAACTTTGGTTACTTGAAAACTTTCGTGTCTGGAGCACGCATTGCTGTCTCGTTCGGCTCTCCAATTCTCTGAATGATGGAACCAAAGAGCGTCTCCTCCCCTCCCTTGAGGGAGCCGCGGTCATTGGCCCAATCTCCATTCGGAAGAAGGGGGCAAATATATCGCTACCCCCAGCGATGGGCAGGCACTTCTACGCGGTGCTGGGGAATAGTGAATAGTACTCGAGCAGTATCATTGCCCGACTGCTGCCTGGGGAAGCAAAGACCTGCTCGAAGCCTGGGAGGAAAGGAGCGTTATGGAGGTTGGGTCTGCGCCCGACTCAACTTCTACAACCCCTTTTCCACCAGTCGAACCGGATGCCGACGACGACACAGGATAGATAAGGCCACGTTCTACCTTATCGTGCTATATGATGATGACCTCGATAGTCAGTTCCAGACGGCCGGTCGAGCGAAGGATGGCTAAGATCTCCGTGTGCTGGGTCTCACCCTGTCATCACCGAACGAAACGGTCCCTCCTACCACAAATACCCCAACTCATCCGGACGACATGGAATGGGGGTATGGCTGGATTGTTTCGAAACAACTCATCGTGCCATGGACGTTCCAAGAAACCGATGAGTGAATGCGACAGACCCGAATGACAACCTCGATGGCGCGGTGATGAAGCATGGCAGGGACCTTAGATTAAGGGCCCTTCGTGCCATTAACATCTCTGTCAGTCCGAGAGAACCAACATCTACTGTCACCGATTTGACCTCCTATATCTTCTCACAATTCTAAAATTATTCTTGCCAACCGCCGCATGCTTATCTCGGATTCTTCGATTCACAATTGTTTCGTGCGCATTGATTGATTGATTCGTTCTCGTCCCCATTCCATAACGCAAAAATAAAAAAAAAAAAAAAAAAAAAAGTTTCTAGTTACCTCTACCTCATTCGTGCTTATCGGCGCAATCTGCATTTCTTGAACAAAGGGCAAGGGTTCACCGATCTTGACAGTGAAAGTATCAGTCACGCAACTCAGCGCCTTTTGCCGGAGTGTATTAAGACTTTTGAGTCGGGCGTGGTGAGGATACAGCTGCCTGAACTCATAATTTTGCTTTCCGGCGGGTCACTGGCGTTTCTTTTTATAACAGCACAACTAAATCCCTACAACCGCAAACAGTCCGCGCGTTGTGTATAGCACGACAGTATGTACCTTCGACAGCCCGACAGGTGACTAAGGACACGACAATCACATGCAGGACATTCAACATATCCACGACATACAGGTTATAGAAGTTGGGGACATGGGCTTTCCTAGGGGTTTTGCGATCGTGTAACACTGGTGGAAGCATGGTCGTGAGGTGGTTAGGTTGAGTCTCAGTCGTACAATAGATGAAAGACTACAGATGATGTATACAGATTCAGCTTATCTACATAGCTGCATCTTAGGGCGGCTGGGTCGGACATTAAAGATCTAAAAAAATTGTATAAATATATCGTTCCCACTAGTTAACGGTTGTTTAGAAATACGTCTATAGTAATCTTTCTGTACGGGATGAACCTGTAAAAGGCATAAAATATGACAACGAAGGTGTACAAAGAAAAGTGTCTTTGATTTCAGCTTGAACAGTTACTCTACGTCATTTGGATATCACAATCGTACTAGGAGCGCCTGCTAAGATTGATCCTGTGGGCCTTGGAGTTCAAGAATGAGAGGTTCATCATGTGCCTAGAACATCCTCCAAAATAAAAGGAAGGATTTCTTCGCACCTAACGGACTCGGCACCTTGGGACGAATGGTATTTATTCGGATGTCCCCTGCCTTCCCAATATTAGGGCTTGACAGTGGAACTGGCGTTCGGTTTGTTAAGAGTCGCCACTTGCCACGTATTCTCTGTCTTCATGAAGGAGGCACGAACGCTCGCATTTTTCGCGCTCAATGCTGAGCTCTTGAGGCTCGTCTAAGGACATACTTTCGACTCTGTTATGCTGAAGCCCCCTTTCCATCCAAGGCTGATGCTGACGTGCTTTCGGTGTACAATAACTATGGTCCTTTCAAACGCTGGTTCCGCTAGAGCCTTGGGCATCCCAAATCAGCTTCCAGGATGCCGTAGGCTCCATCCACGATGCTCTGCAGTCCGTTATATCGGCGGACACCCTCCAAGGAGCCACGGGCGAATAGGTCGGACTGGTGGGGTTCTGCCAAGGTGCAAAGCTAGCGGCTAGTCTCCTCCAGCAGCAGCAGCAGCAATTTCAGACGCAGCAACTGTGCAGTCCTCACTTGGATACGAAGGGGTTTGGCCATTTCAGTTTCGCGGTTCTGATGGCCGGGAGAGCTCCCTTAGTCGCGCTCGACCCGAACCTGGAACACGTCCACGGCTTGGTATCACTCTCTCAGTTGACAACTATTGACGGCCATTGAACTGAAATGGAAGATTGCCCCGTTCAGCTCCGAACCCCAACGATCCACGTTCATAGAGACCGGGACCTGGGGCTTGAGTTGCATCGACATTTGCTAGAGCATTACTGTGAGCGTGACACCGCCACGGTTATCTCTTGGGAGGGAGGACACAGGCTGTCCATTAAGAACGAGGATGTCCTTCCATTGTGAATGAGATATTTGCTATGGCCAAGTAAGTCAATGTCTTAGGAATGTAATTCGTTTCGTCTACTGTTTTCTTTGTGGTCACTTCATCAAAGACCTTTGTCTCTATGGCCCTGCATGTCAAGTTCATTTTAGGTAGACATGGATAGATGCCGCCTCTTCTAAAAATCTACGCTAGAGTTACCAAATAATGCCCTTTCAAGGCAGTATTCGTCTTCACTGATCAATTTGTGACAATCATATTCGGCCGGGGTTGTGTGTGAGACTTGCAGACAACGCACACGTCCTGTACATACGAGGGCATGCAGTAAGGCTAGCCATGCTGACAAGTCACATTCTAGGAATGCCCCAACCACGTATCAGGGCCAGTCTCATTTTAAAGGTGCTGACGACTTATTTGGAAAACCCTATCTATGTTATCCTGTCTGTCGGGTGCCACTTCAGGGGTCTCAAGGAGCACAGCATCTGAAGTGGACGGACACTTTAGGACATACTGTCTCATGAGAAGGTCGTATCTGGTTTCAGGGGAGTACGGTAGATTAGCTATACTTGTGGGGTGCACGAGAGTAAACTCATGATGTGATAATATCAGGAAGAACAGGAAGGGGTCGGTAGTGAATCATTGTCTATCAGTACAGTCTACCAGCCTTAACCCGCCGCACCGGGCCCCGACCCGGTTCATCCTGTTGAAAGACCAACTCCAGCTGCCCCTCTGACTCGACTTCCCGAACACTGACTAGGTTTCGGAAGGTTTCTGTCTTTGAAATCCGCACACTCGTGTTCTCCAGCACCTTCGTCGGCTTTGAATTGAATGCTAGAGCCGTGATACTGGATATTGTGTCCCAGGCATGCGAGCTATGGCCCGTGATAAAGGTGTATATAACGTAGGTCACTGCATATAGACAGTATAACATAAGAATCGGGACAGCGATCTTGATCGCCGTCCCATCCATATTCCACGCATAGCCCAGAACATGACGCTGGAATGTCAGGACCAAACCGGGGGGCTTCACCAGATCATCACTCTGGGTTCGGGGATTTGTCCATAGGAAGTTACCATTGTGGAGGTTATTTCTCGACATCTGGAAGGCACCAGCTGCGTGGGACATGCCATTCGCCACTAAAGAGGAGATCAACGCTTCGTGCATCATAGGCCGATATGCAGGAGCCACCATGGTGGTTTCGCTCAGCGGGTAGCTGCCGTTTGCTGGGCACACATTCTCCGTCAATAGGAGAGACCGTAAGAGATTGTCCGCTATGGTTCGATTCTGATTACCGATCTGGGAAGTGATGCTGCTCGCCCAATCTTTTGACAAGGAGACTGCATACGACGGCCACGCGGGGAGTGTGTTGAGAAAATCCCGCGTGAGACAGGTTTCTGCTCGACTGTCGAAAATCGTCGTCGTCTCGTTGGTGGTAACTGTCATTTGCGAGGTTGCGTTGGCCCATAACCCGCTCACTGCACAGGCGGACACACTGAGATATTTCTGGCCGTTGTCACAGAGATCCGGCTGCACGACGATGGCTCCTAGCATTCGTCCTGTTGAAAAAGGAACATCGTCCACCCAGATGATCTGCCCCTGCTCCTGTTTCCGAGTTGTGTCCCAGAGTTGTCGTCGGGTGATCATAGTATATGGTGTGGTTTCCACTCGTGTGGCATTGTCGGTCAGATAGGATATCGGGAATTGGATGGGTTGGGTGTCATTCTCGTTCACAATCGCATTCAGCGTACAAATGGTGCTCGCAACTGGCTGGGCCATTTTGATGCTTGCCATGCCGGTTGTCGCTCGATCATTCACTACTGTGAGGGAGCGGCTTGCAGCCCTGTATAGAGCTGCCGCAACTGGGACATGTTGCACCGTCGCCACTGTTCCGTTGGGTGCGTATTGCACATACAATGTTCTTGTGAACGTCTCAGCGATGGATAGAGTACGCCGAACCACAGTTAAAAGCCCGACTGAGTAGAGCGGTGGCATCACTTCGAAAGCTACTCGGCTACCATCCCCCAAATCTTTAGACTCTTGCTGCATCCCGACCATCGTAGGCTGATCTTGTCCCACGCTTGGAAGACCTCTGAGATATTCCCAACCAATGGCAGGGGATTGTTCATTTTCTAAGAAGTTCACGACAAAGTTAGGTGTGCGGTTTTATCCCCTTACTCGAACCTGTATCTTACGGGTGAAAATTCTGCCATCCAAACGCGGGCCAGGATGGGTAAAGGCCGTCGGAAAGACATCACTGTAGCTGCGATTAAACGCTAATTGGTAGTCGGGCAGGGTGAAATTGACGGCTCTGGGCAACATTGCAATAGCGCTCGCAGGCCCAACCGCGGAAGCAAGTAAGATACTTGCAGAAACAAAAAGTACAAACCCCGTCTTTAGAAGCAACGGGAACCGGAGGGCCGTCAAACTGGCGCGGAATTCGGGAGACCATAAATATCCCACCTGGGTGGTGTAGTATGCAGAGAAGATGGCGCCAAATGGCACCGCCGAGGTAGGCTGAGTGAGCAGGTATTGTTGGTAGGTGACCATCGCCGTCGCGATCGAGATTTGCATCAGGACCTCGTGGAACTTGGCGAGGAATTGAAGTAGGTTGGACCACTGGCTATTGGTCCCGAGGAAACGCGTTTGGGTGTTGAGGACGATGAGTGTTATGGCGACTGCGAGTGGAATCATATGAAATTGAAGAAAATAACGAACAGCGACCGATCGGTTCCGCTGGATGGCGACTTTTCGATGCTCTGCCTTTGATCTGTCCATTCCATCTTCCTTGGTCCGTATGCTGCCATCAGAGTCGATGCTGACTCGGTTGCGGGGCACTGGTTCATCCAACGGGGTTGGCTCTCTATCGCTCGGCAGAGTCGAAGGGTGGGCCCTCAGAAACGTGTCACAATAAATAAAGCAAATGGTTTCGACACTTACCTATGGATATCAGGGGCATCCCTTAGATTCCCCGTTGGGGGGAGGGCCTGAAAAGGAACCAGTGCATTGTATTGCCCTCCGCCGCCCATATTGGTACGAGTCGAAACTTGGAGGAAAAAGATCGTAAGCACCAAACCAACCCCCGACGCAACTCGTGGTTTTTAAACATGTGAGAGATCCTTGGCCCCCTTCTCGCTAACCATGAATCCAAATTAGTTTGTGTTTGTCCGCAGCTTAATTGGCTGGATCTGTTGAAGCCCGTAGAAGATCGGCGCTCCATGCGGACTTGCATGTATCAACCAACTGGATTGGACTGATTCAGACCATGAGGATTCCATATTGTATTTATCTCATCAACCTGCGCTTGATCATCCCCGGAGCCTTCCTGATGCGCGTTGACGTGTCCGTAGATAGACGCCATTCCGAAAGCTTAGGGGGGATAATGACAGATCAGGGGGAGGTTAAGTTGAGGCTATGTTACCTGCCAAGATGTCGGCTGTGTTTTGACACTCGAGGCTCCGCTCGAGGGACCGCTTGCGCCAACTGAGTGGACTTCCCGCTCGGCAGCCCCGTGGATATCTCTCTTTGTTGGAGCATCGGGTTATCCCTCTGCACGTTAGGTTAGAGCGAGCTGACTATCTCGATGGGTGACTAAGTTAGGCCACGTGACCATACCGAATATGGTAGGTCCCTAGCATGAATACAGTAGGTCTCTACACACTGCGGGCTAGGCTTCCGGTCACGGAGGGCTTACTGAGGGGGTTCTTCCCTCCTGCAAATGCCTCATGGGAGTCAATTGTTCGAATTAGCCCATCATCTCTCACGCTGTCAAGACTAGGTTTTCTCTCCCGCCTTCCCTCTGTATATAGATTATAGAGCCGTTTCAATATACAGATGTTGTCGACCATAAAAAATACGCGTATTCGCAAGTATCGATCCTCCATAGAAAATTGGGTCTCTGATTTAACTGAACTACCAAAACATCTCGCGTTTTTATAAAGGCGAGGTAAACAAATGAAGAATTTAAACTAACTAATATAGGAAATAAAGCGATGCGATGACGTTGTATCATCAACAACAGTTGACCGAGAAAGGTGCTGAATAATCAATATTACCATAGTTAATTGTCGACAGCCATTTTGCCTCCTTATAGGGTAGCGCGGACGGGGCACTCTCTGACCCTACTGTCTAACACGTTTACACTTAAGACCGCAGCGACAGGTGGCTCGTTGGCGCCAAACCATACACACAATCTGTCCCTCTTGCCCGCGTGAGGTCGCCAATAAAACTTTTTTTTTTGGCTCCCAAACATAGGCTATAGCACGGATAAGGCACTTTAGCTGTCAGAAAGGTTTTATTTAATGCAAACGAGAGGCTTAGACACATTAAACTACCAGTGAGGACACTTGACTGCCATGTTCGATTTTCGCCTTCGTCTAGTTAAGGAGCAGGTGCTAGGGCCTCTTTGCCGCTTCATTCCCAAAGTGATCGAACCAATCCATCTGACCCTGCTAGCATTTTGTTTTGGCATCGCAAGTTGCTACATAGTGGCATTTCATCACTACAGCGGCCATGGCATTTGGATGTGGCTGTTAAATCGCTTTCTGGATGGTCTCGATGGTTCTCTCGCACGTAGCCGTCGTATCGCCTCACGAGCAGGAGGGTTTGTTGACCTCCTCTGTGACTTCTCTGTCTATTCCCTGATACCAATATCAGTTGCGCAAGGGGCTAGCTCTGATCGTCCCGTCGACTGGAGGGCAATTGCGTTTCTCGAAGCTGCATTCCATATCAATAACTTCGTGCTGATGTACGCAGCTACTGTGGAGGAAAATATGCCTAATAGTTCGGATGATCTCACTAGCTTCACGATGAGACCTGCTCTGGTAGAAGGGGTGGAGAGTGCAATTTGGTTCACTGCAATGCTGGCATTTCCGTATTACATTGAAATGCTCTGCTGGACTATGAGCCTGGCGGTATTAGTGGGAGTGGCTCAGCGAACTGCATATATTTTGGCTGTGTCGCACAAATTTGATGGGACTCGGAGGAATGGATGCAAGAAGAGAAACTAAATGGATTGTCGTTAGTTAAGGTAAGCGAATTCAGATTTCTGTCTTGATTAGGGCAGGTGGAAGATCCCTGAGAATTGTCACCGGTGAGCATTTTTTGATGTACTGGTACACACTTCGAACTTGGCTAAGACTTTATCATAGTCCTTGATGTAGTAATTCATGTGCATACGCCCTGCAACTCCCATTAACAGACTAATATTGTTGCTCCTTTACAGTGAGAAGAGGATCCTATATTGGAAACTAGAAGACTCAGTAAAGAAGATGGGGGAGCAACTTTCTAGGTGCTTGGTAGTACTAGGAGAGCAGTAACATTCTGGTAAAACACAACAATTGTCTATTTTGAACCTGCACCTTTCATCATAGTCCATAGGCCAGACCGTTTATTTTCTCAATCTGAAAAGCCGTTTATGTGCTTCCCGCTAATAAAATATTCGGAACTGTTCGCTAATGCATCTGGCGCCGGAGTGCTCATGCGATACCTGGTCCAGTTCATACATATAGTAGAGTTCAGCTCAAGAAATAGAGCTTTAGCTTCATGAAAGTACGGCCAGATTGTCCTGCTTGAGATCACTAGACTAGTAGCTTAGCATGAAAGTGGGTCAGGTCGGATCGTCAATTTCTCGGACACTTACCAACAGAGTGAGAATCAATAATGTCTTGTAGTCAGGCATCATATTCTATGGTTCTCTATGAGTACCCGAACAGGATGTCATACACCCTCCAGACACACCCCTTTCATCATTCCAATCATGTTGCCGAAAGTTCTTCGGCGAAGAAGACTAGAGTATACTTCTGCAGGATATATCTGTCTGTATATGAGCAACGAAAGAGCGGTCCTCAACCCTTAAATCCTTCCCTCGAGGGTAAATGGGTGGAGAGGAGTATAGGCGTATTTGGAATCCAGGACACCTGTCCCACTAACTAGTCAGTTGTTTGATTCCAAATCAAGATCACATTGTTGTGCCTTGGCCTGATCATAGATTCCAGTGGCATGTTAGAAGTTTGGACACCCCAAAGTATGCTAATCCTACCGCTTCCAGAATTAAATCTACCTTTTTTTTTAATTGGACATACAATGCACAAACTTAAGTGGGGTTAACGTCTTTGGCGGTATCCAAACTTTGGTAGCTGTCGGTGGCGCAGTCCACAGCCACGATCAAGCAAAGGTCTATATCCCGTGATCTCATGTTCAGAAAGTGGTGCATCCGAGCTAAATACAAATATTCTAAATCGGAGTTCACAGAAGGCGAAAACATTTCTCTTATCCTCAACGCTTAACCTTGCACGTGGCCATCATCACGATCCCTGTACTAATATAATACGATGGACCTATTGCCCACAATGTTCGATGCACCGACCTGACTCCTTTGAAGTTCGAACCGCCCACATACCCTACTTTAAAACCAGATCACTGAAATGTTGGGTGCGCATGCCATTAATTAATCTTAGAGCAACAGGGCTTATCCACTTGTTAACGATGCGTCGCTCCGATAACCCCTCCAGTTCATCAAGTTCCAATAATGCTTCCGCCTTGTTCTTCGTTATTCCAATAATTGTGGCCTGCGTCGGTTTAATTCTCATTGTTGGATTAAACCTTTACTTTCGCCGCCGCTCTGCTCGACACAGAGCCGCAAATATTACTACTCTCGTCACGCAACAAGATCGCGTTACGGAGATTACAAAAGCCTTGCTAAACACAATACCTATTGTCAAGTTTCGAAATCAAACTCGCAATAATAACAGCACGAGCAGAGAGGATGTGGAGATAGGCTCACTGGAAAACCTCACATCTGAAAACGGACAGACAAGAGGGCCTGCAGATGAAGGGTTACTATCGAGGGACACTGAAGGACCCGAGGATAGAACTGGTGACAGTAATCATTCTCTCATCAATCAGACAATTTCTGCAGGGATGCACCCTCCAGACAACTGCGATGGGGGGGCAAATCTTGTCTGTCCAATATGCACTGAAAACTTTGCCATTGGTGAGAACTTGAGGGTATTGCCTTGCCATCACCAGTTTCATCCGGGGTGTGTTGATCCGTGGGTTCTGAAAGGATCCAGCACATGCCCCGTGTGCCGCAGCGATATCAATCCATCTGATACTAAGCGACCAGAAGGCTCACATATTGAAGACAGATAGCCCAGCTTCTTACAGTCGTGGGAGATACCGCAGGATTAAGGTCATGCTAACGAGTCTTGTTAAATTATAGCGCCCCCAGGCGCTGCTTTGCCGCATTTCTTCTCTCCCGGAGAGTTTACAATGGGGGTGTTAAAAGATCTTCCATAAGTCGTGAAAGGCCATTCCCTTGTGCCGTTCAATTTGACTGTACAATACTACCGCATCCTCTCAAATCGGCTGTAGCCAAAGTGACTAAAGGTCGGAGTGAACCCGGCTTTACATTTATGAAACTGCGAGACCCCGATCTAAGGTGAATTCCGAATCAAGAAATAATTCTACGGAGACTGCCCAGAGTGGCGAGGACAATGAAACTTCTTAGCAGGGCTCCAAATAAATTTAATTTGGCCTTGTTTAATCTTGTGACACCAAATTCATATATGCCAAGTCAAGACTGAGCAACCGGTTTGATTCTTCTAACTAGTTACTGTCAGATATTCGGCTAGTCACGAAGAGGAAATAGAGTACGATTGGCGAAAAGGTCCTATTTTGAATGAATTGAGCTGGTTGGGCTTTTCTCGATTATATTCTTGATGGTTCATTTTGTTGTGTGCTCCGTGGGGGTTTTACCTCGAACTAATCACATGATTTTGGTCCACCAACGCCCATATTCTTTGACAGGAATCTAACTAAAGTCTGTTATATATAAAATGAATATGAGAGAAACTTTATAACCTGGATAGCATTGTCTAGTTTGCCCTCGCTTTGATGCCCAGAGCTTGATAAAGAAGTGGTCATTTTGATGGTTGAAATTGGTGAAGTGATGAAATGGATGAGTTGGTCTGTGGGTGGATCACTGTAGGCTTCAGGCTAACTACATCAAGACACCTATGATTCCAAATCATGTTTGATTTGCTTGTTACACTAAGATCGGTGGAGCACCAACCCCAGCTTTCTGTCAATCTCCGTTTGACGTCAAAATTACTAACTAGAATTCCCTCATATCTGACAATGTATCACGCCTAGGATCGTGTCATAACTTGTATTGTCTCGTACGCCCCTTTTATCAACTAAAATATCCTAAAGAATTCAGAAATTCATGGCCTAATTGCTTAAAATATAAAAATGTAGCTATATATGAGAAACAACATCTATATAATATTATGTATTCCAAATGTCCCTTTTTCTATATAATTGTAATTCTACTTGGCCTGAACTCTTGGTCAGTGCAATAGTCCCATTTCGCGAATTCACTTAGTCATCACTAGTACCTTCAGTTGCCAATAATTCCCTACCCCTATTCAATGGATACATTCGCCTTCTAACAGAGACGAGCAAGCAGTCTGCCTCATGCGTTAGTTTGGCACGAACAGTTTCCATGTTTTAAGTGGAGTTTGCTCAGTTCGATACTTTGTGTTTGCAATTCCCCAAGCAGGGCTGGAAGCTCCAAAATGGAAGAAGGACGGGCCATTTTCAAATCATTAATGTCCCCCAAGTTCATATTCAGCAGGTCAAAACAAAGTTCAGCAAATGATAGTATGCTACCCTCCACCCCCTGTCCGGGGCCCCGCCGCCCTTAAAGAAGACCACACGATCCGTATCCTATCCTATCCTTTCTCAAGTGAAATTCCGTACTAAGTATTGTGATGGTACCTTCTTTGCTGATCCGCACAGATGAGGGAAAGACTTCTCCTCTCGATGCTTCTACGAGGAGACGACAGCAGGTTAGACGTGCGCAAATGTATGAGTCTCTTTTCCTTTATCTTTCTCATCCTCCGTTTTTCTCTTTATGCATAAATAACATATGCATTTACGCATGCAGAAACCATCGGCGGAAGAAAGAGAATTATATTTCTGCCCTTGAAGAGGAGGTCAAACGTCTGCGAGAGCTCGTAGCCGAACAGCAGGAACTGGGGCATCTTCGCGCCGAAAACCAAATCCTTAAGGGCATCCTGGAAAATCATGGAATTGTCCACCCAGGGTTCAGCTCTCAACAGAACATCCAAGCAGCGACACAAGACTTCATTGAAGTATCGCTCGTTGGGGTCCCCGGCCGTCAGCCGTATTTACAGCCATCAATGCCTGGCTCTCTTGTCTGGCCGGCTGGAGATCAGAGTGCTGCTCCCGTCATCCAAGATAGCATGCACAGATCTGATCCAGTAATATTTGGTAATCATCCGCCCGCCACCCTAACTGAACCAGGAGAGACAAAAAACCGCAACATGAAGCTAGAGGCATTTGACTTTGTTATGAAGTGAGTGAAAACCAGCCTACTGTATATCCCCTTTTTCCAGTAAGCTTCTCTTACGATAAATAAAATACCGCAGGTTGGAGCAGCCATGTCTGTCTCATATAAATTTCTCAGAAGGGTCACATAACATGGCGGGCCATGTGCTAACGTTGCAAGCTGCATCGTTTGCCTATGCTCCTCCTACAAGCTCTGCTGACACCACATGGCAGGTGCCCTTTGAAGAACTAGAGCGACTTCTGGAATTGTCGTCCCAATTGCCCCTTGATGGACAAGTCACGCCAATCCAAGCCTGGAGTATCCTTATAAATCGTCGATCTTTATCCGAAGTGACCCAACAGACTCTACAAGAGCTTACATCAAAGCTTGTGAAGGAGGTTCGGTGCTATGGGTAAAAGTCCCTTTATTTTTTATTTTTTTTTTTTTTTCAGTCCGAGCTACATATTATTTCTACTGCCCGTAGGAAGTGATAGATAGAAATGAACCGTCGCTGATTGCTCTTTCTAGGTTTGGAGCAGTAATAGATGAAGGTGTATTTTGGGGAATATTGGAGGAAGTTTTCCCTTGATATTTACTCTGAATAAAGTGGGCATGGATGTATTTATCGTTCTGCTTTGATGTATTTTATGTGCCGGAGAACAAAAGCATGGGCTTTTGCCAAATAAGAGGAAATAAAAAATAGTGTACGTATGAGAGCAGCCTCCTAACACAATTTTCTATTACTAATATTTTTAAGAGCTCTACCGAGTAGCATGCTATTAGCCCTGGTTATAAATGTTGAAAGATTTTAACGAGCTCCTCCCAGGGGAGGTGAAGGAAGAGACAAGAGAGAGATAGAGAGAGGCCAAGCACATCCACTTGACGGTTCACATCTCCAAGGTTTGCTTGTTGCAGCCAATCCACACCCGTGCTTGTTTCCCATACGCATACATCAGAATCGTAGTCAGGAAGAAGCCCAAGTGGATCGCTGCGATAACCAGAAATACCCGCCATGGGCCAGCGGCCACCAACCAGTCCACAATGTAAATTGAAAATACTAACCCATGGGTATCTATCGATCTCCATATCAGTAATCCTGAAGTACAGATAATATACATCAAAATAATATCTAGAACATACTCTTAAAAAGACTGAGGATCACGAGCACCTGGTTCGTAGATGACTTATGGCAATCGAGGCAGTACGTGACCGCAGTCGTGGCCCCAAGGGTGTAGCCAAAATAGATCAGTCCAAATAATACTGTTGGCACTATCCAGGGGTCGCCTCTCTACACGGTCTCACCGAAGGCTACCAGCCCGATACTGGTCGACAACGCCGCTGGGATACCCATTAAAAGTCGGAATTCAGGCTCGTAGATCCCTTTATTACGGTACGCCTGCACGCAAGCTAGCATATCTGATGTCTTCCCGCCGATAGCACTGCCTAGGGTTGCGCCAACAAGTGGGGAGATATACAATAATCCAGTTTGGACTGGACTGAACGCATAGCGGTCAGGGGATTGAAAGAGGTATCCAACTGACTCAGCGAGGACAATAAGCCATCCCATTGAAAATGCATACGCCACAGCGGACCATAGCACAGGCGGTGACTTTAGTAAATATACTGGATTAATCGCTAGACGCAGCCAGTTTTCATGGTGCAGTCGACCATTCCAAGGATATAAAGTGTGAGTAAACAATGGCGGGCTCTTCCGCAGCCGGTTGGTGTATAACTGTCCTGGAGCTATGGACGATATATGGAGCTCGGAGCCCTGAGGAGACGAATCATTCCTTCCAGTAAGCTCTTGAGCATTATTGATAATAGGATCGTTTGACATTGCCTGCCCACTTACACCACCTCTGTCCTGGGCAGGCAAATAAGTAGGACAGCCTTCGACCCAGAATGTCTCCCGAGCAAGCAAAAATATCAAAAGGAAACACAGTGTGGCAATGATGGTGGCCTCCCTGTTCTAAGGTCAATCCCGGTGTAAAACAACGCAGCGCAAGAGTCATTTACATACCACATAGCCCAACGCCTTCCCCGCAATTGAATTAAGGCTGCCCCAAAGAGTGGTGACAGACTCTTGCCGGTTGAAATAAGAAGCATGTAGATACCAAGCCGGTATGCTCGCTCGTGCGGATAATATATCTCCGTGATGGTTGCGGAGACCATAAACTCGCCGGGACTGGCACCGATTCCCTGGATAAGCCTAGAGAGGGAAAGGCTGGTATATCTCTGGCTAGCAGCAGCGCTTGCTGTTGAACAGGTTAGGAGACTAATACCTACAAGATATACAAGACGTTCCCCATACTGTGTTGCTGTTGGAGACAAGATTATGGCTCCTATCCCGAGACCGAGGACGTAAGTGCCAGTAGTAAATGAAGCAAATCGAAGACTGACATTGAAACTTCGTGAAATGTCTGTAAACCCAGCAGCAAGCACAGGGATTAAACCGCCAGCGATTAAGCTATACAGACCAACAGCAACCAGCACGGCATCACGACGCCGCGCCGGCCAGTTAAGTGGGTAATTGGGCGATAATTCTATGTGATTGTCAATGAACGCCTCGTTACCCGTCCTTTGCTGACGGTTGGATTTTCCGGTCCACAGTCGGTATTTGCATTGAGCCCATTTATTTCCCGGTTCTATTAAGGACGGAAACCAACGCACCGTGCCTTTGAAGATTGGCCATAAGCTCTGCTTGGTAGAGTCCGAAGGATAACGATGGGCTTACCTGGGGGCTGGTTGCTACTCTGACCTCCTTCTGGAGCTACGGGCATAATGCGATAAGGACACTGAGTTGACAAGAACAGAAGGGGGCGAAACCTCGTTCCCTATTCAAACTCACAGCGCCAGGTGTCCTATGGGTTAAGAACGTGATGTTCTTGTAAGCTGCTTGTCCAACCTTTTTTCTTTTGTAACATTCTACTTCATCAAATGGAATCCTTGTGATGAGCCCCTTGCAGATGATATCGACTACCATGGTGTGATTCCAAATCTATCGGATTAAAAATGAGTAATGTTGGAGATCAGGATGCCTAAGGCACCTTCGTATATCCTAGTCCCGCAGCGATCTGATATATCACACTCAGGGGCTAAGGGACACGTAGACATAAGGAAGCGTTTGTCTACGCTCTCTCTCGCAGAAGATGAAGAATATATCCACCATGCGATATTAGATCGCACAATAGTTTCAATATACTATCTAGTCACCGCTATCCTAGCACCTCACGATATACAATCTTCCCCTAGAATTTTAACAAGCAAGGCCAAAAATTAGGCCGTCCACGATTTACGTGGATAAAGGACCCCAACCACAGATCACTTCCTCAATAATTAATGAACTCTAACTAAGAATCTCCCCTGATCTCCAAAATGTGTCATGGTCGATGGCATAGTCTTATTGTTCTTTATCCATACACCACATTGTGGGAAGGTCAAAACGGTAGTTCTCAGCTGAGGTTGCTACCCTTGGTTGAGTCATTAGGTGAACGTACGATGGATGAAGTCTGAGTTAATCCAACTGTGAAGATCCTTTACTATTCATTCAAAGAGAAAAAGCATGGTTTCATCCAGGCGGGAACGGCTATCAAAGACCGCGGCCAGGTCCGCAACCCAACATATCGAGTTACTAAGCTCAGAACTTCCAGACACTGACAAAATCCATCACACCTCCGAGAGAATCAGCCTTTGGTTTCCAATGAGCGATCCTTCGTAACCCGGCTGACAGAAGTCGGTTGTCATGCGCGGGGATAAATTTCCCTTCGTCGTCTGACGTGATATTGACTCCAGGGTAAGACAGATGGGCGAGGTACAGGTCCGACGGGACGCCAAAGGGAGGGCCCCCGGAACGAGGACATTTCTGCGTTGGAAACTCTACACAAACGAGACAGCTGTCCGAATGCGATGAGAGAAGATACGCGTACCTCAGAGACCAAGAGGCGCGGAGTGATGGGTGTAGAGCACAGAAAAACTGTTCAGTAGTTAGAACCCGATAATAAGGAGAAGGACCCTCTGCTTACTGTATAATCGAAAAGAAGCTCAAATGTAGCATTACCAGTGACCTGGTCATACCACCTGTCGCTGAAAAAGTCCCCCTCTATGTAGTGTGCCCTGCCAGCCCCGACGCATTCGTCTCTGGGCGGAAACTTGTCCTGATTCTCGCGGGCGTAGTCATAGCACCGCTTGACAGCCTCCTTGGAGACCTCAAGCCCATATGCATCGTAGCCAAAACTGGCTAGCAGCAACACATCATACCCTCTCCCGCAGCCTGGGACCAGTGCTCGCTTCCTCCTGTGTTCTCCAGTTATGGGGTCCATTACAAACACCGACTCTCCTAGATCTTGTCTGCGGTATTCCAATGCTTCCTGAAGCGCAGTATTCGGGCATCCATTGTCCCATGGGAGGAAATCCCCGGCTTCCCACAGTGCATCCCAGCGGTGGTTTGCAGATTCCGTGGTCTCATCGAAATGCTTGGATAGCTTTTCTGTTGCTTCAGGGATGAGTCCACAGGAGGCAAACGTGAGCTGTTCCGAGTTCATTGCCATAGACGATGGGTCGAAGTGTGAAAGGAGTAGTGTTGTTTTAGTGTGATATCGCGTCGATGAGCTGGAGTAAGCAGAGCGATGAACCAGAAATTGCTCCTCCTGGACTGTGGGACCGCCGTCTTAAAATACCTGAAAAGTTCAACTTTCTCTGGAGCGGAATGATGCACTGCATAACAACCTGTCTACTCTCTACAATTTCACAGTATGGCTTGTGTCTACGTATCTACAATTCAGAAATGCGGCCTACCTTCTTTTTTTTTTTAGGGTGTCTTATTTTGGGGTGGGTCTTGTGCTAGGATCAATTTTGAGATAAGTATTTTCTTCCTAGGATGGGCGATACATGTTTTCGTCTGCATTCCAGCACGTAAAACATTCATTTTTCGGAAGAGACAGCCCACGACGTGCGACCAGCTCGGCCAGTTATAATTACCTCGAATGATGAGGAATCAATTTGCCAAATCAGGTATAGTCTACCTTGGTGATCGACAGCAGTGATCCCCACAGTGGGGAAAATCGCGAAGCAATGATTGGGCGTTTAATACACATTCAATGTGTTGGCCTTCGAACTGGCAAAACTGCGATATTTTTAACTTCCTAACAGCCGCAAGGAGAGTGGTGCAATAATATTAAGAATAAAAAAGATCATATATACATGATTTGCTAGACTAAAGACACCGCCATTCCAGTGACTCCCTCCTCATTGGCTCGGCGATGTAGTAGCCTAAGGAAGGCCCTATGGTCGAAACGAACTTGAGCCAGGGCCTCTGACGTCAGTAATACCTGGAAGCCACTGGAGGGCTGTGCGGGCTCGACAATTACAGCCGGAATGCTCACCCCTTGCTGGCGCATCCACTGGGAGAGGGCCTCCGGCAGCTCATCGGTGTGGGCCTGCACAATATTTGCATGGAGAATGTGTGCCTTGGTTGATTTCCACTCTAGGCTCTCAGTCAGGCGGAGAGAGGGACCATGTGTTAGCTCGCAGGCAGCACATGCTGGCCTGGCAGCCGGGTCTGGACAAGTCGTCTTGCGGTAGACGTAGTTGAGCTTCCCGAGAAGAGTCGATTTGGCATTGTAGATAATGTAGAGAGTGGGAGGGCTGTTCGCGGCGGCTGACATTTTAGCAATGGCAGGAGAGCCCGACAAAGGGTCGGGAAGAATCAAGAACGGAGAATCAGGAACGGAGGACGATGGTAAAAACACAAAAAGAAGAACTGAAAAGAAAAAGGTTCTGCCGAGAGAACCAGAGGATGGTGACGAGGCAGGTGCAGAAAGAAAATTTGCTTATTCCATGGATGGTGAGGTTTTCCTAATAAGGGAATCTCTCAGCTTGTGCGTCCGCCACTGAAGAAACATCCATCTTTTCAACGTACGATATATATATTGGACACTCGTCGTGGCTCTGCTACCACAGCTGTACAAGGTCCATGGAGGAGGCGCACGTGCCACAATTCTGCCCGGGCAGAGGGCCGACACTGTTATCCACGTTCTCCCAGAGTCTATCTTTCCATGCGTCTCCTCAATCCTTTTTGCTTGCACCTGATCTAACTGATCCAACCCACCCACGGGGGACGACCCCCAATTTTGTTCGCGCGAAAATTCTCAACCGTGATGTCGCTGTCATATCATCCTACCGGCACTGCCAGGAGATTCTATATGCTACGGGAGAAGAAGAATCATCCTCACAGCCGCACAGGGACAACCTGGTTAGCGACCGGATTGGAGGAAAGATCAACCCAGGTGTATTCACTGTTGGGCCAGCATATCGGGAGCTGATGGTTGACTTTTTCCCCGCCCCAAATCTGCTCCTACTTGACTCCCCAAGGCACCAACCCACACGACAGAGGTGGGATAAACACATGGCTCTCATGGCAGCGCATACTCCGGAGCTAATTCGTGACTGTGTCATCAGCCGTGTGACGGCGTGGACAGATGGCTCAGCAATTGATCTCTACGAAGAGATGAAAGACCTATCTCGAAATGTTCTCTGTTCTATATTTCTGGGGCTTCGTCCATCCGATAAAACGTATAAGGACATTGTATTCCAACAGGAAAACCTGCTGCGAGGCCAGTTTTCCCTTTTCCCGGTGTCTATCCGTACACCATTTTGGTGCTCCTCCCGGTCAAAGGGTATAGACGCGCGGAATAAATTGCAGGCGATGCTCAAAGAAGAGATGGCATCACCTCGTCCAGGGTGTCCCTTCGCCCACCGCAGCAGTGATATTAATAACGAAGAGCTGGCCGCGAATGCACTTCTATTTACCAGCTCAATTGCGGTGAAGGCATTAGCCTCCTTGTTGACAGCATTTCTCCTTAATCTATTCCTATTCCCGTGTCAGCCATCGTTGGCGGCCCAGGTTCGAAAACAAAGCCCGGGCCAATTCCCGCGGACTCTCCTTCGGAGTATCCTCTTGGAGACTGAGAGATTGAGCCCGCCTGTTATAGGTGTGATGCGCCGGGTTGAGCAGGATATAATACTGAAGATAGACACCTCGGCAGCGCGGCCGCAGCACCAGTCTCAGGTGATCGTGCCTGCAGGATGGGACGTATGGCTTTATTTTGTCAATGCCTGCCGCGACTCATCGGTCTACGATCAGCCTTGTAAATTTGTTCCAGAGAGATTCATGTCGTCCTTAGATCCAGATCCTGGTTTTGCTTTCGGTGCGGGTGGCAAGGAATGTTTGGGCAAGGACCTTGCTCGGGAATTGGCCGAGACAGTGGCGTTGGTAACCCTCGAGAAAGGATTGGACCTCTCAGGCTCGATCGAGGCAGAGGGCGTTCGTGGCTGGCTGGGATGGGATGAAGATGTTTCCGCGGATATGATAGCGAGGGATCTAAAGCAGTTGCCTACCCAAAGACCAAGGCAGCCGATCAAGATCCGCATAAGGCGCCTCTGGAATTGAGAAGAGTATGTTTACACATCGCTGCGTTCAGCGTGTGTCCATATTAAGGTGGAGCCACCAAGAATATACATGAAATTCTAGCTTGGCATCAGTTCAACACTGTAGACAATAGTAGACAGACGCTAGGCGGCTACTACACGATGTATTAATGTGTCCGCTTCGTGTTATAGCTAGTAAGATATTGCTTGATAAACTTCCGAAGACCAATGAGCAGCCAGAACGTGTTCGTGGTTCCCATTATCCCAGTCCCCAGCTGGCACTGCCATCGCAAATGGCGAAAGGCCTCTATGGCAGACTGGCCTGTCCAGCTGCCATAAATGCTTAGAATCCAGTAAAGAAGATACACCCGGGCCACCGCGTAGGTAGCAAGATACGCCCCATACGTGATGCAAACGCCCGATCGCCAAGACCGATGAAAATTCACCAAGTACCAATGTAGTGTGCCGATCGGTGTGCTAGGTAGAGATTCTAGTTAGCTCCTTCTACGTTTCCAACATTTGTGGCCTGCGTAAGCAAGGCAAATGGGAGGAAAGACGTTGGGAATGGCAACGAACGAGGCATTCATCAGCATCATCATTAACATCACTAGGGAGGCTTTCGCTTGACCCCGCAAGGCACGTAAGTGGAATAGCCCCAGTCCACATGCGATTCCGAGGTGATGCCAACCCAGGACACGCCAGTTTACGTTGCGGGCCATAACAGATTTGGCTCGACTGTCTCCAGCAACCCGTCGGGTGCCCAAGATGAGCAGGGCAAAGTCCTGGATCAGGTACCCGCACTCGAACGCAAGGATTGTGTGTGTAAAGGGAGGCATCGCATCGACAATGTCGAGATAAGATAGGCCTCGCACCGAGTCTTTTGCAGTACTTGTATCACGGTCCAGAAGCCATGGGAAGAGGACCTTCAGCGGGCTGCGTGGTGGCGGAGCCCATTTTTCGAATTGGCGATGGAGCTCAAAAAGCGTTGCTGAGAGGGTGATAATACAATGAAAGACCGAAATAAGTTCGCGCGATTTCATGAATCGAGCGGCCGTGCTGTTTGTCGGGGTCATCAGCCTGAAGATGATCGGATACGTGGTTGCCGAAAGAGCCAAGGCCCCGTTGGAATTTATGTCATCGAAGGATGACATCTTAACGATTCTCACCAAGCCGCTGGAAGTGAGGAACCTTAAGGTGGGAGGGTATTGGAAAGAAGAGAGAGAGAGAGAGAGAGAGAAAGAGAAAAGAAAAGAAAGAAAATATGAAAAGGACAGTCTCACCGCAGTCACAATTCATCCCACATTATTATTTACTCCGACAATGGTGGAATCTCCGCATCAGTAGTAATATTCATACATATAGTACATAATGTAATCTATGTCTAACCTGTTCGAATATTCTCTCAGTCTATCTTTTTTTTCTTTATTTTTTTGTAAGGCACATTCTAGAACCATATTGATTACATTATGGTAGCAGGTAGAGGAAGATCATATACAATTGGCTATGATAACAGTAGCGACTACAACCCCTGGCTACTTCTCTAGACAGGCATCCGATCAACATCTAACCGGCCCTGAGCCCCTCAAACGCCTCTAACCAGTTATCCCACCAGCAAAAGAATGGCTGGAAATATCGCCGGCCCTCACGGTGGTGCGCAGCATGCTTGACGGTCCCGGCACCCCAGCCTCGGGGAAGGATTTTATCGTACTGCCAGTCGAGTTCCACGCCTGAGTGGACTTCGATTAGTAGATAGATAAACAGCGGCACGAACAAAGTGCGAGTCAAGACGTGACTTCCGATGATATTCAAGGAGAAATTCGCCAATAAGATCAACGCAACTCGCTCGGCGACCGACAAACGATTCGTCACCTGCGGATGGATCTCGTGGTGGCCGTGGTGAGGGCCGTGGATGCGGTGGAGCGAAGGGATCCGATGAAAGGCAATGTGGATGAAAAAGAATAGGGTATCGTAGAGGAAGAGGGACACCGCCAGTTCGAGCAGGACTCGGCGGCTTGTTGGCGGCTCGCGGGGAAGCGCTCGCACGAGTTGCAACGGCGACCGCCAGGAGAAGTTATGTAAGGTTGGCGCAAGAAAGCTGGGACTAATGCGTCCTGTGGGCAGCTGGTAGGGCATGTATCCGGCACTGTGCCGGATGGTGTCGACATTCACTCCGGCGTACTTCTTCACGAGAGTCAAGTCGAGCAGTAGTAAGGGAGCTGCGTAGATCATGAGCTCGCGCACTCGGTGCTTGGGTCGCTTCATTTTCGGCAGCGGAGGGCGATGATTGTTGCTTAGCTTCGTAGTATGTTTACCACGAATGTGTTTACCACGAATGTCGATCCGACGTCCCGAGTTGCGCGCGAATCGCGCGGTATAGATGGGCTCAATGGTGATATAGCATAGCAGCGTCTCGATTGTTTCGAAGATGGATAGATTGAAAAAGGGCCAATGGTAGAGGAAGTGGTAGAAATTGGACATGAACCGCACCCACCAGGACGGACAGAAGATGCCCGACCCAATGATGGTCAACAGGATCACGCGCGGAATCAATACGGAAGAACGCGTCTCAGTCTCTTTTCCCATCGGAGTGCCTGAAGGAGGAATAACCCTACACAGGTTGTGTATATGGAGGAGCTTGCAGCTGTCGCATATTGGTGGTACTGGTGGTCGTGGACTGGTCTTTATGCCATGCAGGGAATAATACGGAGTAAAACAACACGTTTTCGTGTCAGACAGGTGGTGATTCGTCCGTCTCAGCATTAGCCCAGGGAGGAGGTTGCGGATGAGTACACCCAGGAGACATCACGGCTTCGTCATTGATTCCAAATCATCTCCACATTACGGGAGACTAAGAGAAGCAGGCTTGCTCGGTTAGCCTTGGGAAATGCGGGGCTTCTCTGTGGAGCGATCGGCTTCAGGCCATGGAATGCAAAATTTTAGTTACGTTACTAGCGCCCGGTATCCTAGTGGGCCCCAGACCACCAAAAATGGCGTGGGATCCTACGAAGCTTATGAACGGTTATTTAAGATGGAATAATACGACGGCCCCTGCTATCTGCCCACAAGACTTGTATCGTCACACTGAAAACGGCGTGGAGTTTTAACCTGGCTATGCAGTCGCTACAGGCCTTGATTCCCTCTTTGGCATTGACGCTTGGCGAGCAGACCTCTCCGAATGTCGTGTTGTCCCTGGCCAGCACTCTGACCCACAGGCAACCAACGCCAATGACTTCTCGCAGTCGTCTCTTGCGCCTGGCTTCAACCACGGCTGGGCCTCAGCGACGATTAAGATTTGATCTCACTGAGGTCCCTCCATTTCACGCCTACCTCCGCAATGCCAAAGAGCGCGAGGAACGGAAAAGGAAAGAGCGAGAAGTGGTCAGTGGCCTTGGAATATCACCTTTCTCCAGTCTGTGCAAGACAGACGCATGTAGGCTGTGAGTGGAATGATCAAACTAACACTGCTCCGGTTGCAGGCATTCACAGATGCCTCGAATCATATTCCCACGTTTCAAGCCGTTCTGAGATCTCATGGCGAATGGCCTTTGCTGCGAGGTCAGTTTTCTCTGGCATTATGTTAGAAAATGAAATATCAGTTTCCTTCCTATTGACTAGTAAATCACTATAGATACACCAACAGTGTTTCAAATAAACATTGGGAAGTTCTGCAACCTTAACTGCCGACATTGCCATGTGGAGTCAGGTCCTACTAAGACCCAAGAGAATATGGACCGCAAGGTAGCTGAACTTCCACCCTTGTTATAAGGGTATTAGCTGATTGGAGCAAGACGGTCGACCGATGCTTAGAAGTGCTGAAGGCCAGGCGGGTGTGAGTCAGGTGTAGGAGTCAATGGTGCTAACTCGATCAATGCAGCCCGTCTATTAGCACGGTAGACATCACCGGTGGAGCTCCCGAGTTAAACCCGCATTTCCGAATGCTCGTACAAGAGGTGAGGGTTCCTGATCCCCAGACATTCCGTCTTAGTACACTAATAGCTTTCCGTCCGTTTTGTCTCAGGCAAGAAGCATGGGAAAGACAGTCATAGATCGCTGTAATTTGGTGGTTCTCTTTGAACAAGGACAAGAAAATCTTGCTGAATTTCTTGCCGAACAAGGCGTTAACATCGTCGCTTCATTGCCATGTTACACGGAAGACAACACTGACCGACAGCGGGGGAAGCGAGTTTTTGATGACAGGTGAGTCCTCAGAACCAGAGCAATCACTTTTCCTACATGGTGTTCACAGGTAGCTAGTATTACAGCTCTCAAGAGTCTTAATCGCTGGGGATTTGGCTGCGCTACACCGTCGACCGTTTCTGCACAGGACCACCAACGACTAGATTTGGTTTACAACCCGATCGGTCCTTCCCTACCTGCGCCGCAGCACGAGCTCGAGACAGCATATCGGCAGCGGTTGTGGGACGATCATGGTGTTTCATTTAATTCTCTCTACACACTTACAAATATGCCTATCAAAAGATTCGCAGATACACTCTTAGAAAAGGGCGAATATGCAGCATACATGGAGCTTTTGGCAAACTCATTCAATATCAGCACGGTTGACCGGCTCATGTGCCGTTACACCGTGAATGTGTCCTGGGACGGCGACCTGTATGACTGCGACTTCAACAGCGCTCTACAAATGGGTAGCAAGGGAGTGGGTCAGGTGGGAAATCTTAACATTTGGCAGATTGGTTTGTCTTGACCCTCATTTCCGCTCATATACACAGTCTCAGGTACGAACTGGTTCTAACCGAATAACCATGTATTAGAGAGCCTGACCGGTCTAAAAGGGGGCTACATTCGCACTGAGAAACATTGCTTTGGATGCACGGCTGGCTCCGGATCTAGCTGTAGTGGCGCGTTGACATGAACTGTGGCAGGCAGAGACGATTCCCTTCTGATTTAAGCATGCTTTCAAATACTCCATGTAATTAGCCTCGCGTATTGCAGAACTCATAAGCTATCTGCAACTGTCGGACAATCTATATCCTCAGTCGGCTTCCCACCGGGTAGTACGTATCAATTTTGTTCCTGCCTACGTACCATCACTGTTTCTAAACAGCCGAATGTACTGGGATACACCTCTCGTTTCTGTTTCCGAGTTTCCCATAGCCCCTCGAGGTCACCTGGCTCATCGACATCCGGCAGGGCTTCGCTTACTGAACACCGTAACCCCGCTTCTTGCAGTCTCATGATCTGCATGCTGCCCGTGCGATCGCAGGACCAAGGAATCCTACCAAATGCTGTGTGGCCGTCACAATGTAGTGGCACTGTCAAGAGAACATATCCGCCATCGCGGGCAGGGATTATATGTGCCGTGTCTGGGTTCGAGGACACCCTGTCCATCGAATCCTGAACCGTTGCAACCGTGAGCTCAAAGCAATCCATACCGAGGAACGTCACCGGCACTATTGCTCCTGCATCTATAGCGGTGTGCCTCTTCAGATGTTCCAGGGCGTCATGAAGACGTGCCCCCAGGTCGGGCGCATCGGGTTGCGGGTGTATATCCCATGAAGATACTAAGGATTCATGCTGGAGGAATGCCGATACCTCCCATCGGGCGGCCGCCGGTGTGTAGAAGAGAGTCTTGTGGCATGCAGCCTTCTTAAACAGATGCATGAGGTCTGTCAATGCAGCCAACGCAAAGGAGCTGGCGCCTTCTTTACCTAGCCGAGGAATGAGGCGTGTTTTACATTTTCCGGGCGAGGGAAACCGGGCAAAGAGCGCGAGATGTCGCTGCTGATCCATGAATAGAGGTCGTTTCCACGGTGATCGGTGGAGGTTAGATATGAAAGACGGGAGGAAAAGTGGGATGTCAGAGGGAAAACACAAACGATGGATGGATGCTGACGCAGGATTCTATGTGGAAGAACGGTTCCTACGAATATATTATATGTATTGTACTGTCATTCAGCGTAGGGTCTCGATGAAAACCAGTCACCATGAAGCTCTGCAGATCCCAGGGCAAAACATCCCATCCGAAGCATTACAATCAGGTTGGGTCATAACCAGTCCTATTTACTCTCCCTTGCAACTTTTACGACCGTTTTGATGCTCTTCTGTTCGACCAGCCGGCAAAAGCGGCCGCCCGTAATACCATCGATAGATAGTTGCATGCGAGACACCAGACAGCCATGCACTCACCAGGAATTGATTCAACACTGTGTTCCACAGAACGCCCTTCTCGTCCCACCGCCGAGGACTCGTCACCACCTGCTCCTCCAGTACACTTATACGTCCATCCCATACCCGGCTGCGAACCCGCCGCAACAACTCTACATCTTCCATGATGGGCACATCCGGAAATCCCCCGATGGCTTCGAAGGTCCGCCGCGTTAGGAAGTACGCCTGGTCCCCGTATGGTAAACCACCCCACCGGGCACGGAGATTGGCTCCCCATAACATCAGGCGCAGGGATAGGGAGATGGGTGGCGGGAGAGAGAGTGTAAAGGTTCCCAGAGCAGGAGGCCGGTGAGACGACAGGGTGCGAAGGACGGCCAGGTCCCATGCTGGCGGCAGAAGGGTGTCTGCATGGAGGAACAGGAGAATCGATGTGTATGGGGAGATGGTGACCGCGTGTGCTGCCCCCGCATTCTGCTGAGCTCCCCGAGACGGCGGCAACGAATACTGAAGGAGGTGGAGTGTCGGATGAGCGGCTATCAAGGGAGCTAGACGAGCTCGAGTGCTATCAGAACGTCCCGCATCTACCACGACGACTGTGGGCTCGAGGTGCTGCGTGAGCTGGCCATCCTTGTGCAGAGAACTTGTGGCAAAGAGTTGCGCAATGGTTTCCGGCAAGACAGTGGCTTCATGTAATGTCGGGATGACAATAGCGATCGGGTTCCTTGCATGGACCTTGCTCTCTTCATCCTTGTTCGCGAAAGAGGATGTGGGTGATCGATGGGATTTATTTCTCCAATAAAGGGAAAAAATGTTCACGACAACGATGGCCAGGAGGAGATAGAGAATTGGAAAATCTAGCCAAAGTTCCTTTGATATTGTCTTCATGTCTGGTGAACTTGACACCAAATTCGAATACACATATCACGGCTTAGCAAGCGCTCTGATTCTCTCAACTTATCTATCTCTTAGATAAATAATCCGTGTCACTACAAAATTACGAATACAGGGGGTTCCAGTAGCGTGACCACTAGCACTGTAACCTGTATTCTAAACTCCATGTGTTTTTGGGATAATTATAGTGACCGGCGTAGGACTTGCCCGCGATGTGGAAGTCCTTGTAGCATACTCTGGGAGATTCTGGATCAGCGAACATTCTTCATGTTGACACTTTCTTTTTCTTACCGATTTGCTTACCTTTTATTTTTATTTTTTCTTTTTTTCTGTTAGCGTCGTGTTCTGACTCTTGTCACTGGCGTCAGTCACGAATTCCAGCCACCAAAGTAGGTCGACCTCAATGGGCCAATCAATTATCTCCACCAAGCTCATGACGTATTCCGACCCCAAAAGTGATCGACCAAATTTGGAATCAATATACTGATTTAGGGTATACTCCCGGTGGAGAATCGTACCACTAGGCCAAAATAAAATCGGGTCCATCGGTGTGATTCTTGGCGTAACTTTATATTGAAAGGATCAGCTCCAACTGCAGGATGGGGTCGCATACAGAATGATCCTAAATTCGCAATTAAAAACGGAACAACAGAACGGCCAGGCTCGAAATACCGTACCTAAATCCTGGGGAGGGAAAAAAAATCACACAAGCCTATCGCTAATGGCTACGCCCTTGCCAGAACAGACGAGATCAACTTGTTCTGCGCGGATATCATGGATTCAACATCCAAATCGAGAGTTCTCGGGAATTTACGACAATACTATGGCTCAACTATTCAGTCTAGGGCCGATCTACGCACTTCCGCCTGCTGCTTGACCAATATCTCAACGCAAAGTCATTCTGCCAGCCAGCTACGCGAAGCGCTGGTGCGTGTCCATCCACATGTCCAGGAGCGCTTCTATGGTTGTGGATCGCCGATTCCAGCGGTGTTAGAAGGTCTGGCTGTCCTAGACCTGGGATGTGGAAGTGGCCGGGACTGCTACGTGCTCTCACAGCTTGTGGGGCCCCGAGGTCGTGTTCTTGGGGTGGATGTTAGCGAAGAGCAGATTGCCGTAGCCCGGAGTTTCCTTGACTGGCATGCACAGCAGTTTGGATATGCCAATGTCGAATTCAAATTGGGTCAGATGGAGGACCTCGCACCTTTGGGAATTGCCGACGCTTCAATAGATCTCGTCATTTCCAATTGCGTGCTGAACCTCTCTGTTGACAAAGACCGTGTGATACAGGAGACCTTCCGCGTCTTGAAGTCCGGTGGGCAATTGTATATCTCCGATGTTTTTGCCAACAGGCGTATTCCCCAGTCACTGATACAGGACCCAGTGCTCCATGGAGAGTGTCTGGCAGGCGCCTGGTATCGAGAGGACTTTCGTCGGCTGCTGGCCTCCGTCGGCTGCGCGGATGTTCGCATGGAGTCTCAGCGGCCAATCTCCATCGGTGATCCAGATGTGGAAGAGAAAATTGGGTTTGCTACCTTTATGGCATGTACGGTTTATGCATTCAAATTGGACTTGCTGGAAGATAGATGTGAAGACTACGGACAAGTGGCAAGGTATCGGGGAACAATCCCAAGGCACCCACATAGCTTCCGACTCGATGAAAATCACGAATTCCCTCGTGGGAAATGGGTTCCTGTTTGCGGCAATACAGCAGATATGTTAACAGCCACACGGTTCGCGCCATACTTTGAAGTTATTGGTGACAAGAGCACTCATCATGGCTTATTTTCATGTACCCAGTCACAGGAGTTGGTCCGTACAGCCGTGGAGGATGTAAAGCCTAGCTGTTGCTGAATTCTACATATCGGATGTGATGAAATAACAAAGGAATTAAATCTGACGTATAATAAGGCCAGTAGTATTGCCGTTCTATGTATTCTGTTATCCTCTGTCTCTCGCTATAAAATATCCCGTCCATTTAATCACATCCTGATAACAGCTGAACCTGATAATTAATTAAATACAGTGTCAGCTTTTCCATATACGTGCACACCATCTACAGTATTTTGTAGCACCGCACATTTCCAAGGGTCGGTGAAAGAGTCGGATAGATGTGTCTCTTCAGCTAATGTTTTGGCCTCATTTGCGACGGAGTACGTAGCAGCGTATAGAGTCCAGATATAGCCATGGGGGCGAGAGAGGAAGAATTGTCCAGGCTGTTTGAAAGCAGCATTAGCGTGGGAGCGCAAGCTACGAAAAAGAGGCTTGTGATAAGAGGCATTCTCGACAAGTGCCCTGCAATGACCTGCCAGTAAATGTTTCATTGTATTTATATTAATAAAAACGTACCCATCAACAATTGTGACCGTGGGTGCTACCAATGTTACCGAAATAGTCGCAGCAGTCAAGTCTCCTCCAAATTTTCCCCAAGCATAATTGCTCCGGTAATATCAGGGTCTCCGAGTTTCTGGGTAGTCCATGACCAGTCGCCGTTGTTACTGTTTCTTTATATAAATTATCATTTCATTTGCGTGAGTTTTCTTTCAAATTGTAAAGTATCAATGAACCGGACCATGTAATTCAACTGCACGGAATCATTTAACATAGAGAATAATTAATTTGCTTCTCAACAATGCAAAGCTCGGCTTCCTTCCCGTTTCCACATGATAGCTAGCATCACGTTTGCGGGGAAACGTCTGGCGTCGGATAGACGCCCAGTGGTCACTAGAGGATAAAGTAGCTTCGCCCGCAGCTCCGCCATTTCTTCCGTAATAACATTAATTGCAGTTCCTATAGCTTCGGACATCTTGCGCCGAGATTAGCCACCACTGTGCGCCCGCTCGCGGTGATTTGCATCCTATGCCCGCTGCCACGCTCCTGATACAAGCAAAGGCCGGCCACTGTTCCTTTTAGACTTCCAGATGCTAGAAATGAGCCCAACGTACGTGTTCATGATGAGTTCTGGAACCAAGAAGAACCAGCTAGCTGGGTAAACTGCAGCCTTTCAGTACACGAGGCTCCCCGGAGTGCCTCCAACCGGAGAAGCCATATCAAGTACAACGACAAGGTGCAGCCAGCATCTAAGTCTCAGGTTCAGAAATTGCCCCCAGAACATACTATAACTTCATAAACTACCCACATGCCACCAAGGAGCAGGTTTCTGCTGCCATTAAGTCGGCCTGAAAGCCAAAAGGACTCGGAGAACATGTCATTTATAGACAGAGGGTCCGTCTTCCTCGAGGCGGCTGAATTGGTCACCGGAAAGTACTGATATGAGTTTATTATGGCGATAATACTGGGCCAGGGAAAGAATATCTAGCCTGGTGAAATTGACGCCCCGTATAAACCGGTAGAGTTCTTCAGGCTCAACTGTAACCTTGCAACGGAATTGCAGAACCGGGGGTACTGATGCGATGCGGAGGTAAGCAAGATTGTGCAACGCAGAAACAAGGAAACTAAACTAATGTCAAAAACCGAATGGAACATCGGCCTGTAGAAGGACTAGTCTACGCTATCTCACCCTTTAACTTGAGTACACTGGGAGGCAGCTTGCTCTCGGGTCGTGCATTAATGGACAATGTGGTCTTGTGGATGCTATCACCGTCGAACGTTATGCCAGCAGCCTCGTCCGTAAATTCTGCTGGAAGCCGGTCTGCCTCGTGGTGATGTTGTCCAGTTTATGTCGGGCAATGCGGAGATCACTGACGTACTCCCTCTCACCTTGACTTGCTAGTCTTTACTTGATCTGTTTGTCTAAGTCTTTCTAGTCCATCTATGCAAATATTGGTGAGGGCATTAGTAAGTTGTTGGCGAGGCTAGTGGCAAAATCTTCCATCTGATCCATAACTCCGCCGATATCCCGAGGGTCGTCAACCATACCATCCGTGGTGCTTTTGAGTATCAAGGCCCAAAACACTCAGCAGCCTCCCGCCGGTGTCTCCCTAAATCTCATGCGGAGGAGAAATTACTGACGTCCATAAAGACTCACATTAAAGATATCTCCCTAGGCAGCCCAGATAGGGGCCTGGAGGCTTTCATGGACCCCGCAATTCACCGCGGATTATTTGACAAGATCATGTCGATCATCGATGCAAGCAGTAGTGGTCCATCTTTGAAGTTTCTCGCTGGTGGTACTTATGACAACTCGGTTTGTTTCTTTGTAAATCCAATTATTTACCAAGCAGAATCACCAGACCAAAGGTCTGTTCAACGAAGAAACCTTCGGCCCAACTTTGGCTGTCTACGTTTACCCTGACGCGGAATGGACTTCTACCCTAAACGGTGTCGACCAGGCTAGAGGTGGATTTGCGATAACAGACGCTGTTTTCGCAAAGGATTGAACAGCTATTCGTGAAGAGGAGCATACTCTTCACTACATAGCTGTGAATTTATACATCAATAGGTCATCTACTAAATCCTGACAAGCTTCGAGATATAGCCTAGTGCAGACTACAAGATGGCTGCCGCGCCAATCGGGCAGCAGTCTTTTAGCGGTGCTCGTGCCAGCGGTACTAATAACAAGGCTGATTTATCCGGTATTGTGCGGCGCTTTACGCGTGCCAGGATGATCATGGAGGAGTTCATTCCCCTGGACGAATAGAAACGTCCCAGCAACCATTAGAATAAATATCTGAGGATGTACAAATGGCTAAATATTACTAGAAATTGAAGAAAATACTAGCAAAGATACTGCAGTTGCTGATGCAGTCTCTCCATCACTCCTATCTGTGACTTATTATATATATTATGGATATATATATTACTCGGGTCATCCCTTTGCTTCTGTAGCCATCGAGAGGGAAGAGCTCCTCTTTCATCATGCTGGGACTCGTAAAGCGCCACTGCATTCAATAAACAGTATGTTCTCCAAAATTTTGTCTTTATATGCTTTCACTCTCTCGTATCATTGACAGGACGGGTCCCATCCATAAGACGAGCAATAGTAACAGCCTCCCGCAGTGCCTTCCCAACATAACCTCGTAAGCCGGCCTCTTCCGTCACCATCAGGCCACCGATCGTACATCCCTCAGGAGACGTTCCCTGATCCTTTAAAAGTGCAGGATGTATTCCGTTCTGAAGAAGACTGGCTGTACCCTGCATCGCCTGGAAATTATGGCTTACGCCAGGTTCCTGGGCACACCAACCGCCACAGCAGCATCAATCATAGCGTCGACAATCACGCTAAACATCGCAGGTGTCGACCCTGCCACGGCAGTGGTGGCATCCATTAGACTAGGAGGAATATGGACCGTTTTGCCTATTTGGCGAAATATCGAATCATCGAATCTGAGATCTCTAGGTGTGCCTCTGGTAACCTAGGTTCTGATTATAATGTTACTTCAATTTTCTGTCTTGTCCAACCGGCAGCGACGCTGATCAGGAGTTTATTCGCCAGGGCTTGGCGGAAACGGGTTGAGTCAACCCTGACTGGACGATGCTGGGATCTAGTGCAAAGATTATAACGTCGGATTCTTGTACAGCCTTCACGTTGCTGTCAATGGAAATGGCTAGTTTGTTCAAGTGCTGGGAGAATTGTGTGGCTAGTCGCTGCCTTGAGCTTTGGCTCTTTACGCAAGCGATTTATCGGGCAAATAGAACGGTATTCTAGGCCTAATACCGTATACAAGAAGGGAAGTACTTGCGTACAGTACGGGGAAGGAAGGGTTCGGGACAAATACTAGAAATCAGTTCATACCCTTGAGCTATTCATTCATACTCACGTAGTAAAAAAGACAAGAGACCTAATCCTTCTTCCAGCTTCCACACTCAGGGCCCTCTATTCATCTCCGGCCCTCGATACGGCATCGCGATTCTCAATCGCCAGCCGAAGCAAATAAGCCACACACTCTCTCATTCCACCCTATGTTGAATATTTATAGACTTTCGGATCTCCATCCGGGTCTTTAATTGCAGCAAACTAAAGATAACTTCATCGGACATTCCAGTTGTGCGAAACCTTCCAGTACCGTCGGTAACTTAGCCCTAATACGTCGTTGGTGTGGCTGAAAAGCAGCCATCACACTCGCCTTGTTGTGGCTAGTCAGGAATAAGCTAATTAACTGATGGAAAGAGACGTCCAATCTTAGTCCCAAACTCCCTAATCTCCTGTCCCAGTGCCCCCTGGGTAATAGCGTTGTATGCATCGTCAGAATCTTGCTTCGTGTCATGGATCAAGAATCTTTCGTCCGTGGTTATGTATGCTCCTCGCACCAGCTTGAGTCCAAGCGTAATCTCTTCTTACTAGCAGCAGCGAGGACCTCAGCAAGAGCGTCCGGTATACTTTTTAGATAGGCCTGGTAAGTGTTGTAGACGATGCATCTGTCTCGGTTTTATTTGACATGAGGTCCAGGGTAACGCGGAGAATACCTTTTGCTCTCCTGCAGCGAAGGCTTCTATAACCATCGGGGCCTAATCAACCTGAGCGGTTCAACTGTTAGTTGGAGGCTTGTACAGGTAGTCGTCTTCAAGGAGTAGTTCATCTGTCTCCATTATTCCCTCTCGTCAAGCCTCGATATGGGGACAATCGTCGCCCTGCTCCGCGCTTTCCGTAGCGTCTCCCAGGCCGTGTTGGGTCTTCGTCCGGTAGTCAAACACGATTTCCTTGCGCGTGTCATGCTTGTGCCCTGGAACCCCGTATCTCTAAGCTGCTGGATAGTTGCCTTCGTTCCTTTTCCTGTTTCACGGGGCACAGAACTGCCTTTAGAAGGTCAATTTCAAGATTCCAAGAAAGATGGGGTTCCAGTCCACATTTAACAAAGGGCCTCTTCGGGGCCTGCAAAGAAAAGTCAATGTAGAGAGGGATGGAAGAAGTAAGTACTTCTTGGACGAAATGGTGGCAACAAAGAGTGATCTAAGCAGGACGCCGGTAGGCAGAGCTGATAGAGGAGGCAGAGTGACCCCTGTTGCAGGTTTGGTTTCAGTCAACACAGAGTCGAGCAGAAATATTCTTCAGGGAGTCTTTGCTGGGATTATTGGAGACTGAAATTCCACTATATCTTGAAGTAAATGCGCCCAGTTTTGCAGGGAAGGCTGGTTTCCCAAAAGAGAACATGATTGAACTCAGTGGTACTCCAAAGATTAGTAGAGATCAGATAGATGCGGTATTCTGGGCTCTATGAGTTATTACTTAATATCCATGATTTTCAGTCCCTCAGTTGACTACCCGGTGTTGCACTAGGCCGTCTGCAGACCATCGATAAACCACATGATATACAAACTCCACATTATTATATCCGTGTCGAAGTGTACTCCACAAATCTCATGCAAGTATACTGTTTTATAGATTATTGTATTGTCTGACACAACCCCTGGAATCAAACTATCTCGCAAAAGTGGAAGTGGGCCTTGACCTTGATTTCAAGTACCTAGTTATTCATAATCTATACTCTGTGTATATTATTGATACTATTGGAGTTCGGGTTGTCTTTTTGTGCTTTAATACCTAGTGAATACTTAGCACAATCCTAACTCATTAGCCAACATTATTAGGGCTGTCTATAACCTCTAAGAGATATGTTACTGGATTAAACATATATTATTGAAGCTTGTAGGTTTAAAATATAGATGTATACTACCACTATATTAATTTAAATTTCAGGACTCATCGCATTCAGACTATGTCTTGCCCAAATATCGAGGTTTTAAATTGCTGCGGTATATGGGAATGTGAAGGAAGTCGGTACCAGGCGAATGGCCACTAGTGCAACTAGACTGAGATTCTAAATACAGTTCTTATCTCAAATTACGAGACCCGGCTTCGTTCCTTCAGAAGAAAATCTCGTATCAGGTGCTGTACGGAGAGCCCCCAATTTTATCCCATCTTCGACGCATTGGCTTGCGTGCGTGGGTGTACGAAGTGCATTCAGGAAGGATTGTTTTCTCCCATGATGTTGAGTTCGACGAGAGGACCCCAGTGGTGTCCCTCATCGAGGGCAGGAAGTTGGAGACAACATCCCAAACAATGCTCTTTCATCACCGAATGACCCAAAACCGGTGCTAGCAGAAACAGGGGGTTCTTGTAGCATGATGTGTAGTACAAAATGTTGGAGGAAGAAGTATCAAGATAGAATGGCCACACCCCTTTCCACTTTCTATTGAGATCAGACGTTTATCCTGGCCCTCTCTGGCGTTATGCAGCTCAACAATCTGTTGTGGACACTTAATCGTGCGATACAGAATCCCAGTGGATATACAGTGTCAATAAATGATGTGAATGCGAGCCACGGGTTGAAAACACAAGGACTTTAGTTCCTGACGTGGGCTGCTTGTGGCATGGTTGGTCTCTCAGCTCGGCAACTTTCAGTTTGGATCAGCTCATCAATTGATGCAGCTTCACAGGTGGGTTGACCGTGTTTTGTATTTAATAAGTTCGCCTTGCACAGTGGACAGGACATGCGCCGCCGAGCGAACCAGGGATCAATGCAAGCACAATGAAATATATGTCCACAAGAAAGGACGCGTACATAATCATTGGGGTTGATTTCCTCTAAACAAATCGTACACACAGCTGTAGGGCCTTGGGTAGGCACTGTCGTACACACAGTGGGTTCATTATACTCATGTTCTTGGCAGTCTGGAAGGCTTAGTCGCAGCGTGGCGCCGGTTGTGTTACTATGAAGGCACGGAGAAGACATGGCACCTCCTCTCAGACTGGAAAATCTCTTCATAGAGGCTTCATGTTTTTCTGACCACGTCAGACTATTCTTCCTATTGCATTCCCCGTGACTGTCTTCTGCTGTGCCTTGATGGGTAATTTTAAGATGACGAAGTTTGTACCTGATCCGCGGAAACTGCTCATTAATAAAGCTCGGTATTGACAAGCTGTCCAGATGGCTAGACGGCAAGTAGTCTGGGGACTCTTCGTCCGACTGTCTCTGATGACACCTATATCGACGCAACCGCCTTCGAAAAATTACTCTGAAAACTACACTGTTATTATGAAGGATGTGAGTATATATCCAAATAATAATGCAGAGTTCCGAATACAGGCCTGGAACGAGGAATGCTGCATACTACAGTGCGAGGAAGAACACTGCGACCGCAAGCGCAGCCAACAAGCCGGTGGGTGACCCTGATCCACTGGAAGAACTAGAATCGCCCAAGTCGCTCTCCATTGTTGTACACCTTCAACAAGTAGATATAGATCACTGGTCTCCAGGTCAGGGAAGGATTAGGGACAGTATCGAGAAGCTAAGCAACTCAGTAGGATGTCTTCCCATACAATCAACAAGGCGAGAATATGCAATCTTGGGTTTGTCCAGCTGATATACTTGCCAAGAAGTCTCCCGCCTGAGGGATCGGCAGGGTCTGGGTACAAGTGGAACAAGGTGACGAGCCTACAATGGAACCATTTCGATTGGATAACCATTCGTAAGTGGTCGGCGGAACTTGACATATTCTCTTGGCAAAAGCGATTTCGCATACGTGCTGACTGAACTGTTAAAATGTGGGATTCCTTTATGACTGACGTCACTTTCGGCTTGTATGACTTTTAAGTATAGAAAACGTTAGGATGGGTGGGGTATTGGTACTCAGTACGCAGGTCAGGTGCCGCTTCATAAAAGCCGCTAGCCGCCCCACCGATCTTGGCACTATTCATGTTGTTTTTTGCCGGAAGTTGTATGTCAAGGTGCTACATCCAAGATCCCCACTCAGGCACAGAACATAGTTTGTTCCAGGGCGGAGTCAACGTGACTTCTGAATGTTGTTGTAAGCGATTGCTTGGTCTATTGAAGGTCTAGTGAAGGGATGGCCAGGTGGACGCTACCGATACACTCAGCTTACATAAATGATGACTAAGCGAGGTCGTATCTGCACTAACATAGACTGGCGTGTACACAGCTCGCGTGAGTAGACTAGCGTACAATCTACAACAGGCACCTGTAAACTGTGCTGGAGCATACGGCCAATGGGCGCCTTTCCGCGGTTCGACCTTGCTTAGTCATCATTTATGTAAGCTAGTTCATAGTGTTAACTAGTAACGTAATCGGTAAGCGAGCGCCGCATGAAAGCGAGCGCCGCACTTCTGTACGCCATATAAAATGGCACTCTTTGAAACCTTAATATCTCAACCACCAGTAGATATAGAACATCTTTATAAGACAATAACATATATATGGATTCTAAAAGGTATTTTCATGTTTTTAAATAGCTTTCTTGGCTTTAAATACTAGGACAACTAAAAATATAAAAAATACAGTTGTAATTTATCTTATCTGGAGAAATATTCATTCCTAAAATTTCTCTGCTTAATATATATATATACGTTATTATATTATACTGTATATTAAATTTTATGCCCTCTAGGTGCTTTATTGTTGAGATATTAGACTCTCAAAAAGTGTCATTTTATATGGAATAGAGAGGTGCAGCGCTCGCTTTCATGCGGCGCTCGCTTACCGATTACGTTAGCGGCCACCCATTCAATAGAATTAGTCGCTTCCAACCTGCATGGGACTGGGTATCACACTTTAATTTGGTGTGCATGGCTATGGATATTTTAATATATGTTATGAATATAGGATCGGAGGATTCCTTACTTATACACACATCATCCCCACAGACGAATTCCTGTATACTAGCGAAGTAAGCTCAATCAATTCAATGGCTTAGTTCTCTCTATTTAAATGTCAATTCCCCTGACCTACCGTTGGTTGCAACAACATATGACGCGACGACTGGAAATGAGAGAACCAAAAAAAAAAAAAATTCAATCGACATGCCGAATGCTGCGTATTGTTGGTGATAAATACAGATAACCCAGTGGTAGACATGGATGACGAATGACAATTCTCCTCAGACTAGTCCATCACTGCTCCCAAGTGGAACACGCTCACTTCCAAAGGGGAACGACCTCGCATTACCTAAGTACCTCCACCCTCAAAGGAAAAAGAAAGGCAGAGCAAACCCACGAAGCCTCTGTGCCATAAGTCAGCTAACTGAGAATTTCTGATCTAGCCTAGAGCAACATCTCTAAACCCGAATCTGCAATGAAACAATGTGGTATTATGTTATGCCTGTCCTCTAGAGGTTGCCTCAATAAGTCCGGATTGGCGTCTCGTCCGGTGGCGGAAAAAGACCCTCTTTCCCCATTTCCACGCTTCCACGCCAAGAAAGAACAGCAATGCTTCAATGAATACGATTCCCCATTCCCATGAAATGCCCGTGTGCTTGAAGACTACATGGTTGATTACAGGGATGTATAGAATCGGGAAGGTAGTAATAAAACCAGCCATGATAGACCAGAAGAGGAATTGATTCCTCCACACGTCATGAATCCACTGCGTAAAGTACCTTTTGGACCTAGGTTGCATACGGAAGAAAGATCGGCGCATGTTCACCATCTCCCAGGCGAGGAAAAGTGCAAACCATGTCAAACACACAAATGTTGTTGCTCGCGCCCGGAAGACTAGGTCACAATCGGGTGTGTAGTCGCGATTGCATCCGCTGGCCAGATCACCGTCTCCAAATCCCCACATTCTCACGGAGAACGCAGCTAGGCAGAGAGCTGCAGTCCAGAGACCGTAAGCTAGGATATCTATTATCACCTCCCACGTGAAGATACCCTTCTTACTTTGCGGGGGACGGTCCATGATATCAGGGGCGGCGATTTCCATGCCGAGGCCCATGTCGGGCATACCTGAGGTGATCATAATGATCCACAGGATTTCAACGGGCGCCAGTGGGAACACAGACTGGCCGTGCTGATCCTTAAAAGCCAACCCAATAAGAAGGGTGCATGCCTGGGCAATGTTCTCGGATAACAGATGAAGAACAAACTTCTGAATGTTGTCGAAGATACGGCGTCCTTCTTCCACTGCATTAAGAATGGAGGCGAAATTATCATCCGTAAGAACAATGTCAGATGCGTCTTTGGCCACGTCTGACCCTGATTGCCCCATGGCTATACCGACATCAGCGTGCTTCAGGGATGGTGAATCATTTACACCGTCCCCTGTCATGGCAGCAAAGCGTCCGCGTCGGTGAAGAGCATCAATCATGCGCACCTTGGTCTGTGGAGCGCAACGCGCAATAACCAGAGGCAGCGTGGGGAGATCATCGACCTCCGCATCCGACAGTTTATCAAATTCGCCGGCAGTCATTACCATGGCCTTGGCCACGTCAGTGGCTACTGCACTGAGATCCGCGGGCAGAATTCCGACCTGCCGCGCGATGGCACTGGCCGTCCCAGGATGGTCTCCTGTCACCATATGTACTGCAATACCAGCCTGGTAACAGGCTTGGATAGAGGCCGCAGTCTCCGAACGAGGAGGGTCGTAAATACCGATCAATCCTAAAAAGCACAGATCCTTCTCAATCTCATCACGATTGAGGTTCGAGCCTTCCAGCAGCTGGGGCCGTTCAGTAAATGGCCGATGCGCCAACGCCAACACACGGAGACCAAGTTTCGCCAGCTCTTCCATATTTCGGAAGATATAGTTCCGAAGATCCCCCGTCATAGCCACCAGGTTAGGTGAGTCCCGATCCCATATCACGGATGTACATACGTCGACAATGCGCTCGACTGCGCCCTTCGTGAATATTACGCAGTGCTCTTCTCCTTCAGTGACTTTACTGAAAATCACGGACATCATTTTCACAGTGGAGTCGAACGGAAATTCGGCCTTTTGGTACCACAGAGCGTCTTGCCCTTTGGTCCACCTATCACGGTTCCAATTAAACCTTGAGGCGAAGACTTGAATGGCAATTTCAGTCGGCTCACCACGTGCATGCCACTCCTTTTGCTCGGATTGGTAGACATGAGACAAATTAGCCATAGATGCTACGTCAAGGTAATCTGCAAGTTGCTGATTTCCATTTACGTGTTCGTCCGCATCTTCTATAGGTGTTCCTTCCTTCACTTCATCAAACTGGATGGGGGCCGCACAGGTAAAGGACACTTCACCGACAGTGGGGTTGAAAGGCTCGTTGGACGTGTCCACAGTATAGGTGCCCCGTGATGGGATCCAAGCCTTCTTCACGACCATCTTGCCCTGGGTCAAAGTTCCAGTTTTATCGGAGCAAATATCTGTGACCGCCCCAAGGGCCTCCAGAGAGTCTAGCTTGCGAACGATCACGTTCCGCTGCACCATGCGCTTGGTCCCCACGGCCATGGTGATAGTAAGGACGACTACCAAGCAGGCGGGAATCATACTCAATCCAGTACCAACTGCATAGAGGATCACTTCGTTGTTGCTACTGAAGTGATTGGCAGCCATGACAATGATTGCAAATAGTACTGCAATACCAAACAGTAAGAGAGCCAATTTTGACAACTTCCTTTGCAAAGGAGTTCCGATGTTCACGCCTAGAAACCGGCCTACAGCATCTGTCCCAGTCAGAGTCCAGGCCTGGATGTACCACCGCTTCTTGGTCTCTCCATCGGGCCCACGTTTGACAGGACGGCGCTTGGTATAGCTATCACGCAATGCAGCAGCAATAGAACCGATCTCCGTGTACATGCCTGTGCCAAAAACTACACCACGAGCACGACCGCGTGTGACAGTACTGGAGCTATAGGCTATGTTCAAACGATCTCCGGGGCCTGTGTCATCCTTGAAGGTGGAATTATATTCCTTGTGAACAGGGAGAGATTCTCCCGTGAGAAGGGCCTCATCCGTCTCAAAATTGGCTGCTTCGACCAGGCTAAGATCACGTTAGCTTCAATTCGATCCTGCCCAGGATGGCAAGTATCGTGAAAACTTAAAGCTCACCGAATATCTGCAGGAACAGTGTCACCAGTTTTTAATTCTATCATATCGCCCGGAACGATCTCGGTGGAAGGAACGGAAAATGTCCGACCACCTCTTGAAACAGTTCCAGTAGGGGAGCTTAAGGAGTGCAAGGACTCCATGGTCTTCTCAGCTGCATATTCTTGGAAAAACCCTACAACAATATTTAAGACAATGACGGCGCATATCACACCACCTTCGATCCACGATTTGATTCCGAAACTGACCGCCATAGCCAGAATCAACACCTGATGCAGCGAATTGGATCAGGGTCTGTACAGCAGAAAAAGGGAAAGAGAGCAAAGGGAAATGGGCCGCTTAACTAGCATCATTGCGTTCGCCATTTGGCGCACAAGGATCTTGGCCACCGACACCCCTTCACCCTCGTCCAGCTTGTTGAGTCCATACTGCTGGATACGCCGATTGGCCTCATCCTCAGTTAGACCTTCATCGAAATCCGTGTTCAGTTCCTTGAGAACTAACTCGTAAGGTAGAGCGTGAGCCGACCGGGACAACGAGACTCCCTGGCGCTCGGAAAGCCTTGAACTGGTCTGTTTTTCGTCTCCCATCTTGTTCGACTAAGATTAAAGGCGCTTTGATAGCAATTAATCAATGTTGGAGAATCCAACGGTAGGAGCTACAACGGGCAGAGAGAAACACCCATATATAACTCGCTTTCTTAGAAGGTTTGGGAGGCTTCTACAAAGCTTCTGCTGATGACGGGAGGTCTCTTCTGTCGTCACCCCTAATAGACCGGGGCATCGTTCAGGACTCGGGTTTTTAGTGGTGAGTGGTGACATGATGCGCAGTTGTGTGCAGTTGTGTGCAGTTGTGTGGAGAAATTTACTGATACGAGTATCTTGGCAAAGAGAACCTTCCCATGTATGCCGAATGATCTCGACCGGTGGAGAAGCCGATCAAAGACCAGCATCATTATCCATTTTATTGGACAGTTCGGGGCTGGAACAATCTGCTTGCAAGACCACCCACCCAATACAGAATAGCGATGCAGGGATCCCACTGCCAAGAGTTGACTGACCACAAATGTGGCACCATGGAAGACGGAAGTCATTCGTGAGGAAGCGCTCCACCTGGGTGAGCCGTGGAAACATTCTTCTCAGAAGGGTGGACTTGGCGGATGCTGATCTCATAGTTGACCAGTAAGATACTTTCCCTGATAGCTGAAATTGATATGCAAGGTAAGTTAAATAACGTCAGTATGACAAAGCAAAGGGGTCTAACTTAAGTTAGAAGAGAATACCCAAGGAAGTTTAGCGCCCCGCACTTCCTGATATACTTTTATCTAATTAATCCTTTGTAATAGTTATCTTAAAACTAACCAACGAGGGAGCAGGGGTTAAAGAAAGAAAGGAAAGAAAAGGTGCAATGACGTGAAACTTAAATTGTGCCATGCTTTGATCAAGGCTTAGTTAGGTCTCTGTCAACAGTAGTTCCGTCAATTAGCCACCAAATATGCTGCCAAGCCAATTAGATCTGGTGGTTAATCGCATCAACAAATATGACAGCGTGCATTTGTTAACCTGGCAGTAATTCTTGGTGTTTTGGCTCTCACTTAGTCATAAAAAGCGTCCATCACAGCACAGTATCCGTCGCTTATTCATACGTGTTTACCATCGAGGGTGCAATACTTATTTCCCTCATTTCAGACGCAGAATCTCTCGTGACTTCAATCTGCAGTGCTTGGGTTGTCTAAGATACTATTATTGCTTAGAATGAAGGCCCCGCACATTCCTAGGTGCTTGGACCAATCTTAATCAAATTCAAGCCCCAATGCTTATGCTGATATGGAGAAAGAGAAGGATTCGGAATGGTGCGATGCAGATACTAACCTGGGGTACTTAGATCATACTCGTGAGCATCAAATGTACCCAGGGAATCTGCTGCGGTCAGAGATGTAATACTTTATGGCTGTATAACGCAGAATCACTATAAGGCTTCATTGAATAGGCCCCAAAATCGAATTAGACTAATCAACCACACAAAATCTACCCTACTTTTATAGTGGTCTCCCCACAGGAAGCTTGCATATCATTCTTCTTCCCTTTATTATACATGAGGCCCTTTCGCTTTAAAAACTTTCAAAGATAGGGGCTTTCTTCCAGATGTTGATGGTTTTCCGTCTTCAATTGCTCCTGGATTTGATTGGTTTGTCTCCTCCTTTGAACAGCTCGGTGACGCGACCCAGCATGAATTGTTTTTTTTTGTGTTTTCCAAGGCCGTAACTCGATTACGATGGCTTCCATGGGCAGCCTCTGGCAGAATCGACGATGTGGTGTCTTTTTGGTCTAGAAGTGATGTGGCCTGCGCGTGCTAACAACAAAGTAGTTAGTACTCTAGGCTATCAATCGACCACAGGGCCAATCCCTGAAATTACTCGCCTTGGATAGTCGCCTCCATGAGCGGTGGTCATGCTGATGCAAGTCGCTAGCCTGCATATCCCGAGACTGTCTCATGTCCATGACATTAGCACTCCACTTTAATTGTTTCCCGCGGAGATGGAGACCAGTTGCTGAGAAAGATGAGACTTTCGGCATGCTAATATCAGGTGCCTAGCTATCGTCACTCACAGAGAAAAGAGCCTCAGACGGAATAGAACTTTTGCAAGTATTTCCTAAACTGGGTTGCTGTTGTTGCCGGCTTGGCAAGACATGGGGCATGCCCGAGGCCAGATTGCTCGTTTCTACCCGTGCATGCACGTTGTTCTGGATATAGCCTTGCTCATTGCACAGAGCACTCTCAGGAACCGGATGCCTGTCGGGGGGCACTCAAAGTCCTGGTCGGCCGAGGTGCCAGCGGCAAAAGGGTAGACACCGAGCGTGAAGAAAGTCTGCTCGTGGCATTCTTCTGCGTATCAGCAAAGCCACATCAGCTACACGGTATTCTGACGAACGATCAATCTGGGCTTCTTATCCTTTCAAGGATATGTTCTATGTGCTAATATTGGTGATATATACTTTTAAGGAAGATTTGGTCTTGGTGCCGTGCTTCAACTTCGAATGCTCTCTTGGAATTGGACACGGTGTGTTGTTGCATATGGAGCAGGTAGAAAAGGGACGTCCTTTCCGGTTAATGCGAATTAATGGCCGGCCTGTTATTCATTATTATATGTCTATTTGGTGGAAGGTAGAGGGAGAAATGTACCATGATGCTCACACGTGGTCACACGGTGCCCGCGGATGCAAGGTCTACATGCCCACTTCTCGCCATCAATTAGCATCTTTTTCTCTCGTTCATTCGTCGTTTCTTCCCTTTCGGAAGTTAACGAATGAGATAATAGACTGATTTGTCTGGAAGGGAGTATTTGTACATGAGAGTTGTAAGAATAGAACAGACGGTGGGCCACCACTCAGTAATAAACTGCAAATACTATGTGTGAGGGAATTGAGATGGCAGTAACTTCCCCCCTTTCTTGATTCGTAAACTAAATAAGCTGGGGCCTATCATTGCTGCCATAGAGAGTAGCCTCAGGTGGTTAAATGGTGTGCGGGATTTTCCTAGACCACAACGCTAGTGGAAAGTAGGGTTGGTAAATGAAATTTGGAATGACCCTTGAAATTGAAATGCGCTAGGTAGTAATTATGCAGTAAATTATGTAGTATATTATGTAGTATATTATGTAGGCCGCTGAAACTGAAGCAGCGGGATAGGATTCACTGCTTAGATGTCTAACTATATCTTGATAGATCAGAGGCCATACGTTGCGTACTGCAAAGATACTAAAACAAAGGGAGAACCCTGCACACTTTATATTCGCGACTGTTGTTCTCCCATTTACTGAGGGATAAAATACACCTGATCTGCAAGAGAGGTTTGACAGTTTGAAGTTTGGCTAACCCCTAAACGATAAGATTAAGAGCAGTCCTCAGGTACTCATCGAAGGCGGTTAACATACTCATTACGAATGGGGTTGAGGGTTACTATAGCTCTTGTATGGGATTACCAACTTCTCCTGTTTTCTCCAGACTGATTGGCTCAACTGCACTGTAAATAAATTTAAACTTACCTTAGCGGACACGATCTTCAAAAAGGTCAAGCCGGCTATTGCGAGGGAGCTCAGAGTGATATAATCATAGAAGATTTAGCCCGGTAAGAGAGGCCAAATGCTTTACGAGACCACTATTCTCTCATCTTATCGCCTGTTGTAGATTTTTCATAAGCTATCACTATCCTCTCTTCTTCCTGCATTCCATAGTCGCTGTAATTCACCGACACAGGGTTAACTGGTATGATAGCGGCTAAACTTCGGTAATTGCCGAAGTTGCAAATTTTCGCCTTTGACACTATCCTCCGCCAGGCGTTCGTTGGGAAGTAAAATAGCACGGTCAAGCTGGTAAGGTAATCCTCGATGGCGTCCCCGTATCATCATTGCGCATATCACAACTTTGCTGAATGTAGTAAACTCACCGCTCAGCGATGTCATCACTGTCGGATACCCAAGACTGAGGCCAACATTACCACTATGAAGAGGTTAGGTCTACTCAGCACGAGGTGTGCACTTAGGGAAATTGAGGAGATACTTACTACGCCGATGTTACCTCGAAAAGCACCGAAAACACAGAAAAGGCCTGTCGCAGGTCAGTGGTAGTACTACCGGGAAACAAGATAGAAAACACAAACCGGATCGGTAACATTCATAATCCTGTCTGCTTCTGCGATACAAATGCAGAATGCTCCTAGAAAGATATACCACAGATCAAACGTGAGTTGGTTGCGGATGTGAGTTAAAATATACGATCTGCTATTATTTTCATCGCCCTCGTCTTCCATAGGATATTTTCCTAGAGCCTTCTCTTCATACGTGTTTGATGCTCGAATGCTAATGGCGATAGGGAAAATGGCAATGTACATCATAACCACCAAGCTAAATTGGACAGCTGGGTTGACATCCGCCAGGTTGAACGTTGAGGTCCCAGTATGTCGAGAAGATGCCGCCTGGAAAATAGCAGCCAAAATGCGTGGTCCAGGGGCGAGGTTATTGACTGCCGAATTATCGAGATCTAGAACTATAATCAAGATAACATCAATAAAGTTCATAGCAAATAGGATCCCAAAGAGGGCCCACGTTGGCCCACTGGGGAAAAGAAGCGTGTAGCAGCGGCGAGGATGTTTTAGCAGGAAGTTAAGAGGTTCTCCAAGTGACGAAGTCCGTGGCACAACTTTAGATATAACCCAGATAACCAGCCGAAGGAAGCATGGATAGCATGTGTTTCCAGCAAAAGCAAGAAAACTCATAAGTAGCATAGGGAATGTTGCATCTTGGAATGAGATCATGGAGTCTGGTGTGAGAGTAAACCCAAGATTGTCTACCATCGTTTGCGCGGAGTAAAACCCCCTACAGAAATAATAAGCAGACTGTCTCTCCCCCATTGCATGAAAACTTACCACCAAACACTTCCCTGCCCACACTCCTCCAGGTACTGTCGATATTTTGGGTTTGCATGCTGAATCCAGCCGACGAGGCAAATTGCGCCAAAGATATGGAGCCCGAAGAAATAACCTATAACATAATTAGATTAAATACCTTTCACGGCCGACAAACCTACCTGTGACAATCTTTAGGAGTAACTTAAGGCTGCGGTATTCAATACCACCTAATATTTCTCGGTCCTCAGCAGTCAAGTTGTGGAATTGTGAATTCTGACCGAGGGTCGCCTGTGAAGAGAGCTCGGGTAGGTCTAGCTGTTGTGAGAGGGATATTTTTCGTGCGGCCTGCGATTGATGTCTTCGGCCCCGGCTGGAGGGGTCACCGACAACAAACATGGAAACAACGTGTTCAAGAGGTGCAGTGTCGCCATGCAACAGCTTGTTCTTGATGCTCTGGTCAAGCCCCCGAGAAGTTTCCGTCGTCCGGGTCTTTGCCACGTGGATATCCTCTTCTATATCATCGGCAAAAACGATGCTGGAAGGGGGAAGTTGGGTGCTGGTCGCCCTTGTTGGCGTCGTCTTGAGCCCATCATCACCGGGATCACCTCTGAATAACGATGAACAACGCCGACCGTCATAAGGATGCCGACACACTTACTCCTCTGGACCCGCCGGAGCCTTTTCCTCGCCTGCTACCACCGCGCTGACTCTCCGCGGCCTCCACCGGAGAAGATTTGGGGCTATTTCATTTAGATTCATCTCAGTTTTTTTCCCCACTGTGCTGGTCCGAGTACGCGAGGGTGATAATACCTTCTGCCTTCAACCTCTTCTCAAACCAGTACAGGCGAACCACCACCACCAGGATGTTGATAAATCCCAGATTGCTAATAATCGGAATTAAGTAAATATACAGCTGTTGATACGTCTTCAGATCCTTCACATCGACTCTGCGTAGAACGAGTTAGGATGCGCCAACACATCAATGGGCGCGACAACCAACGTGTTGAGTCCGGATTTATCTCGTCCAATCCGCCACACCTTCGCCCCATCACACCCTTCTTTAGCCTATGAGAAATTTTTCTTTCTTATCGTTAGAAATAGCAATGAGAAATGAAATATCAGTGATTTGAGAATCAGGCAGCTGAGAAGAACAGCTCCATGGGAAGCATTCAGTGGCGAACATCATACTCTATCTGCGTTGTTGGAATGGATGCCGTCTGTTAAATTACAGGTACCTTGTGAATCAGGCATCTTAGCACACCCGGAGCTTTAGCATATACGATTTAGAACGCCAATCCTACTGGGGACGTCACCAGCTCTTTACGAACAGTGGATCTCTTGAGGTGGGAGAGAGTCAGTCTATTTGACCGACCGTACGGAGTATATAACCCGATCCTTAAAAAAATATCTAAAAAAGTGTAGGTATTAGATTGCGTCGGATACTCCGATTCGAGATTCTAAATCGACCACGTATCTTAACGAATAGCTCTCGCCGTATCCTACAATTCGACTGGTTCATTGTCGATGCGTGGTAGCCTACAGTGCAGAGACCAGGATTTTGGATGAGAAAACGGTCGGGTTCGGCATGCAGCCGTCCAAGCGACTTCAACTTGCCGATAGGCCCCAGCCGACTAGAAGTTGTATGATCCAGCCGGCTTTTATGAATGGTGATATGACCGCCTTGTGTGGAGACTGCAGTGCGGCAAATTCAATGTACTTCCACCATAACCCACACTATTCCGAAACAAACGTGATAAGTCATGGAAAGTGCTTAATGAAGCCTCACGTCTCATAATCGACTCAATCTCAGAATATTTGAGCGTAGCCTTGGAGATTCAAGCCTTAACTCCCGAGGTTCTTAACGGCCTAATGTTTCAGCGGAAAGATGCCGTGTTAGGGGCATAATCATCTACCATTATTTCTTGCTTTTCACTGTATATTGGTGATAGAGGTAAACCCTAAGTTCCAATAGGCTGATTTTGATGTTGCTATACGAGCTCTGTTGTTGCACCCAATGCTGATTGTGATGGTGGTAGTCGAATAAGCCTTTTTCAACGGCTTTGACTCTCTTTGTCCTAACGCCTGCCAGGTTTGCTATGAACAGTGCAACGGTGATGAAACCCAGGTAAAAACAATTTGGCCCTAACTGAACAACATAATATCAGAAACAAACTGGTGTTGCATTGAAACTCGCCGTCTCCTCGGGGGTCGACGGGTAGACTTTTGTGATTTTACCCTGCAAATGACGATTCTGTGACAGCCAGGTCTTGGGTCAATTCAATGTAGGATATTGTTCGATTTATGGGGGGTCTGAATTGATTGTATTCAGAAGGTTGTTCTGCCCAACCCCTCTAGTATGAGAGATACTGGGTGTATATATTTGACATGATGTCCAGATCTGGACTAGCTTATTCTGACATATTTAGCGGGCGCCCGACTAGCCCCATGTCATAGGTTGCGGCCTGGCCGTGGGTGTTCTGTAATAGTTTGGTTGTCTCTGGGCTAGTAGAGATAAAACCACTTGAACATATGAAAAGGTACAAGGCAACTGATCCTCGATCAGTCGCATCTAGCGCCCTATATCGTAGTGAAGGTCTTAGTCTGAGCACCATACTGGGTTTAACCCGTGACAATTAACGTTCCAATGTTAAATGGTCAAGATTAATGTTTACTAGTGGAGTTTATCTGGGATAGACCTGTCAGTTGACGGCTGCTGGACTCGTATTTGTATCCAGTAGTCAAACCCGTGGCGCCTTGCCTGGGTATTACATACAAACTATGTTAATATCGACCACTCTAGCGTTTAACACATCGCTGCTAATCATAGCTATATCCGGCCTTTGACGGGCTACACCGTAGTTCAGGAAGCGTATGTCAACAAGGCTGATGTTGGCTATACTCTTCCGAGAATTCCGTGTGCCGACCACATTAGCCATATCTGCCGCCTTGTTTTCAAACGGATTACCAACTGTGCTCTTTCGTACCACTTTGATTTTGACCACTGAGATTCGACACTAGCGGGTAGTTACAATTCGTCTAGTCTCGACGGCCCAGGTCTCGACGTAGTATAGGCACAATAGTTTTTTTAAAGTCCATACATTTGAAGCAGTTCGTTGACCGTATAAAAGAATCAAGTACAAGTTCTTGTAGCCCTCAAGATAATAATAGATAGCGTAGATATACCTAAACCAGCTTTCTCTGGTTTAGAGTGCAGAAGCTGGACGTGCTAAGGATTATTCTAGAAGCCGACTCAACAACAATGTAACTGAGGTATAAAAGAAAGATTGTATACTATGAAGGAGCGTCTGAACTGGATTGAATTGTGGCTCCCTTGTAGGTTATAAACTCGATTTTCAACCTTCCACAAGGCGAAGTATAAAAGTTATGCACCTATTGTAGTTGTGTACACACTTGTAAGCCTACGCCAAGTCGCATCAGCATACTGCCACTCGACAACTTCACACGTGTACATCAAATTTAATGGACTATATGAGTGTCAGGGTAACCGGGCAGCTTCCGCTGGCTAGTTTATGGCAACGCTGAACTCTAGATCGTTAGCTAACACTGTCTGGGTTGTCTCTCAAATGCTAAAAGAAAGGTACTCTTGGTAACGTAGCTGACTAGTTTAGTACTTCTGGACCTTTAGTTCAGAAAGTGTACATATATTCATGGGAATTTGTGAAGACAGCTGCTATCTTAAGATTAAGTTAATTCACTTAGGCTGTTACGAAGTTGTGTAAGTAGGGCTTTTGAGATCCAGTTATATACTTGGTGCTTTCAGATCAGAATCTGTGCTACCTGGAGCATTCTGGGTAATACTTTTCTTGGAAACTTCCGAAAACGGCAAAATTAGGTAAAGTCTTTCATCGGATTTTTATGTTCGACTGTCTCCGTAACCGGATATCATACATTAACTTAGCTCATCCACTGAATAGGTCAGCATTTTGGTGGACATAGAGCGTTACACTCGTTAAAGTCAACCAAGATAGCATTGTACATACATGCCAGACGGCCTTCCGATAAGAGGCGAAAGTCCTAATACGGTTCCCGCTAGGTTCAGGTCCGGAACAATGTGTGATGCAGTCACTCAGTGCAGATTAGCCATGAATAGGCAGCTGTGAGGCAGATTGCGTCTATGTGGATCAACAAAATAGGAGTAAGCTACTGTTTGTAGCTGGCGTACTAGTTGCACAAGTACATAATCAGAAATGTCGGAAGAAGTGGCAGTAGCAGTGAATATTCTTCAGACTAGCTGCAATATTTCAGTAGTCGAGTTAATATTCTCGTTAGCATATACCGAGCGATATCCCGTCAACCATTCAGCGTGTCGAGCCAACCATACGAAAATGAGTGACTGGGAGTTATGGGCGTCCAGGGTTTCTTAGAGGGCGAATTATTGGACACAACGGAGACTAAACGGTTTTTGCTTTTCTAGAAAGAGCAGGTAACGGAATTAAATGGAGGTCAGATATCTTGCCTGGTGAGACCTAACGTCTTCACAAGATGTGCCTTATTCGGGCTTCGCAACGCCGTGCTATGCTCAGGACTTGCTCAGAGAACGTTCAGTGAGTGAGCTGGACAGTCAGTGAGCAGTTCTAGGAGCTCTGGGAGCGCTCCGAGAAGCTAAAGCGGCGCGCTCAGAGCACTCAAACGGAAAGAGCAGGTCCAGACGGCGTCGCAGAAAAAGGAGGTATATGCGAAAATAAGGAGACTAAAGCCAAAGAAATGTTTCCGAGCCCATATTTATTACAGTAGAGTTCTAACAGCCCACCTATTCTCCACCAGAAACCCATGGGCTCCTAATATTGTATCACTAATAAGCCAAAAAATAAAAAATAAAAAATAAAAAACAGAAATTGAAAAAAATTTAAAAAAACCAGAAATTAAGGACGAGTCCTGCGTTGTTTAACGGTGCAGGCTGCCAGATCTTTGCCGGAGAGCTCCAGTGTGTTCTGCGGAATATCTGCGTTCGAGACCGTAGTGCGGTGGAATCTCAGGAGGCTCGCCTGGAAATCTGGGAGGACCACCCAAACTGCCGAGAACGCAACTGTTGTCTGCAGTTAGATCATCTAGCACCTCTAACTCATGGAATGGAAACCATTTTGGAATGATCCAGACACGGAATGGGATCAATGCGATGATCAAAACCGGGAATCCTGCGCATGTACGTTAATTATCATAGCAACCACTAGACTCGTACCAGGGGAAGGCAGGAAAAATGACAATAAAGACAGAACTGAAAGGCAACAGAGAAAAAACGCATACCAATGGCTGCAATCGTTTGGGATATTGCTACACATGCAGCAACTCCAACAAGTTGACATGCAATGTAGAGAACGATCTTTCGCCTCCGGACCGTAAGCAGCGGCTCACCACGCTGGATAAACCGATTTTCATTCATTAGGAATATGGCCTTCTGAAGGATACCGTTTGACTCAATCGAACCCCAGCCGACGGTAAAGAACACACCCGCAAAAACTGCGGTAGGCATTGTATGCAGGATAGTAAGGATGGGACCTGTCATGCTACCAATAATGGCCAAGCCCATAACAAAGTGGGACACCCTCTGCTCCACTACTGTTACAGCATCAACAATTGGCCGTCGTATCTCTGAGCCTTCTCCCTCTTCGGTTGGAATTACTTGAAGACGGGTGTTGTAAAGTGTAAGTGAATCTGTATGAACTGGTGCCTGAATATTGGCAGCGGTTAGAAATGAAAGACAGGAACCAGTGAGTAATCCTACCTGTGGGACCAATCCATTAGGCATTGGAACCCCAACAATCCCTGCGATAAATGTTGTGCAGCCTAGCAAGAAAAAGTCCCAATGAAAGCCAGCAGGCTTTTTAAGCGGGAACTGCCGTGCCTGTGCTGTTAAGCTGCTGACATTCTGTGGGGATTTATAGTGTTAAAACTAGATGCTCAACGAACAATCCCAGCACATGTTCTCTACGGCGGTTGAGAGAACACTCACATGATCATAATAGAATAGCAACATAGTAAGAAAGCCGAACGGTAGTGCCACAAAAACCCATTTAACATCAAGTTCCCAGAAATGAATAAGCCAACCGCGATCTTGGGTAGGATAGAAGGCTTTTGTGATCGGAATAAAGCCAATGTGTGTGGACTTAAGGTTCCCAGGGAAGTGGGAAAACCCAACCCAAAAGATCGTACCAATCTAGATATCTCCGTTAAGCACTACAATAACCCCTAGAAACCAAGGAGGCAACATACAACATAGGCATAGTCAGCCAAGAGTCCACGGACCCCGGGTCTCCATACAGTACTCCCACCAAGCTTTTCTAGTCCCAGGATGGTAAGAAAATACAGTATAGCGATCATACAACTCAAATACCCAGCACTGCGGCCATAGGTGGTAAACTCGTTAACCAGCTCTTCGACACCCTTGACTATAATCCTCTATAAGCATGTATCCAAATTTACAGCCATAAAAATTCTTACTTACTAATATAGATAATGCCAACATACATGCCGAAGGATTCGCTCGAAAACTCCGTAACATAACGCATATAATCGCATATGTTGCAGAAGGCCACAATCCAGTGGAAAATTGCAGCCCATATTGCCGTCCAGCACATGAAATTTGCATAGATTGGCGGCTCGTATATGGTGATGATATCATAGATCGTAAAATTAAATAGAGAAATTAAGCCAGTAACTCCAACAATGGTTAGTGGCTGCGCTGCAAAGATGCTGAAAACTATTGCCGCCATGGCAGAAGAGAAAAGCCCTTCATTGATACCAAAGAAATTCCCCGTGCGACGGTACATGTCCATTGTATATGCAATAGCTGGGAGCATACTGATCCTCGACGTTAGTTATTCTTGTTCTAATAATCTCTTGTAACAGGCTTACTTCACAAAATACATCCGCACAATACTGGCCATAGTGCGGTAGGTAAGACCATCCTTAATATCACTCCAGTAATAGGGAAGTCTCCTCCGCACGTCATGATACATTCCTCGTCCAACCTGCAGGATCCGGACGCCTTTCCATCCTGGTCGGTCTTTGTAAGTATAAGAGAAATTGGTCTTTTCCCTTTCTAAGCGGGTAGAGGAGTGGGTTGAGTTAGGATCTGCCATTTATCCTTTGCTTTGAGTCGGCCGTCTTGTAGCAGCGAGATATTTATTTAGAACTGAACCACACGTCCGGGTTCCGTCCATATAAATATGCCTTGCTAAGACTGCTAATGGTATGTGGTGGCCACATTACGTTAGAACTACCGAGTAGCTTAGCTGTGGGCCCGACAGCCATAGGCCCACGGCTCGGCGTGGTCAGAAAAATAGACGGCATGGCCCGGAAACCAGAATGGAACCATTGTTTGCATGGTTACCTACCAAGAAATCTTTAGCTAAGATGAATTTTTTTCTTTTCTACCCATGGCGAGCAACATCACGGCACTAATTAGCCAATAGATTTTTGTGAGCCTCGGATAAGATCGTACTGCCCGGGCAGAAACATTGTCCCCACTTCTTGGCATACTAGTAATTTTTAACTACAGTCAAACCCCTTTTAGTCGATACCCCACTTAGTACTATTTCGTGTTGAGACGATAGAAGTCTATAGCACCGATTCTCTCATTTATAAGTAAAATCACCCCGGTAAGACGATTTTCGCAGTTAGTCGATATTATTTTCCTAAAAGTGGACTATCGACTAACCGGGGCCGCACTGTAGTGATAACGCTAAGGAAAATTGCATCTGTTCTAAAACTGGAGGGCGTAGAGTTGGTTTGACGGTCAGCCTATTCCGGCTGCTTGGTCAAATAATATGGCCGTTGGTGTCCCAGAATCATGTGACCAGATCGGGGTAAAACCCCCGCGGAGCACACAACAAAATAACCAAGAAGAGCCCAACCAGCTCAATTCATTCAAATAAGACCTTTTTACCAATCGTACTCTGTTTCCTCTTCGGGACTAGCCGTATATCCGACAGTAGATTAGTCATGCAGTCGGCTAACCTAACCTGTTAAACTTAAGAACCTAACTAACCTGACTAGAGAGGCAATTCGCTTAGTAAATAAGTGGCTTCCTTCTGACATCTCTTCTCCAGGAGCATAGCGCTTCAGACAAATTCTATATTATAGAGTACGAAAGTAAATAGAGAGAGCCAGCGAGATGCACTCCGATTGGTTAAGTATCGTGATTTACTATATGATCCCTGCTCGTTAAGAATTGAAGGATATCGTGAACTCCTGACAGTTTAACACTTAATATTTCTACTATGAAACAATCAGCAGCTAACACTTACCTGTCATTGTTCCCTCTAATGTCCACGGCGCTTGTGTTCGCCCAGTGCCACTATGTATCATCGTGACCTGGCCTATCTCACTTCGATCGAGACCACTACCCCACTGAAACAGCGATTCATATTCAGCACCCCCTCCAACTAGTATAATATTGGTTTTTGGCCCGGAGAAACAACCTTTATCATCGATGGCCTCCAGTCTGTGAAGCACTGCCTGACCGGCAGCACCCAAGTCCACGCCGGCAGGGGAGATTGTAACTGTGTCCGGGCCCAGCAACACTTGAATTATCTGGCCTCCATAGCACCCGTGAACCTCGTCTGACAAGCATGCAGCCTGCCGTTTGGCGAAACTCCAGCTACTATCATAATGGAAGACAAAGGAGCATTGCCGTGACTCGACCCAACTGCCTGGAGTGCGTTCCTGGAAGTATGCGAGAATGGAAGCCACGCCAGACGTATATCGGTAGGACTTTTGGGTGCCATGCACTGAATCCCACCTGCTGCTGCCTGCCCATTTAACCATACATCCATGGTCGGCAATGAGACCGAGATTTGGGTTGTCCTGGAAGGCCTGGCAGAGTTCTTCTGGCAGCCTTGTACTTGTCATGTAGACAGTATTCTGGATACTGCTTGTTAGGTCTTCCATCATCGACCATATAAGGGACTGAGCTTCTGATTGCTGGCAATCAGCGACAACATCCTCGTCAACTATTATTAAGCGGCGATTTTGCGGTTCTAAACGTAAGCTAGTTAAAATCTCTGGCAGGAGAGATTCCGCTCCGGTCATTCCAGGCGATGCAACACGCTCTACACGGTTGGATCGGAGGGTTGTGAGAAACAATTGACACCAACCAACAGCTCCCTCTCGTTGCACAGTGTCGTAAATGGTCTGACATCTTTGTTCAGCCTCATCAGTGTCAAGTTCAAGGGCATCTCGAATCGCTTGCGCACACTGTCTGGTATCCCACGGATTGACCAGAAAGGCGCTTTGTCCGAAGACTGTGGCACTGCCAGCGAACTCACTCATTATTATTCCACCACGTTTCATTGGAGCAGACAGGGAGCGTTGACAGCAAATAAAGTCATGTCCGACTAGATTCATTCCGTCCCGGAGCGAACAGTTCATATACACATTGGCCGCACTCAGAAGGGCTAGATACTGCGGGTAGGAGATATCGTGTGTGAAGAAAATTAAGGGCTGGTATGTCACACTAGCATGGGCCGAATTAATTCGGGTTACAATGCGGGATAGCTCTTCAGCAAGACCCGCCGAACCCATTGATGGGAGCCCGATCTGTACAAGAACAACCTGAGCTGTGATTTAGCTCCATCGCCTGCAGAGCAATGCGTGTGACATATCATTTACCTTTCCTACCCACGAGGGGTAACAGGACAAAAATCTCTCGTATGCCAGCAGCTTTTCCTTCAAGCCACTAACCAGATCTAACCGATCGCGGGCCACGACCAACGACTTGTCTCCATACTCTCGTGTGACCTGGTTTTTCCAGTTCTTTACATGTGGTGACTGAAGCGTGTGATTAAGACGAGAGGCGTCAATGCCGATGGGAAAGCTCCGAACACGAACTGTTCGTTCTTTGGCATAGATCATGTCCTGCCTTGTCTCGACATGCAACAGCCGGCGGCAAGTACGCACGAAGTTGAGACGATGCTCCTCGGTCTGAAACCCAATCAGATCTGCTCCGAGGAGGCCCTGAAGTATATAATTCCGCTGTGCTAGACACCGAAAGACTTCTGAAGACGGAAAGACGCAATGTAGGAAGAATCCAATGCAGGCGTCCGGGACTTTCTCCCGCAGCATAGCTGGAACCAACGCCAAATGATAGTCATGCACCCAGACACAATCGCCGCTGTTCCAATTATGCGCAATTACACGGGCAAAAGCTTGATTCATCTGTGTATACTCGTCCCACGACGTGTCTTGGTAGGCTCTGTCTTTAGGACTGTCAGGGATCTGATAGTTTAGGATTGGCCAGGCCACTCTGCGGCAGAAATTCGCATAATGCCCGTGGAAAACCTTGTCGGGCACAGCTACTAGACTAGAGTCATAGTCCTCTGCGAGGCTCTGCTTGATTGACCATAAGGCATCTTTCGGAATCTCTTCAGTCGGGACTCCTAGTGTACCTACTAATCTAACGTCTTGGAGCGTCCCAGCGCGCCTGGAGGCGGACACAGCATTCCGTAGTGATCCGTTTCCGTACCCAGTGGGTTCTATTATCCACTCATCGGTTCCTTCGAGGATTGGAATTAATCTCAAGCCAACCTCGCGAATGGTGTTGTAGGTGACTGCTAAGCACACACCACGGAAAAACGACGAACTTACTATTGGTCAGTGGAGTGGCACTTTTGTGCTCAGGTGCCACAGTGTTCAATAAATTAATGTCAGCAGGGCTAACAATAGAATGGCGCTGGGCAACAACATGAGGACTGTGTGACGCCTGGGACTCCCCAAAACAACCAGTCCGATTGCGATTGATCGTATAAGGCAGGAACCTATGTAAACCACGATCAACAAGTGTCATAAGTGGTGAAATCTACAGGACTAGTACTAACAATGATACAATGTGGACGGTCATCCTATTTCAGTAGCTAGAAGACCGTACTGTGCAGAAATATGAAGCTAGGCGAGCTTGAAACTTTTGTCTGTATGCTTAATTTAAACTGTGCTTGCGCTAACTTTCTCGGTTTGTTCTCTGTGTGCTGCAAGCTTTACAGTTCAGACGAAGTTGTATTAATACATTTCAACTTACCCAGATAATTTATAGTCGCTAGAAACCGTGGCGGGAGGTATCCAGTATGACGGACATCAACTCGATTTCGCCACTGTTACGCTGTAGAAGCACCATTCCCTTCCTTTTAAGTTTTGTTGCACTAACTTTTTCATCTGATTTTTTTTCTTTCCCTCGTAAAGTAAACTTTGGCATGTGATGGCGTAAAGTGATCAGGACCAACTACTCTAGTTAGTACCGTGGATATTTATGATGATAGAACAACCACGTTGTATTGCGCAAATACAGGTCACTGCCGCTGACTAGGTCAATGCTAGCGGTATGGACCTATAATAAAGCCTACTTCTTTATTTTCACATCTTAGTATCCTGAAGCCATCTATTTCTTTAGCCTATGGTTCCCCTTCTACGAGACAATGTCAACGCACGTTACTTGGTCAGCTGCTACTGAAAGGCTGTTTGTAGTATCTAATAGACTTCCAGTCACTTTGACTTGCCTACCTAATGGAACATATAAATACACGGAGTGCTCAGGGGGTTTGGTAAGTGGACTAAGTGGAGTATCAAAGACACGACCATTCATCTGGTTCGGTTGGCCGGGGACCGAGATTCCAAGTCATGAAAAAGATAAAGTCTGTGCACAGCTGTTGCAGGACCACCATGCGATTCCGGTTTATATCCCTGACAGCCTTGCTGAAAGCCACTACAACGGATTCTCCAGTAAGTTTCCTTAGCGTATGGATGCGCCGTATCGGCCTCGGCTTGTACTTACTATTGCCCCATCAATAGATACAATCCTATGGCCACTTTTACATTACCACCCAGGAGAGTTTGTCTTCGACGAAGGCCACTGGCAATCCTACCAGGAGGTAAACCGTATCTTTGCACAGGTTATTGCAGAGCGGCTTCAAGACAATGACATCATCTGGATTCACGACTATCACCTCATGCTGCTGCCAGGTTTGCTCAGGCAGGAAATAGATCGCCGGAAGAAGCGAGCTAAAATAGGCTTCTTTTTGCATACTCCATTTCCAAGCAGTGAACTTTATAGAATCCTACCTGTACGACAAGAGATCTTGCGTGGCGTCCTGGGGTCCGATCTTATTGGGTTCCATACGTACAACTACGCAAGACATTTCCTGCGGAGCTGCTTCCGGATCCTGTACGTATGCCCATTTATTCAAGAAGGCCAGTCCCGGATTTGTATGAACTGACGATGCCTTATAGCGACCTCAGAGGCAGTTTAGATGGAATTACCGTTCCAGGACGGACAGTCCACGTGAGGGCCTTCCCCATTGGTATCGATCCAGACGAGTTTTCCACTAGTCTCGAGTCAACAGCAGTTCAGGAAAGGCTTCGCGACCTACAAAACAGCTTCAAAGGCCAGAAGCTAGTGGTCGGAGTTGACAGGCTTGATTATGTAAAGGGCATACCTCACAAGCTCCACGCCTTTGAACGCTTTCTCTCCAACCATCCGGAGTGGATAGGGAAAGTGACACTACTTCAATTAGCAGTCCCAACACGACCAGATGTTGAGGACTATCAGGACTTAAGGGCTGTTGTAAACGAATTAGTTGGGGCCATCAATGGCAAATTTGGTCTAATCCCCTTCGTAGCCTCTATGGAATAATGGCTCCTGACTTATCAGAAACAGGGACTGTTGAGTACGTACCCGTTCATTTCATGCATAAGTCACTGGACTTCACCGAACTCGTTGCACTGTACGCAGTCTCGGATATATGTATTGTGACATCCACACGAGATGGCATGAACCTCGTTGCTCTCGAATACATTGCTGCCCGAAGTGGTAATCCTGGGACGTTGATTTTGTCGGAGTTTGCAGGCACAGCACAGAGCCTGCCTGGTAGCCTCCTAGTCAACCCATGGGACACAGAGCAGGTTGCTGAGGCATTTTCTACTGCACTTGCAATGGATCAGTCCACGCAGGAATCCAACTTTTGTTTTCTTCACCAATATGTGTCTAAGCATACGTGGTAAGTGCATCCAGGTGAGGTAACAATACATGTCATGTAGTTAATGTGACTCAGCTCCAAGTGGGCTCAATCATATGTCAACTATTTGATCAGTGAGTGTATATGAGACAATCCTTCGACAAAATGGGCCTTCTCCCGCTATCTGCTTGGTAAAGGAGAGTTTTGGTGGAAGGCGGAACTAATACTGTGCGAAGGCAAGTATTTAATTTTCTACGCAAGGTTGGACACTCGTACCCTGTGAATTTCATGGTCCAAATTTTATTTTCATGAAAATAGAGATCACCTGTGCAGTCGAACTTGAACTCGTGAAATGGTATTTTTGTCCAATGCATTCTTTGTAACTTGGTACATAGCATAGTTGATATCTACGGCTGATTTTCCATCACCTTACTTATCATTCCTCAATAAGAACTCAATCATATCATTATCTTATCAGTAGATAAGATGCTGTGACGCTCTTCCTAGTCCAACTCCGTAGCAAATTTATCTAGCACTACAAGGGTCAAATAATCCTCTCATCCTGTATCACAGGCCCGTTCGCAGTGCGAAGATTCGACGCTGCGAAGTACTGTTATTGCACCGGCGGTGATCAACAATAGATTAATGTGGGGGTGTGGCGAAATGGATTTACTTTGGGTGTATATTTACACCCACAAATTGTTAAACCTCCTGTAAGAGATGCGGTAGGCCTCCGGGAACCAACTGCTCACATCCTCACCAACCATCATCCGTGCCAGTGCTTCTCCGGACAGCAGGCAGTTGGCCATCCCGTAACCATTAAATGCGGCTGCAATCCATTCGCTGTCGCTATCACGCTGTGTCAACGAGGAGGGCAACTTCCCCACTATTGGAAGACCATCAAATGAGCAACCCATGAGCCCCGACCAGACACTCACAAGGGGCCATTTTGGAAGTCTGACTTTCCGGAGCAAACAAGAGAGTTTCTCCTGCAATAGGAAAACCGAGTGATGGTCGGCTGTGTTGTTATTGGCAGAGGAAATACACACGTACGGACAGACGTCCGCACAGCCGAAATACATATATCCGGTTTTTGCACTCTGTAGCAAATAATGCAGAGTATTAGACCAATCCCGGTTTTTTTGGTTATGCACAGTCGGAGAAAGTGAACCCCATGACAGAGCGAAACTACCTCTGCGCATACAACGGTCTGGGTCCTGCACTGTCATCGTGAATTTCTGGGGGGTAATCAGCCCGTCCACTCCAGGTATGAGGTGCTGAGAATAGGCATTGATGCAATAAGCGACTGTCGCAGCACGGAGGGCTCCCCGGGGGGTGTTGATACAATATGGATGTGAAGGATTGGACTGTGGCTCAAATGTGACCGACAATACCGGTGTATAGGTCTCCAAGGAGAACCGACGACCATGTGCTGCGACAAGCTCTCTAAAAGTTTCGGTCACCAATGGATATGGCCTTATTATTCCACCGGGGAATTTCATGCCGCCAACCGCGCCATAGACACCGTAGCACTAAAACAGTTGTCAGAATCTCTCCCGGGACAGGGTAAAACCATACTGGTATTTACATTCTCAACCGTCCGGGCATCAACAATGGTGAAAATATCCCTTAATGAATGGTGATCCTCTTCCAGCTGCATAATACTCTTCCTTGCGGCCTCAAAACTCCGACTGTCGAAAAATACCCGCAATACCGACCTTTCTTCATATACAGGCTCACTCTCTTTATGGCGGGAGGCGAATTCTGCCAATTGTTGCAGGTTCCGGAAATTGAATCGGATAATATCCCCTGCAGTCTGTGCTCCATGAAGCCGAGCGAGACTTATATATGTCTCTCCTGTGTTGACACTAAACAGGCCGCAATCGCTTCCGGTCGCACCTGAACATAACGAACAGGCTTCCAATACTGTCACTGTTTTTGTGGGACATGTCTCAAGTAATGTTTTACAAACTCCAAGGCCAGTGATTCCAGAACCAACAATAGCAAAGTCCGTGCTCTCTGGGAGCGAAAGTGACTGAATATTTGCTAGAGGGTGAATACGATATTTCCAGTAGGTTTTAAATGGGCCATGCCCTGGTATTCCAGGATCAGACGTTATAGTAGCTGGAGACGTTCACTATCTGTCAGTAATCATCATTTTGTCTTCTATATGTTTCCAGAAGAGGAAGGACAGGGACTATACATGATCCTTTATCAGGCAGTTTTTGAGCTGCCATAGCACACAGCCATGGGTCTCTCCTGCACGTGGGGTCAAATGAAAAGATTGCTTATCACAATAGCCTACATAGACACTGGTTCGGAGCAATGTCTACCCAAAGGAGAGACTTTATAGTGGCGATACAACAGCAAGCATAATGACATCATGGAACCCTATATGACTACTTTAAAAAGCGGACCTGGATACAGCTGGAAGTACAGCAACTATTCCATGGAAATAGCACCATACGCTCATTCCACATGGTCTAACCGGTTGGTTTGAAACAGACTCACCATGTAGGATATGCTACTGTGTATTTTTTTTTTTTTTTGGTTTTTCGACCGCTCAGCTGGAACGAGAAGTCAAACCTAACCTAACTCTGACGCGGTGAACTTCTCCATCAGGGCAGATGTAACCGGACCAAGATTTGACCAAGGACTCGAAACAAGTTCCAGGACGAAGCGCAATTAAAACAGCCTTCAATATAAACAAATTTTAGTGGGGATGTAGTGGTGGTGGAATGCTGTCAGTTGTCGCCGTCACATGTGTAGAAGAGCGCGGGTATCTTAATGATCACCCCAGTAAGGTGGATACCCTACTAATATTTTCTATCCTAAAATGTCTCTATGAAATGGAGTTGGAACCAAGGTGCCACAAGCTCGACTATACCCTCTTGAAGTGTTAGTCCAACACAATTCTGGTCCATGGTTGGTTGCGCTCCGAATTTTTGGTACATTTAATACCCGTGACCTGAGATTGGTCAGATGCTCACAACTAAATCGGCAATCAGTGAAGTGAAATGTCATTCGGGAAGTTAGTGATACTTGAAGAATATCATGAAGAGCAGCTATTGGTTTTCTCTGTTGGCTCTATTACACTTGGTTGCAAAATGGCGCAAATTATTTACTCTTTCTTTGTTTCAGAAGCCCTAATCAAAATCACGCTAAGCTACTTTTGGATTATTCTCCACCACCTTTGTTACCAGGTGCCGTATTGACATATAATAATGCAGCGATAAATTCAGCATGTTTTACTTGCCCTATATCCTCTGATACAAAGCTATTCCTGGTAAGTTACCCCCATATCACCGCTTCCCTGGCTTTTTGTGAAAGCCCAGACCGCACACGAAAGTTTCAGTGACTAGGGAGCTTGATGCCCAGATTTTGTATGCGGTATCATTTAGGTCAATAAGTTCTCCCTGTACAGAGCTCATAGATAATTACTTCTCTTGTGTGAAGACTTTGGGCCAATCCTGCTCCCTGATGTAATTTGCTATACTGTCCAACCGCGGGGGCGAGTCCAACTAAGAAAATTAGCAATTGAAAAGCATGACACCGGCATGGACTCACGTCTTTGGGATGGATGATTGTGGGGTCATCTCGGCCCTCGTATCCGAACTCGTTCCAATAAGCCCAATTGTCATCCAATTGACGATCGAGCTCAGGCGGGAGGGGAAGATTCAATTGTCCCTTTTTTAACATAATATATTCTGCTTCGATCCCAGTGGCCTGCGTAAATGCCTTTGAGAGTTCGCGTAAAGACATCCACTCCCTATAAGCAATGACGTTCTTCCCAGGCGCTTCTTGCACGAGGGTCTTGATAATTGGTCCAGTGTCTTCTTCCGCGGCAATAAAAGGCAGTTTAAGATCCGGGTCTAGATGCCCCACAAACTGAGCTACACCGCTCGCTGTCTATAGTGTGTGAGAAATTATCCAGTGGACCAAGTCAATAAGTAAATGACTTACCATTCGGGGCTGCATAATCGGATTTGACACGAAATTGCTCAGGAAAAACCCCGCCTGGAATACACTGGTCTTTTTCCACAGGTCAGGATAGGTTTCTCTTCCGTACGCCTCTGCCTTGGCCTTCGAGTCGAAATGATATACGTGCGTGTACTTCCCCCTGGACCACTTTGTCGCGTTGGAAAGAGACGAGAACACGAAGCGCTCCAATGTATGTACTTTCGCGGCAGCATTAATAACTCCCTTTAGTTGCTCGGTCTCATGGTTAGCAGCCCAGATATTAAGCGGCTGGTCTTTCGCCTTGGTTGCGTTGGCAGGGTCACTATATAAACCCCAGAAGTCACTGACGGCGAAAATGGCGTTCGCGTCCTTAAAGGCCGAAGAGAGGGTAGATGGCGAATCCAAGTCTGCTTGGACAACCTCCGCGCCGCAAGCAGCCAGGGCTTGGGCTTTCGCGCTGGCAGGGTTCCTGGTCACTGCGCGGACACGCCATTGTGGCTCCTGCAGAAAAACCTGTGCGACTGAGCCGCCCTGGTTTCCTGTTGCCCCGAGGACAACAATCAATTTCTTTGTCGCCATGTTTAGTATAGCTAGCGTGTTATTTGTCGTTGAGCTGATAGGGACCAAATTGCTAGTTTATAGGAAAGCCATTCCTACTTATAAATGCCATTGCCACCGAATTATTGTTTGGGAATCCACCGGAATTGGACGAGTACTCGGACTGCGACTTTCTCTGACAAAGTTTGGAATGATGATTACATATCAACCCGAGTGGGTCTAACGCGACCCTCCTTCCTCCCCTTAATCCTTCACGAATCTTCGGTTCCACTGCAGTTTCTTGGCTTAATAAGGATCATTAAGGATGATTAGTTAATGATTATGTGAAGAAATGCCCTTGTATGAGAGGAGAGGAGCAGGTTACGAGGGAAGTAAGGCACGCTGAGTCAGTAAGTCGCTGCATTATTACATTTCAATACAAGATCTGGTAACAAAGGTGCGGGGAAGTAATCCAAAAGTAGATTAGCGTAGGGCTTCAGAACCAAAGGAAGAGTAAAAGAATTTGCGCCATTTTTGCAACATAGTATAAACTATCACCACGTACAACATGCACTAAAACGAGCGACCAAGGTTAACATAGCACTCGGCGGACTTCGATACCTTCGGCCAGAGTAAATAAGACAGCTCTACCAAGCATGTGTAACACTGATAGTAGACTATATATTTATAATCTAGTATAACCTACTTAAAGATAAAATGCATCTAAGAACGCTGGGAACAGTTTAACAGACCGCCCTTATCCAGATACTATCTACTTTCAGGATAGTTTTAATACAAGCACTAGAGGCAGAATCTTATATACTACCTACCCACCTGCGACTTAAATAACATGCCTAGATAGTAGTTACCTACCATAGCACGCTGCCAGAAAAACACCTGGCCCACAGGGTAGTAACACAAGCGGGAATACACAGTATTTATATAGGGACTGGCCCCTGTTTCCCCCTTACAGAAACCATGTGGATAATAGATCTTGCCTGCCTATAGGCCCTGGAAATAATTAACCCAAGGCTACTAGCACCATGGCGGACGCTTGCCTTTAGTGAAATTAAGATCGAACAAGACCGAGAGAAAGCCAAAGCTTAAAGCCTTAGCCAGGCAGGCTACGGAAGACATAGCTGTTTTCTTTAATATATTAGGCCAAAATAACAATCTAGGGGCCGCGGCAGTTGCTTTAGACCAAAACCTAAGAGTTACAGCATCACAACAAATCTATATTAGCTTAATAAAATACTAGTTAGTATATACAGCGGAGCTAATAGCTATATACTATACTATTAGCCTGTTTTATTAAATAGCTCTGAGAAATTAATATACCTTAACACCGAACGCGAAGCCAGCAACCATTTTTAGTAATAATATATCTGCACTACAGGAAATAACTAATTCCTGGAACAAGTTAGGACAATAAATTATTTAGGCTATTTTATAATCTGCCAGATAGTTAAAGATACGTGGGATTCCCTTGTATTTTTAGTAGGTCCCAGGACAATATAATAAATTAATAACCCTGGAAATAACACAGCAGACTGCCTAGCTAAAAAAGTAGTTAGTTTAGTTAAAACTTATCCTTTTCAGCATCTCCTTTCGCGGGAGAAAGGATTTATTCGCAACAGGATTTAAAAAGAATGGGAACAAGAATGGAGAACCTTTAATAAAAAAGGCTATCTCTAGTAGATTAATAGAAATCTACCGTTAATCCACACCTATAGAGCTCTCCTCTAAAACCAAGCCTACCTACTTACACAACTCCGGACTAGCCACTTATAGCTAGCAACACACGGCAAGCGACATCGCTTTCGGGAAGATAATAGGTGTGAATGCAGGAATAAAAAAAAAGCGGTTTATATCCTAGTTAACTACCTAAAATTAAAGGACCTGCGACAGGAACTATGGAGGAAAATTGGAACTGCCTTTAATAGTATTTTAGATATGCTGGGAGGAGGAAAACTAAAAGGTAAGAAGGGTAGGTTGTAAGATACCACACAAGACAGCCGCACGTTAGGTGCAGTGCTCGACTTTGCAAAGGTATCTTAGAGGTTTCGAGCCGCGTGCCATGAGGGCCGCAGAATAGAGCACCAGGCACTTAGGCCACTACAGGCCCAGACGAGGCTCCAAATTTGTTGTTAATTAATGGTTCGCTGTACATCGACACATAGAGATAGATAGCGATAGTAGGGTCCTGCATATCGCCGAAGGCGAGGGGTCAGCGTATGAATACTACTACTACTACTAGTATAAACTATCCTACCGATGACGTTTCATCAACAGTGACCAAACTTATTTTTTTTGCAAAGACATTGCAGTAATTCATTGAACACTTTAATTCGCTTACTGCCGAGTTGTTTGGTAAGCAAGCCAGGGTTGCGCTACCCATACTAATGCGCGTTGACCGAGGAGATCAAGGGAAGAGCGATAGGTAAAACTATGAAGTAAAATCATGCAGGCATGAACGTGCAATTTTCGCCCTGGACGCCTCCAACCCTTTGTGTAGGAGAGCTAGTGTGATATTATTGGCCTCAAGATACTGTTTAGCGTAGCAAATAACGGTCCTCGCGGTGCTATGTGGCATAATCCCCATGTAGTTGTCGTAGACGAGCCGACAAACTATTTGGACTGTGACTCACTAGCCGCCATGGTGGAAGCTCTTTGCTGTTTTGTGGGGGGTATACTCGTCGTTTCACACTGTGAGGAATTTACAAATACGCTTTCGCTGCAGAGGCTGCATTTTTGCCGTCGTTGTTTTGTCTCCACAACCGCAAAGCACAAGACCCGTGTCACCACCATAGAGAGGATCCAGTCAATTTAAGAAGTTATCCAGAGCGTACCAAACCCTGTGCAGTATGTTCCCGAGAGTTTGACAGACAGTATTAAAAAAAAAAAAAAAAAAAAAAAAAAAATAAGAAAAAGCTCACCAGGGCCGAGCAGAAACAACAAGAAGTTCGCCGTCGACTGAGGTATCTCGAGTGGTTTAGTGCGCCGAGGGAGCACTGAGGCCAGAGGATACAGAAGAAGACGAGAAGAAATAAGCTAAATTTTTGCATGATGATTTCGAAAATCTGCTTTTAAAACATAAAAATGATGCTCCGAAGCCAAACACACAAGCAGTAGCCATGTACATCTCCAACCCAATTTGCTTCGATAAAATCCGTCGACCTTCCCGCTCCTATGGTAATAAAAGGATGGTATAGATTGTCCACCTAAATCCCATTGAATGCATCGGAGTCGTATTTTGAGCGCGACACAGCGTATTATTGTAACCTCAGACATGATTGTCAGCTAGAATTTATAGGAGCGTCTTAACGTTAGTCAAAATACTTAGTTGCAAATAGTTAATAATGATTTGATATAACTTTTAAGAAGAAATTAATGTAGGCCAAATGCGATTGACCTAACTAATCAGACACTAACGTATACAGGTAAGTAGGAGAAATGGAGAGAAGGGCCCAAGTGAGAAGAAAAGGAGCTTCATCTTGAGTGAGAATGTATCAGATTGGCACGAAAGTGAGAGCCACCCACCACCCGGTCAACCATAATTATAATTAATCCTGCAAGTTATTGATTAGTAAGTTCGCAACAACATGTATTAAAGTTAAACAAGATATTCTTTGACATATAAATTGAGTATTCTTCACTAATAGATATTAGACCTTACCCAATAAGGATCTGATTTTTTTTTTTTCTGCTCGGGCAGCAAGCACGTCCATCCAGCTAATAACCAGCTCCACCCCTGGCCCCTAATACCAGACTTCCTCTAAGCTACGACACGAAAATTGCGTTTATACCACCAGTAGTCTTTTATAACGAAATAATATTTGTTGGATATCTTCGCTTTGTCGCTCGCATCTCTGATGTATATACCACCCACATTGTACCGAACGCATTCAGAAATTTGTTGATCGGTCCAGCCCGATCCATTCTATACAGATGTAAAAAAAACAAATATATTGTTGTAACATGGGACCCCGAAAGATTTTCTTAACCCACCCCCTTGTCAGCCAATAAGTACTAGTTTTACTACAACTTTTTTATTTGCTCCGATACCCCGGCTGTAATTAAAAGACCTTTCTCGCTGCCCTCGTTTATCCCGCTATAATTTTAAGTTGTCCCTTATCTTTTTTACCTCTTAGCACGCTACATAATTGTCTCTGTCCTCTGACTATGGCGTGGGACACTGACGCATCTAATTCCTATGTTATCACAGAAAACCCGGGACCGTCATCGCAATCCACCTCACAACAGATCTCACGCATATCGAAGGAAGGCAAAATTGAAGGCATGCCCCCCGAGCCGGCCCGTGACGACCACGAGCGCTTGTCTCTAGGACCAACACGACTGTCTGTTGCTACTGCTTTGCCATCTTCGAGGGATCGATGGTGGCGCATACGATTCTTCCGCGGCATGATTCACGACGTCAGGAGGAGAGCACCCTTTTTTTTGAGTGACTGGACGGATGCATGGGATTACCGAGTTATTCCGGCTACTGTGTATATGTTTTGTGCAAAGTAAGTGCCGTTGGTATATTCCCTTCGTCAGAGGGATTATTTTCGTGCATGAGACGTGACAGGGCCGAGCGCGCCAATGTCAACTGTGGATGGCGTAGATATGACACAGCTAATACTTATTCCATTTAGTATCCTCCCGGCCTTGGCATTCTCCCTTGATATGTTTGAAAAGACTGACAGGAATTATGGAGTGAATGAAGTCCTTCTTGCATCTGTCTTAGGTGCAGTCGTTTTCGCCTGTTTCGCTGCACAACCTTTGATTATCGTCGGCGTCACTGGTCAGTAATGTCCTGCCTCCATAAAATTGGGCATAATCGGTGGAAAACATGCCGGGTTTTGAGTTCGATAGTCACAGCTAATCGGAGAGATAGGCCCAATTACTGTTTTTAACTACACGGTCTATGATATTATGACGCCGCGCGGGACCAATTATCTCGGCTTCATGGCATGGATTGGAATGTAAGGGGAATTAGCTTTCCTTGCTGATTTAGTTTATACCACTGACATCAGGTGCTTTTCCTATTCAATGTAGATGGTCTATGGTTATGCACTGGATCGTTGCCATTACCAACATGTGCAATGGGTTGAAATACGTCACGCGTTTTTCGTGCGATATCTTTGGGTTTTACGTTGCGTTTGTCTACTTGCAGAAAGGCATCCAGGTCCTGACCCGGCAGTGGGAAGCCGCTGGGGAAACCTCCGCATACGTCAGTATCATGGTCTCGCTCCTAGTTTTCATGAGCGGTTGGGTTTGTAGCGAACTCGGGAAGAGCAGCCTCTTCCACCGTTGGGTGCGGAAGTTCATCGAAGACTACGGCATAGTACTGACTATTGTCTTCTTCACGGGATTCGTTCATATCGGCCATATGCGCAACGTGAACATTGACACACTACCGATCAGCAAATCCTTTTTCCCAACCATTGGCCGCAGCTGGTTGGTTACCTTTTGGGACATCGATGTCCAGGATATTTTTCTCGCCATTCCTTTCGCTCTTCTTCTGACCATCTTGTTTTACTTCGACCACAATGGTAAGCTGACTGTTTTTCGGATCTATATATGATGGTCTGGCTGACCCAGAGCAGTCTCGTCACTCATTGCACAAGGCAGCGAATTTCCACTCCGAAAGCCGGCGGGCTTCCACTGGGACATGTTTCTCCTGGGAGTGACCACTGGAGTGGCAGGGATCTTGGGGCTCCCGGCTCCCAATGGTCTGATTCCACAGGCGCCATTTCATACTAAAGCATTGTCTGTCACCCGCCAGGTTGCCGACAATGACGAGCGAAACAAGGGCAAAGTTATTCATGTCGCCGACCATGTCGTAGAACAACGCGTTAGTAATCTCGCCCAGGGAATTATCACCCTTGGTACCATGACCAGACCGCTGTTGATCTTGGTGCATTTGATCCCCCAGGGAGTTTTTGCAGGACTTTTCTTTGTTATGGGTGTCCAGGCCTTAGAAGAAAATGGTATCACACAAAAACTTATCTTTCTAGCCCAAGAAAAGCATTTCACATTGGACTCAGATCCTCTCAAGCAAATAAAACGACGTTGGGTGGTCTGGGTCTTTGTGATCATTGAGCTTATGGGATTCGGTGGCACCTTTGCCATAACCCAGACCATCGCCGCCATCGGGTTTCCTGTTATTATCCTTCTGCTGATTCCTGTCCGCGCCTACCTGTTCCCGTACCTGTTCACTCAAGATGAACTGAAAGCTTTGGATGCTCCCACCGCTAGTCCTTTCACCATGGAAAGTGTCGGGGGTGTTCATGGCTATAAAGAGGAGCTTCCAACGGCCTTGGATCGTGAAGACGCCAACGAAGAAGTCAAGAGAGCGAGCTTCCATAGCAGCCCGGGTCTACTGGCCCCGTGACAGTTACCATGAAAGAGACCATTAGCACGAACGATAAACTAAACCAGCCTCTTCGGAAATGGTGTCACGCAAAGCGATTTACTAGTGTGATTTATTATGGAGCGCAAGCTCTTCTCTGAAATACATAGGAATAAGTACGGACTCGGCACCTGTACTAATTACAGCCTACCATTTTACAAACCTAATTTAAAACACATTGCCTTTCCTATTTCCCTGTGCACGAATAAGCGTAGAGCCTGTCCGGCACTGACTGATAAGCGGCCCAGAGAAACGAACAATGGTAGACTTCGGCTAGGTCTCCTGCAGTGATTGCGTCGACCATGAAGATTTAAGAATCAGGCGTAAGACCTTACCCAAGCAGAGGCCAGAAGGAGCTTCTCGTAAAACTGATGCCCAGGACGTGGTGAGCTGCAAACTCAATGTCATAATAGTACACGGAAGCACCATCTGGCTATTACTAAATGCGCCGTATTCGCAGTTGATTGCCATGAAGGACCTCGTTGACGGATTTCTAATTTCTGATTTGTGAAATGCTGCAGATCTGTTTCTTGTTATCAACAAAGGAGGAGGCCATCAGTGTACCGACGATGTCATTTAGTAACGTCGTAACGCCAATCGACATTGCCTGGAATGAAACCGGATCATTGAGTCATTGAGTCACGGGGTATGAATTAGCGTCTTTAACAAAAGGTGTGCGCTGATTGAGAAATTGGAGCTAGCAGGAGGTTAAGTACTTCTACAACTGGTGTGCAGTTCCCGCCTTTGACATGCCAGGGATCTGATGTTATGCGATTATTGTTGCTTGTTGGTTGTCCTACACAGTTGAGCTAGAAACATTGGGAAAATATATATATTTGTACTCATACATGTTAGTTGTCGTTCGAAGATGATATTATAGTCGAATTCCCAGGTTACAGAATACTTAATATAGCTGGTTTCCTATCTATATTACCCCAATACTCGCCGATCCTGAAATCGACAGCAGGGCTCTCCACACAGGCAAGGTTTCTCAAGACACTTCCAGTAGTGGTCAGAATAGTCCACCGTAATCTCAGTTCCTGCTTGGATACCACGAGAGACAACAAGGATTCGTTCGACACCTCTCCAGTAGAATTTTTGGAACTGACTGTTTGGGAGACAGGAATGATTGATGAATCTTGTAAAGTTTCCTAAAAAAAAGGCAGTGACAAAGAATCAGCCGTCTCCCCTCACAGCTCAATATGCTGAAAGTCGGCCAGCTTGACTTACCCATCTGCCTTTGGAATATCTGATAGCTCTTCTCTGGAGATCCGCCCATCATAACATCAACTCCTTCAATGCCAGTTGTTACAAGGCCAACAAACTCACCAATCGCCACTCCACGTTCAAAGTCCTAGAACAGAATCAGTTGAGGATCATCAATACCAGAAAGGGGAGAGAATGAAATATTCTCTTCGTTTTTTCATTTCTTTCTCTCTCTCCAAAAATAAACAAAACCAAACAGAAAACAGCATGCAGCTGCTAGAGAAGAAATAAGAGATATACAAGTGGGCCTGGGGAACCTACCAAACGCGCTACAACACCGTTGTTCTTTGCATTCCCCGTCTGGAAGACCTGGACAGCAGGACGAGTCTTTACGTCCCCGAAAAGGTTCGGAAAGCACTTACACCGGTTTAGACAAATGTCATCGGCTTGCTGCTGGTGGCATGTTGGACAGATACCCGAGTCCACTTCAGGAACGCGTCGAGGATCTTCTTCACCAAATACATTGTGGTCGACAACACATTCATCAATAAATTGATAGTGTAGGAAGTCCTGGCCGAGGTGACGGTAAGTGTATCTCAATGGTTGAGCCGGGCAATTCCCCATAGCAACCCATTCATGTGGATGCCCTGGATATTGAAGTGATGGCCTTTGGCCAATGACCCCCAGAAGTTGCCGCCATTCCGGATGGAGAGTATCAGCGGCGATTTCCAGATTGTGTCGCAGTTGCCGTAGTCGCTGTGTGAGGCCCTCATTGAACCCGATCCGATATTTGCAGAACCGATATACGCCAGAGCCAGCAAAAATCAGACTAGCCCAGCCCCCATTCTCTTTAATCTCCTTATAACCACGCCATATTGCTCTAGTTCCCCCTCGTTTAGCGCAGAAACGTACAAACATACTACAATCCGTAGGGAGTACTCACAGTCGGTTTCGGAGGTCTTTTTCCGTGAGCTTTAACACAGCACACGCTTCTCTTAGGGCGATCATTCGAGCCTCTGTTTTAGATAAACGCGGCTTCTCCAGCTCGATGGCGACAATTCGGGCTTCATAGCATTCAACCCAGTATGCTTGGACAACCATTTCCAGTGCACGCGAAGACTGGCTTTGATTATGGTACGTCACGCACATGGAATTGACTATTCGGAATGCCTGCGATGGCATTGACTCAGCATCATTAGGATAGCAGGTTATCTTTCTGCATGGCCGTGGATTCGCTCACCTCCCTACTCATCCCCCCGTGGATATGCATGGTCGGGTCGACACACTACTTGAGCCGTGAGAATGGCACTCGGCTATCTTGGAAGAATAGGAGACACGCACCAAGCTATCACGGCTCCACTTCACCTCTGAGTGAACTTGCCTCCAGATCCCAGAAATTAATTTATCAGTTGATGTTGACGTTAACGCTGGCACAGATGGCTCCTTGTGAGCATTCCGCACAGGAAAGCGAGAATCACTGTGCACTTGGCGGACCAAGTGCTTTTTCTGAGGCTGCTTCTGCGGGACTTCGTCCTCCGTGGACTTTTCACTTTCGTCTATATTCCCTGCAGCTGTATGCTGAACCCGGGAAGTCTGTAATCGTAGACCGCCAACAACCTTTCGCCGCTTCTGTGGCCCGTTCGTGTCGTGAGTTTTGGGTTGTCTAGTAGTCGGCGCGATCGGGGTGTCAATCTCATCTGGTGTGAGGTGCTGGGCCTGTCCCGGCAACACAGTTCTGGGTTAGCCTGCAACATCTCCGCAAAGGGATAGGACCAGATGTACCTGCCTGTCTGGTGACGGCGAAGGGGTGATATTAGGCGCGCACACAGGTCGGCCGCTTCGAAGGTCCACATAAGCCTATCACACGTGGGTCAGTGGTACCGACCACGGCATTTTTGCACTGTTCTCCAAAGTCCGATCCTTACCACCGCATGGCTAGCACCATTTGAATGCACAAAATGTTCCGTCGTGGGACACAGCTTAGCCTCGACGCGCAGGAAACAAGGCCTCCTCTGGGTGTCAGAACTATCTACCAGCTGGGTCAGTTGGTTGGAAAACTCCTTTCCCAACAGGTTTCCTAAGTTGGATATCACCGAGGGATAGGGAGAGGACGCCGCATCCATAAATATCTTTTTTTTTTTCCTATATAAAAAGGAGGAGGTATCGGTTAAGCTACAAAATGTAGTTGGACCTGTAATTGTACGGGGGGAAGAGAATGGAAAGGCCGAGTCGTAGGGAAATAGCATAGGACACTTCACCGCATTCCAGGCCTACCTGGTCAATGTTGATTTGACGAGTGGGGAATCACGTTATATGTGAACGCTAATGACGTCATTCACGAGCTTCTCTGGATTTATGAGGTTACCTCGAGCAACTTCTCTTGGCACAATGTGGCTCCTTGAAATGTCACAATGAGTCGGTCTGTTTAATATATAGAATTTAATAGAACCTCTTTTGCAGATCTGGAGAGTCGATATTGGCCATAGGGCTTATCAGCATAGAAATACTGTATTCGTCGATTGTAGTGTGTGTGTTAAACTGAAAAACCACGATACATAATTATTTCTTATGTGTAGATTAAATTAATAGCCAACTGTTTCTGGACCTATATTTGACAATTTCTAAGGGTAGCGGGGTGTATTCTCCTATAAAGCATTGAATCAAGGGACAAGTATTATAATGCCAAATCAATTTAGATTGCAGATAGAAATATTAATAATTAAAACAAAAAGAACTCCACTGTAATAGAGGGTAACTTCTACACGGAATAACTTCCGTATATGAGGCTCTATTATTCTGTGATTGAGCCTTGATTGTCATGGTTTCCATATAAAATCCCCCCGGTCACGAAGTGGACGTTCTTTCTGCCCGAGCAGAAGCCGGGACGAATATCATTTTGCAGATCCCTACCTAGTGGAATAAAACGATATAACTAGTACCTATCAGCCTTTTATATACCTACCGTTCAAGGCCCTCCTTGCGCCCCGAGGATCCTAAGGGATCAGCTTTCAGGTTTGTTGCTCACTTAAGGATACCACTAGTCATTATCAACATAAATAAAAAGGGAAGGGAAAAAATGACAAGCAAAATCAGTATTTCCTTTTCAGATTCAAAAGTACAATTACCACAGTTCTGTAAAACGATACAAGAAGCAAAACGTTTATTTTGTTTTATGTAGGCTCTGTATCTGCTGCCCCGAAAAAGACAGGGAATAGTACTGACAGTAACACGTCGACAATGTACCTGGTAGAGATCACATTCGAAGGTAAGAATAATCGCGAACATACTCCGTATCTAAACTGTCTTTCTAACGATGTGTGGTCGAACCCCAGGATCGTTTACCCAAATACCAGGAAGTAGAGCACTCTGAGCTTGTGGTAGAGAGGACGACTGTATATCTCCCGCAGATTCGGAGACTACGATTCTCGTCCTGGACGCCCATGATAGGCTAACAAAATGATCAGGATTGGTGACGGTGCTGAGAATGTCAAGGATATTACACTATATGTTGGCTCAGTACTAAGCCAATCGATACTCTAGGGCCATTATTTGTGGATGGCGGTCCAAATGCCACTCCAGTGTTTTCTAGCGAAATGGAGGGGCATTTAATTCCCACATTTTCTTGAGCATAAGTTTCCCGTCAATATAGTATAAATATGCTGTTTCATTTGGACAGACATCGGGACGCAAACTTCTCCGGGGGCCTTTGCAGATTTTCTACAAAGGAAATAATGATAGCTGGACGCTATTGCCGGCAGTTGGTGTTTCTCAGACGTCCACTTCAAGCACGAGTTTTTACCAGAGCAGCGACGAGATATGGAGCATGACTCCTGTGTATACAGCGTATAAGATCTAGATTTTTAAGTTAATTGAGCATTAGGGCAGAGAGTGGCTTTTTTCTTCTCTCTTTATTATCCTTCCTGCATAGTCGAGCCCCTAGTGACAAATCATTGGCCTTTTGATTGTTGATATTTCTCAAGAACAAGGCAGCTCAGCGCTAAGATGTGGGAGATTAACAACAAGCCACTCTTTATGCAATGGGGTTATTTGGAAAGCTTCACATATACGTGGTTCTGCTGGTCGTACAAAGAAGTTCAAAGATCTTGCTCGGAGATTAATTCCACTTGAAAATCGTACAAGATGGAATAGCTGGTATCGTATGCTTTCTATGGGTCTACAGCATGAAGGTGCTGTAGATAGCTATACAAAATAGTACTATGATACCCTTCAAGTAGAATACCTATCTCCAATAGACTAGGAATAACTATGTACAACAAGCAAATTTCTCTGTCTTTTTGACCAAGCAACCCTCAAACCCAGGGAAATCGAGTAACAATTGATAATGTGCTTCTTCTTATGGATGTTATTATATAGCACTTTGAAAAGGCTCCGGTAAGTTTACTTGCTTTAGTGTATAACCTTTCTAATTTTGCACGGCAGGTTGAATATGCACATAATAAGAAATTATGTGCTCGGATTCAAAACGGCGGGGGTATCTTTGACAAGTATTACAGTAAATCTAATATCTCGCCTTTTTATACCATGGCACTTCTTCTTCACCCAGCTTGTCATACAAAGTATATTCAGGTAAATCGGAGAAAGAGTTGGCAAAAGCCTGCTCCGCCATTCAAGTGGGATCGTTTCCCTATTATCTTGCCACTAAGTCTGAAACAGACAAAGAAAGTTAAAAGGCTTTGGGAAGAGTATCAAGAAAGGGCGCCTAGGCAATGTCTTCCATTGTGTTTATCCTCAAGGATTAAGTTAAATGCCTGGCCGTCTCCATAGGGGTGCTGGCAATCTACATATAAAAGAGACCGACTCTAGGACTGCCGTCCTAGAATACTAGTCTTTTGCTCCTGGTGCAGCGTCTTAGCCTCTGGAACTCTCCCTGGAGGTTAGGTCGTGACGGTCTCCCGCGGATATCTTTCCTTAATCATAAATAGGCATAGAGGAGCCTTTCGAAAATAAGCTCTAGTTTCTTCTGCCAGACCACATTCACATGCTGGGAATAGCGAAAGGTGTCTGGAAGGTGTGTGATAAGCTATCTGGACACTCACAAGAGAGCGACGGAATATGACGCAAAACTACAAGACATCATTGATTCTCATTCTGTTGGTAGGTGTCCAAGGAAAAAAGCAACCCAATTTCAGCTTCATTGTACAAAGCTGCTAGTCTAGTAATCTTCAGCAAGACATATTGTCCGTACTGTCACAAAGTCAAAGCCCTATTCCGGGACATAGGCGTGTTCTACTAAGTTTATGAATTGAACCAATTTGGTATGTGGTTCTCCATAGTTAGTGGGTGCAATAAATGGCAACTCCTGTATATAGACGAGGGACCGATTATAGTGCGAGCGCTCCAACGGCAGACGTATCAACGGACGGTCCCAAATAACTTCATTAGTGGAAAGTACATAGGTGGCTATTCAAATTTGGGAAAAAAGGGTCTAGTCTACATTCTATGTTGAAAGATAAATGCGCAATTTAAGACCCTTCTCGGCTTACCCAAGATTTACTAAACTCTCGATGCTTAATAGTCTATACGGATGAAACTGCCCTGATGTCTTTGTAGCGTATTGCTAAAGGGACCCTACTTCCACTTCTCCAAAGTGTAAGATCAAAACTAAGTTATAGATGGAGGTTTGCAGGCAGCGCGTACACATAATCTAGTATACTGAAAACTTCCGACGATATCGCAACTGAAGAACTCTTTAGTTATCTAGTACAAAATTGTAGGATTCTATTTAGCTTATCCAGAAAACACCGTCCTCATGGTCAACAATGCTCAATATGTCTTCTAACCTTCCAGAGTCTCTGATGTAGACTTGCCAGCATCGAGTTTGCTGGTCTGATCGGTAAGGGATCATTCAAGTTGTGTCGATCTTCTCCGAAATGCGGAAGCCGTGGGGGATATCGTTGACTGATCCGCACCAGTGCTGAAGGGGGCATAATTCTTCTAGAGCCGGTAACTACCTTAATAGTATTGCCGTCCTTCATGACAACCTCACCTTGGACGCCACCAGTAAGGTTGAAGCACTCGCTGGAATCGTGAAAGTGGGCTGTATTGGCGATAGCCTCAACTAGAATGAATAAACAACAAACAGCTCCGTGGGGAAAAGGCTCCAAGGGGGAATGATTCTCAAACTGAGTCCGCCCACCGCTGTACTGAACTAGAACCATTGAATCCAGGGACTCTTTTTCTAGGTGTGCGAATGGACCGGAACAACACCGGCGAAATGTCTAAGACCTCCTGATTCACTCTGCGGCCGGTGCCGATGCCGTTTAATTTCTGAAGATTATAGGAATTTTGCCATATACGAGGAGAGCGACCTATGCTTAGATTGGGCTCAGGGGCTTGGTTTCTGCTTTATTAGTCTATTCGGCCGGGTGAACTATTAGATTAATATTATTTCGTAGCTTGATGGATCCTGGTCTATCACTGTTACTCCAGTATGTGGTGGATGAGCACAAAGATGTGGTTCTAGATCAAAAGTGAAACTGATAAAAAAAAAAATACATCGTTGGAACCAGACCAGAGAACTCAAAAAATTTGGGCTATACATTATGTTACTGGAATTTAATGAAGTCTATCAATTTATAAGTTGAGTAATATTTAGCCTAAGAAACCACTACGACAATGATGTCCTCCTAATTCTTTGCTTCCCGGTTTTGACATCCCGTGGGAATTGGAACTGCTTTAAATACGTGACAGACTGTGCCTTTACAGCTGGCTGCCGGTCTCCAACGGCGGCCTTTCCTTTCTATTCAGCGCTCGAAACAGTCTCTGCGCCATAATAGCTCGCGTGCCGTCGCCGTTTCCTAATGTACCACCGCGAGGTGGGTCTGGCTACAATGCCCACGCGACAGTTAACTTTCAACGTCTCTAGCCCTTGGCTGACGACTGATGCGCTTGGCTATGTCATGGAAAGTTGGCAGAACAATTTCGGGATCATGGCATGGTGTATTCTATGCGTCATTATCCTTACTTCCGTCAACATAATCCTTCATAATTTGCTGAAGGGATTCTACTGAATCTATTTTATATTTATTGTGTCTACTATGGGTATTATCACGCACACGTCCGACGGCCTTGTGTTTATCATACCCAATTTCATCCTCTGGCGTATTGGACTTGAATCTGTTTCTAATACGCATTAAACAAGACTCTATGCAAGTCACATCGTTCAGTAAACACTGTTGGCTGTTCGAGTGTGCTGGCAGTTGAAAGCAATCAAAGTCAGTTGATGGGCAGATATTCGTTTACTTGTCACCCTATTTTGCGGTGGCATGCATACGGATCGTTGGAATATAGGGATGACGGCCCTCTATGCAAGCATATGTATAAGGAATCAACCTTCCCCACAAACCAAAAGTCTTCAGTACAGTCCATTTAACGAAATGGAGTTTCATCATAAGGTGGCCATCTGCTTTTCGACGCCTTCCCAAACTCCTAGCTGCTCCAACACCCGAAGCGAAATGAGAATGGAATCGATAGATATATTCAGATGAGGGCAAACTCCCCTCGCCTGAAAAGCTCGTGGCCAATCGCCGCATGCTTAAACCCCAGGGAAAGGGTGTGTCCAGGACGCTGCCTCTTGCTGTTGTGTTTCAGAGTGAAACAATCTTCTGCATATATACTTTTCAAACGGGGGTTATGTCTATTGCATTCGTTGTTTTTCTGTATAGAACTGATTTCTAGCTATGTGTAACTAGTTACCTAGGGCCGACTCGTGTGTCGGGAAGCAGCTCGCTCTGATGGATCTGCGCCGCGTCATAGTGGAGATTTTTAGCAGGTATGATGTGCCTTTCGCCCCTGATTAGACGAAATCTGCGTTCTTGGATGGGAGAAGTGATACATGGTCACTTGGCCCCTGAAGCTGGTTTTCGAGAAGCGGAAAAACATGGGTTAGTACCTTAGCAGGTACGTTCCTAGTTTAGGCATATGTGTGCCAGAAATGCGCCTGTGCCTGGGTTTTTTTTCCTTTCTTTTTTTGTTTATGGCCTAATTGTTATTATTTCCGAATTGCGAGCGTCACGGCCTTGTGGACTCAGTATATGCCCCATGCACTGCCGTCTCTTAGCATCTCAGAAATACAAAGGATTTCTGCACATTTCGCAAAACCTATTTGCTAGCTTTTTGAATACGGTAGGCGGCACCAGTTCAACTCTAGGTAATGCAAGTATTCAGAGCCAGAAGAATGTATAAGAAGGATTTGCCTGTCGACACGCACAATCTTGCGTAGTCCCCAGATGCTCTGGGACCAGGTGTTTAGTCAGTGCCATTTGGAAACGAAGAGTATACATATTATTCGTTATGAATCAGAAGCGTAATAAACAGGAGGCCTAAAGTGCTCAGAAGCTTATGTTCTATATTTCATGGTCTCTTTACCACGGACCCACTACCACAAACGCATGCTCCATGGGTAAAACTGTATGTTTTACTAGAAAAAAATAATTATTTATTTAACGGCTCTCCCCACACCAACACTGGCTTCACCACACTCCCATTTTTTAGTCCAGTGAGTGCATTCTGGTATTCCTCAGCCTATCCAAGCCAACTCGGTCAGTGAAAGACCCTGGAAAGTAGAACGATTGAAAGCCCAATCCCACAAACCTTGAAGTAATGTACGATCCGATCAATAGGAAAGCGACCTTCTCGGTACCACTGGATCATCTGCGGTATGGCCTACAGTCACAATTGGTTATCCTTTCGCCGCCCAAGAGAGGACAGAGTAAGAATTCAGACCTTCTGAGGTATACAATCGCCTTCGATACATCCTAATATCGACCGACCGTGCTGCCACGGAAATCAGCCAGAATATTCGAGACAGAGCATAGTGTCACCTACGTTGATGTGTTCCGACAGATCGAAGCTGAATTGGTAACCCAGTGGGGGAATACCGATAAATACGACCTTGCCTCTGGCATGTGTGCATCGAAGGCCCCGCTCAAAGATAGCAGGATGGCCTGTGGTTTCAATTACAACGGAGACGCCGGCGGGAATGATGAGCTTGATGGCCTCGTCTAGCGAGGTGAAATCGGCACTGCTTGTATCCAAGGTATGTGTGGCTCCCAGCGACTTTGCGAGTTCTATTCGGGCTTTGACCCTGTCGACGGCGATAATCGCTTTGCAGCCGCGGATCTTTGCCGTCTAGCAAATCCATATCAGTCAGTTCACTTTCCAATAAAGGCGTGGTAAACTTTACCATGAGAGCTCCGAGTCCAACGGCGCCCAAACCCAGGATCATCACTACGTCGTTCGGCCCTGCACAGGCAATATTCTGGACGGCACCCATTCCTGTCTGAAATCCACAACCTAGTGGAGCGAAAAGGTCGAGCTCATGAGCCTGATGCAATAATTCCCTGGCATTCACAACACTTGCTTCGCTCACGACACTGACCTGTGCAAAGCTGGACTGGCCAAAAAACCGGGACCAGACTACCTCCCCTGTCTTTTGCACCGTCATTGACCCCTGGCAGCCGAGGTAGTTTTGCTGTGCAAATGTCTCGCAGTAGGCTGGATGCGAGTCCTGACATTGAAAGCACGAGGAGCAGGAATGGAAGGAGAGTAGTACGGGGTCTCCCACCTCAACGGACTTCACACTTTTGCCAATTGCGCGTACAATCCCGGAGCCTAGGATCATTTCAGTACATGCAATGAAAACAAAATTAATAAGCTTTAGAAAATTGATAGGCGAGGCTTATCGTGTCGGTTTTTCCTTTTTCATTTTTTGTGGGGGCTCGGGGTCAATACCTTCGTGACCCGGCACTTTGGGGTAATTGATTCCAATACTTCCCCTGGGCACTGAGCAAAGCACAAGGTCGGTGTGACATATCCCAGAGGCGCGCATATCCACAAGAATCTCGTCGTCCCCTGGTGGATGGACGGCTACATCCTCCAACGACAGGTTGATCGCCAAGGGTTCCACAGGCTCCCGGGCAATAATTGCTTTAGCCATGACTCTTCCAGACATTCTCGGGACTGCCGGAATAACGAATGGTCTCCACGCTCTTTGCTTAAATAAGTGCACAACGGTTTAACCCCACAGAGGACCCCAGGAATCAGTTGTTCCCCCGGTTCTCGACTTCCCAGCTTTGTTGTGCAAACCGTGGGTTATTCGGGTACGAAGATAATGTATAGGGCGAAAAATCCTGATGGACGAATCAGGCAGCCCCAAGAAGTTGGGTGGCTTGGCTTTTGGGTACACAAAATAGAAATAAGGCGTCGTCACGTCATAACAGTCCCCTAGATATCTACAGCTCGGTATCAGTACTAATATTCCGGACTGATGTGACTCAGGGGGGAGAATGCAGTAAGCTCATCGAACAGCTGCGCGCAACCAGTTGCCTAATATAGGGGAACAATATATCATTAATATCCTAGACCCGACAACTACCATACTTCCTTGGATGGTTGACTCGCTCACTTACTAGATGTCGGCCAGCTGAATACGCGTATGCGCTAGTATCACTGATCTATGGATAAGGATCCATCTATATTGAAAGGTAAGGTCTCTGACTATCTGAATCTATCTGGTAGAACTGAATAAAAATGGTCAACAAAGGAACAAAGTCGGACCGAGAGGATGCTGAACAATCAGTAATATAGACCCATTCTGGTCGACACTAGAATACAGGAGAGGGGTAAAGTACTCAGATGTGTGAACCCCGCAACATTAGGCAACCACTTAAGATGCAGATCATTACTTTATCATAGACCTTCATAGTCTACGCAGCAGAATTAAAGACCAAAATACGTCTATTAGTAGAAAAGGCTACGCGCTTTTAATGTTTCTTGCAGATAGGGCCTTCCCCCACGCTGACCAGAATAGCCTTAAAACCCCCCGCTTTGTAATACGGCTTAGGCATTGGGATTATTGCCGAGAGACTTCCCATTAGCCTCATAGGTATTTACAAACTAGGTCCAAAGATACTAACATCGAGCGGCTGCAAGGAATGAGTAGAACAAGGTGGATAAGTAGCCAAGAAGATCTTATTCTTTTTACAGTAATCTAAAAACTTTATGGTGGCCGGCATGACAGAAAGCTGGGGTTTCGCTCTTCCCAGAAGCTCATAACTGCATCCTCTCGTTACACTGGGACCCTTCCTAGCAGCTCGTTAGTGGATGAGAAAGCTCTGACAAATCATTGTCAGGGATGTGGCCCGTCAAGTCTTATTGCATTATCTGACAGTCCCTCGAGAGTCCTCAAAATCATCGAATCTTAGGGTTTTAGTCACAGTGCTTAAATAGCTGTGATTAGTGCCCCAAAGCTCCACGCGATGGGTGTACTCTTTAATCGCACTACGCCCTTTTTTTAATGTCCTCGGAGAATCACACATCCCTCCCGCGTCCTCTCGCATCTGGAGTCCGATGGAGGGCAACAGGTATTTACTAACACATTCCATAGACACTGTTGACGGAGGGGGATAGTCTGGAGAAAGCTCCGCGGAATCCGCAGAGCTTGGATCAGATCCTTTCCATCCTAGTCAGCCTCAGACAGCAGGATATATTGAACCCAATTCTCTTGCCTTGAGTTGGAATCTCCATCAAGGGAGGTGCCTTGGAGTGATTGGATTATTATTTATCCCTTACGAAGAACACAACTTGCCTTACGCGGGCAACCTTCAGTCAGCCTTCGAGACCCAGGTCTCTGAGATCCTCTCTATAATCGCCGCCTACCGCCACCGCTCTCCCACCCTCCCTGATCGCTTAGTCAAGTTTGTCTCGGTGCTTAAGACGCAGCTCACTGACACTGTTTCTAAGAAGGAGGCCGTCCGGTTCATTCTCCCTGCCTTCTCCAAGGCCCCGGCCGAGGGAACAAAGCGTAAGACCCTGGGCTCGCTGCTGGACAAGGCGGAAGAGATTGCCCTGCAAACCCTTAATGGACTCGCCGCCAGCATTGCAGACGTCTATGAGGGGGGCGCCACCGTGGTGTTCATATTAGATGCTTCTGTCTATTGGAGTAAAAAAACCTCCCCCCCCCCCACCTCGGGAGTGTTCTTCGTGTGGTGGAAATGACTAAAATTTATCCAGACCTTCTGCAGATCACCGACGGCGACGCCTTCGCATACCACCAGGAGCTGCAGAAGCTCGTGACTTCTCTGGGTCTCCGCTTTCTGGATTTCGTCCGCCCGGGGACCTTGGCCGGCATCGCGCCCCAGGAAGCTCAGACCGTCGAGGAGAAGAATGTGCAAGCGATGAGCAGGCACTACGACACGGCTTTCCCAGGTAACCACGATGCCCACGACGTCAAGACGTTAATGCTCCAGCGCGGAAAGTTGAATAACGGGTGGTGATACTCCGCGGAAAGGACCGAGCTAATAGACCCAGGCATATGCCGCGCTAGTGGCGCTGTTCTTCCCATCCGCGATTCTTCTGTTAATCCACGAGTCCAACAACGTCGGCAAGATCGCGGTCGACCTCTTCCCGCCGGCGACAAACCCGGACTTTATCACTCCCTGGCACGGGGTTGACAGAAGATCAACTCCACCCACCCCAAGCCACAATTGGAGACACGGAGACTGTGTTGGTATTCTTTGTTCCTCTTTTTTATGATGGCGGATTCTAGCCCCAAGGTCTCCCGCAAGAAGTTCACCCTCTTGTGTTCTCGATGTAGGGCCTCCAAATTAAAATGCACCGCAGGAACCCTGTATTAGTTTTTGCTTTCCTTTGGGTTTAAGAATCATTCGGTATGGAAACTAAATGTCTTCTCTGCAGTTGGAATGCGTCAAACGCAACGTCGGCCATCTGTGTAACAAGGATAAGCGTCAAATAAGAGCCAAACAGACCAAAACCCATTACAAAGACCCGAACCTTGCCCATAGCACTCTAGAGGAAGAAGCCGACGTCGAAGAGACAGCTCAGATCTTGGAGCATTTCGTGGATAACATTAATACTTCCGGCTCCGCGGTCTGGGAACCGCTCTCATCGGCGGTGGCCCCGGACCTCCCCAACGGGTACTGGTTGACCCCGGACCCTCGGAGGACGACAAACGGGCCTTGATCTAGGATCTGGTTCTTGCCATACCGGAAGGGGACCTCATCCATCTCCTTTACAAGGTCTTTTTCACCCGTTGCCAGGGCCTGTTGGGGAATGTTGTGCACACATTGACCTTCCTAAAGCAAGCCGAACAGTTCTGCTACTACTTAGGTCTGGCGGCCCCGACGCGCGGGTCGCTGCTATCTCCAGTGCATTTTCCATGGACACCCTCTCCGGTTTCCTTCTCGCGGTGCAGACAAATAAGGCCCACCTTTGTTGTACGTCTGCTAAACTTGTCTACCAGCTCCTGCTCGGGCTCGCCTTTCATCCCACCCCATCCCTTCTGGGCTGGTATCCTACCCCCCTAACTCTCCGGGTGGAGGAACTGTGACGGCCAAGCAACTCGATGAAATTGGTGCTATCTAACGAAAATTTCAAGCGTGGGGAGGAGGAAGAAAGGTGGTGAGGGGACTATGCGGGGAGATAAACAAAGCTAGATACAAACGATGCAAACAGGCTACATGGTGAGTTCGTCACAGGAACTTCGTGCCTCTAATAGGTCTGCCCCGACGTGGCGGTCCCTGGCCTTGCGTTGCCTTCAGGGAAAAGTCTCCTTCTTTTGTGGCTCCATCTCTAGCTTACAGGCAGCTATCATGCTCTTGCTGGATAGCCAGGTGGGCTTATTGGCGCTCAATGCTGTTTTAGTCACTGCTATCTCTGGGGCCGGAAACTCGGGTTGCATCGCTTAGGCCATGCTAAGTTGGATTCCTTGTACTCCTGGGGCCATGGTACCTCGGCAACAGCCGAATCCCCTTATATTCGCACAGAAATCGGGGTTTATATTTAGTAGACCCCCTCTTCCCAGCACACTGTTCCCTCACGGCGGGCTCTAATTATCCCCGGATAAACTAGGTGGATCCTTGTCTGAGGGATTGGTCGCGTGGACAAGCCCTTGGCTACTATACTATCCTCCCCTCCTAATTTAACACCAGGATGCCGCTGCACCTTAATGACGATGATATTGTCTCTGTCCATGGCGAGATTCTTAAGCACCCGCGATCCGAGTTCACCATGCTCTCTTATACTGTGCACGTGCTGGAACTCGCCGGGATTATGCGGGAGGTGAATAACCTTGCGACCCCTGACATGGCCCAGGGGCGCAAGCGTCTCAACCTGCAGTATAAACAGTACGTGGCGGGCTTGCTGTCTTATTTTTAATTGGGAAGCACCATTGGACTCACGGCCATGGGGCCCATCGCCACTATCCCGGTCCAGCGATTTATATTACATCAGCAACTGCAGAGTTTACTCCTCCACCTGCATTGCTTTAATCTTTTAACTCCCATGGGCCGCTCGCTCACCACCAGCAACACCCAACTGTTCAATGCGACTATCGTGCTGCTTCTGCGTCTGCTGTTTCATGCCCGGTCAGCAGATGCCGATCCGTCGAGTGCCCAGCTCAGTCGATTAATGACGCGAGAGTAGGATCCATGGCTATTAAGAATTAAAAGCCTCCAACGCTCCTAGCTTTGACCTTAGTTTCCCGATCAAATATCTGCTAAAGCGACGTAAATACCAGCTCATCGTTGGTCCAACCAGATAGTAATGAGGCAAAAAAAATTACTGGTTTGTGGCATTAAAGTCTTGAGGCCAGGAGTCTTGAAGTTTGCCAGATACTGCTTGGTATATCTGACAAGGAAAAAGGGAGGTTTGTCTGTATGTATCAAGCAATTTTAGTACTCCATTCACGATTACCATCCTGTAGGCATTGCTTAAGACGTCCTTGGTTATACTATTGTTTAGAAAAGACCTTTTTGCCCTTAGGAAGCATGCTAATAAAAAATCCTTTCTTATCCATATTGTATATATCTTGTTGCTGTATATTATAATACTTTATATTCTGACCTATATATTCGAAGTATAGAGTATATTTACATGCAGAATCAGCCTGTTTTTGCGCAGCATTAATGCAAATCGTATAGCGAGATATAAGTCCCTTTCGTGCCTCCTGAAGAAGCGGATAAGCTGCTGCTTTCCTGGCTTAGTTCAAGCAATCTCCTTAGCAACATTCCGTAGCATCTCATGTGTATAATAGGGGCCTCATTCTAGCTACTTGTTGATATAATCTAAAAACTCTATGGCTGATCTTTATATTGCTCTTTCTTGAATCCTGAACTCTACGGTGGTGCGCTTGAGAGCGTTGATCGTTTAACCAACCCATTTCGCAATTTGAGTGTATTTAAGCTGTTCTCCAGGTTTCAAGGAATTAATTTCTGCTAAAGAGTCTTTTATTGTATCCATATTGAATGAGTTGTGGCGGTTTAAAAATCTACCGTTTAGAAAGTTGGTGGCTAAATATTTCGGGCGGCAGTTGATATAGTATGTTAGAAAAAGCCTGCAAAATGTGCACTAATACAATTGAATTCGAGAACAAATTCCTTCCTACAATCACGAATTGTTTCCCAATCGTATCCTAAGCCACCCTAATTCGTATCTAGTTGTTATACAAACAACCCCATCTTAGTCATATCGTGAGTTGCATCGTATTGGATTTCATTGTCCAATCAATAATTGTAAAGTATTGTAAGTCTCATAGAATCTGATAGAATGCTGTCAGCAGGGTTTCCAAACAGGGGGGAATATTTGGCGGTCTAGCTTGATCCACGCTCACCAACCTCACTTTTCTCCTTTTCCTTAGCAGCCTTCATCCGCATCTACCCCTGATAAGGGCCATGCTGCTGCTATAGATAACTATCTCTTACAGGCCAATATGGTTCTCGTTTCTGTTTTCCTATGGCTCCTGCTCTCTTCTGTATATCTATTTCCTCAAAAAAGTCAAAGCTGCAATGCAAAGAGCATCCACTCCAACTTTCATCGTTGGTTGTATAACGGGCGCAAAAAGGGCCGAGTGGTTTCCGGGTATTTCTTCTGTGGGATTATCTTCTCTCTGGACCTTATCCCAAAGTTCTGCGTCAATACCCCCAATGAACCAAAAGCAGCATGGAATGCCTTTGGAAGTACCCAGCGTAGAAAAATCTTCGCTAACATTGGTTCTCGGAGTATCCCCGTCAAAGTCCTCGAAATGTTTTTCGAATGATTCGGCTAGTTGAGACGCTATATGTTTGTCATTTGAGGTGGGCGGAAACCGGCGTGTGGGAGTGAACAATGGTGGTTTGGGCGAGCCACTAGCCATGCACTCGGCCTCGACGATGCGCTGGATAGCAGATATGATTTTCTGCCGAGTTTCGAGCTTGACAGTCCTGAAATCAAGTCCAATTTCAGCCCTGTCTGCAATGATATTCTCTGTCTGCCCAGCTTGCAAACTTCCGACGGTTACGACAGCGAGATCACTTGGGTCTATCTCTCTGCTCACGATGCCCTGCAGTCTAATAACAATATGTGCAGCGAGAAGCACAGGATCTACTGTCTGATGTGGCAGTGATCCATGGCCACCGCGCCCATAGACGGTAATTTTAAGACTGTCGGCAGCAGCCATGATTGTACCTGGACGTGAGCCAACCCTTCCTGCACGCATTCGCATTACGTGTTGGCCAAATATAAAATCCGGAAGAGGAACCTTCGAATAAAGTCCATCGTCAACCATAGCCTGCGCGCCTCCGCCCCGTTCTTCGTTCGGCTGAAACAGCACGATTACAGTTCCGCTCCATGCGTACTGAATGTTCGCAAGCGTTGCAGCCGCTGCGAGTAGACAAGTTATGTGCATGTCATGTCCACAAGCATGCATCACTGGTTTTTCAATGCCGTCGGCGTCGCGCATTGTGACCAAGCTCGCGTATGGGAGCCCGGTGAGTTCCTTGACTGGAAGTGCGTCCATGTCAGCCCGCAGAAGAATGGTTCTCCCAACACCATTTCTAAGAACTCCTGCGACCCCATATCCACCGATATTTGTGTGGACTTCATAAGCCTTTAACTGGGACAGATGGGCTGCAACCTTTCGAGATGTAGATTCCTCTTGTTGCGAAAGTTCGGGATGGGCGTGAAAATGCTTGTAAAGATCCTCGTAAGGGGTCAAGTCTAAAGAAGCACTTCTCAGTATGTCTGATACACTTTTTTGTGCCATCTTCGTGGATCTGTCGGCAATGCGTTAGGGGGAAGAGAGGGGAAGAAGAGAGGGGAAGCTTCACCCCAAGGGACGTGGTGAGTCATCCAGACAGTCAGCAAACACAACCCTTTTGATATGTGAATGATGTTCCGCACTCGTGCATGCTTGGCTGAGACTCTGAGAGTATCCACTTCTCGCAGGGAAAACGCAAGATACGACGCTCTCACCGCAAAATTTCACAATGACTCAATTCGATCGAAGTTCTGTACAACGTAGCTAAAAAGGAAGAGCCGGTAGTTTTACAATTTCCTTGATGATTGGCCTGGCGACAACTCCCTGGCTAATGCATTGGCATGGCTTAGCAACAACGAAAGGCCTCCTTGCCACTACTGGCCACATTCAGCTCTGCCATTTTCTCGCGAGATACAAGAATCCTTTAGTCGGCCAGTTCCCTCGGGCAGCATTCTTGAGCCAAGTCAGATTATTTCATATTACCTTCATTAAGAACTTACGAAGTAAGAATATTGCTTTGATTGATGACTAGTGATATTTCGCACGCAGTTTAGCTTATGATGATCTTGGCCTTGTCTGCGGGTTGGTGTTCCTTTGGGTCTGGGATCTTCGAATGGAGCCACCCCGCGACAATCACCATGAAACAAAACCGTCCAGGCCTGGAGTTGGCCCGGGCCGGCTAGTCAACCAGAACTTTGCGACCTGGGTATGCAAACTGAACAAAGAGGGGCAAACGCAATTCATATGGCCCTGCTCAATACAATATCTTACTCAGCCTGCCAGCAGCAGCCCCTTGATCCTTGCTATGGTTATACACAATGGGCCACTCTTTCCCAGGCTGACATCTAAAGGTCTCCAATGTGAGGCTTTTCGGCGGCATTTATTGTCTTGATGAAGTAGCGCTCAACCCTTTAAGCAATACCACTTCTTAAGTTCGTCTTTCGCTCCATGGGAACGGATGCCTCCGTATGCCTCCACCCCTGGTAACTTTAGGCGCGATTGCACTCCGTCCGGATATAGCCTCCTACATCGGAAATCGAGGTACCACCCCGTTACGTCATACTGCACTCAACCAGCGAGGCTTCATTCAAGATACCGAGTGGGATAATGCAGGGATACTATTTGATTAAGTGCAGAGTAAGTCTGAACAACCGCGTGGTGGCAAATGACGCAAATCATGGCTTGGCTTTGAACCAGTTCCTACTCGCCAGACATAAAACAAAAAGCCGAAGATATATTACGTCGGCAGATAGCTCGCAACCGACAGGTATGGCCAGAGTACACCACTGTGGTAGTCTCCGTAAATGGTCGCCACAGCGTGATCTTACCAAGCGCTTTGAGAGAACCGATATTGACTGGACAGCTATTCGCTGACGATGTGGGAAAACATGTTTTACCGAGGTAAGAAGCGTAGGCTTTGCATTTCTATCAACTACTTATACTCCGACCATTCTTCAACAAGAACTGATAAAAGAAGGCAAACGTCAGTAACCAGGAGGATGCTCAACCCACGATATTTGTTTCGAGCGATTGAATAATGCATTATCCATGATTAGACTCCGGCCATTTTCCGCAGTGCTAGACAAGTTCTTCAATAAAGTCCTCGAAGAATGACGCATCAGTTAAGCCGCGAAAGACACGAGAAAGCATAATCCCGTCCTGAAGTGAGCAGGAATTATTTGGTAACGTGGATCTCGATAAAACTTGGACACCTGGATCAGTGTAGAACCGCTCGAAGACCAACCTGTCCTTCGAAAGCTATCCATTTATCACATCTAGACTCATCAGCAAAAACCAGGTGGTAAAATCAGAATTCCGAGACGCGATGCATATATTCATCTCGCAGATTAGCATTTCGTTCTCTTGCTTGTTGTCGGGCAACCTTTTTTAACCACCCTTGACGATGCGGCGCATCGCTGATAGTAGATTTCGGTACGCATTTATCAAATTCATCCAGCCAAAAAAGGTTCCATTTCATGTCGATTATAAATCTGGTTTTTCGAGTAGAAAATCACATAGGCTTCCAGCATCACTGGCATACTTTTCCGTGGCCGTCCACCTTTAATTTGAGGTGCTTTGAAGCTACCAAACAATTAAAGGTTAAAGCGAAGTTAGATAAATGCTCGTTTTCTGCACCAAGCAGCTTCCGCCATCTAGGAAGTAGTTAATTCATCGCGCATCAACATACCATAAATAAGAGCAAGCGTTGATTGAGCTAGATTAAGAGCCGTTTTTGGCTACACCATGAGCAGTGATCGATCGCTGAGGTTGGTCTCGTACGCGCGTATTATTCGAGCAGATGGAATATTTAATAATATATAAGCTTTAGTCAGTCGACACATACATAATGTTAGAGACCTACTATATTCAGTATGGTCACGAGGCCTCTCTAGGTCATCCAACTAGATAGTCTACTCGTCCGAGCCCCTTGTGTTGTGGAATTCAGGGGAAGTGGTGCGCAGGGAGCTATTCCATCAGCTACAGGCCAACTAGCCTAATTGGGTAGATGTCATTCAGTGGAAACACCAGGAATCGCAGTATCTCAACCAACTGAGCCTACTGAGCGGTTCCCTATATTCTCATTGAGGTGTTCAACTATCTAGGGAATTATCCTAGACTACGCACACATCGACGGTGCCAAAATGCGGCAGAAAAGTTCGACTACACTATTATTTTTCTATCTTCCAACCGTTCTATAGCTAACATTCTAACCTAAAATCCTGCCATTGTTCACACCCAGATCCTATCACTATAAACCTCGTAATTCAGCGTAGCCTCACAGACTTGGCTAATTCCTCACTTCGGGTGTTCAAAGGCTTTAATCGTCTGGTTGTCCTTGCGACCCCCGGTAGTCAGGGTGGATAGCTCAAACTGGGCGAGACCGGTGTTAAAATTACCCTCCCACTCTACTAGAAACACTTCTTTGTTGACCCAGTAAAATTCCTCAATATCAGTTTTCAGCAAACTGTTTGAGTCGAGTCAGCGGTGTAGTTCCCCTCCTGAGGCGGAAACAAGTCTTACGCGGAACCAAATCCATGGAGAGCCATATTGGCATAACTTGTTAAGCCTCGCAGGCTGGCAAAGATCCGTTCGCCCTTGTCGTTCTCAAAGATCAAGTCACCGTTGCTTTCCTGGTCAACATTAGCTGTAGTATCGCAAGTCTGTGGACATCTTAACATACGCTGTGTTCTCCTTCCGTCAGAGGCAACATCGCCTCGTTCGAAGTGGAAATGTTTTGCACGAGATGTCCATTGAAACGGCCGCTGAGGTCGCCAGATACAATGGGCACCTTGGCCACTATACCGCCGGGGATGGTCGTATTGATGGGAATGCTGACGCGCATATCAATGGCCACAAAAGACTCGACTTTCGGCTGGTTGTAGATGCCACCCGTGGCAAGGACAGTGGCCACAAAGCAGGCGGGACCAAGGAATCGGAGATTCATTTTTGAAGGGAAAATAAAAATTGGATGGTATTAAATCAGGGAAAGCTGAAGATCGTTGATGGACTTGTTGGTTAGAGTAAAGACCAGGTCTGTTGCTCCAGGCAGTCCTCCTTTTATAGACCCTTGGTGAAGATCAACAACTGTGATAATTCTGGCGCCTACCACAATATAACCCCATATAAAATTATTATATGGTTTGGCAGACATATGCTCCGCAATAGCAAAACAGGGTACTCAGAATATGGCCTAGTGCAGGAACGGACGGAGCAAAATAGGTCCTAATCAGATCCCTTGCCACTAGGATATCATCCAGAGGAGGCGCAGTATCATCTAGAGTCGACTAGGCTTACCAGATTGTTAAGTAATCATTTTCTCAGCACTTTTTAGCGTCGAAGGATTCAAGATTGAGCTTCTGACAAATATGATCCCGGAATACAACCCATTCTGGCAATTTATTCGACCCGAGCTGTTGGTTCCAGCTACCGTAGGATCTTTTGTCTGTGGGAGTCAGATTTACGCAAAGCTCCACTTCATCCCCATTCGAAGCGTTGATAGCTGCGGGCTTGTGGCCTCGGGAGACCTCCGCAATCCAACTGGGGCAATTTCCAAATACGTCCAGAGCTAGGCCCAGGTCCTAGAGCCCAATCCAAGGTAGGCATCGTGATGGTTGGAGACAAACATTATTTGCAGGCGCAAGGTTGTTGCCTTAACGTTTCCATTTTACGCTATTTACAATAGGATTTATATCCTTTTTTGGACGGCGAATTGTTAAACGTCTCCTCATCTTCATCCTGGCAACCCCCATGTCTAAGGGGCTGAATCTTTTTAGAAGCTTGAGGTGGGTATGTATACACACTCGATATGTACAGTCTAACAAACATCTCCTTGAACTTGGAGAAACAGCCATATCGAAAAGTATGGTTGGGTCCGTATGCACCCTTAAAAATAGAATATAAGCCGAACTTTGCTGGGTGTAATATACAGACTTGGCAGCATTCCCAAGACCGATAAGGTCCTCCACTACAGGAAACATAGCCACAGCAATATCCTCTCCATTTTTAAGCCGCTGCCTCCTTGAGCCAGGCAATTGGTTTGGTATTTAGTATTAATGATGGAGGCCTTGGGCCGCCCCAGCCAAGGTGGCAACTCGAATTAAATCTGTTCACCCTGAACACCTCAGAAGGTCCGATAGGTGCCAATTCCGAGGTGCTTGTCGGTTGTAATGGTTTACATTGGGGTAGAAAAGGAGGTCATCGAAACTAAGATATTATTTTATGATCATATTTGCCCAAGTTCACTCTATAATTCCCCTTTTCCTCGTTAATTTTCCGCATACATCCTTCAGTATATAAACACACATCTTGGACTTATTATTGTTCCTCCTATAATGCAGCAGAGAAGAGTTCAGTTTGCCGGCCGTTCTTGTATTCCCTAGATAGCTGTCTTCCTGTTTTGGTAAGGCCTTAACAATTCTGCCTTCTTAACGGTCCGAACACATGGTCACCATGCTATTATTTCCATTTCTCGCGTTTTCATCGACGCCTTTTGCCCGGGTTCCAGACAGGAAAATCAAAGTGACTTAGACACACCACCGTTTCACTCAACTATGGGGAAACTCAACAGGCTACAGAATAGCCAACAAAATTAGTCACTTAAACCAGTAGAGACTACGCAAAGTACATTTAACTATGACGCTTGCAACAGTATGTCAATTAGTAATGTTTGTGTCCTCGGACGTACCATTCAGGCTAGCGGACAACAATCCAATTAGTCCTGCATTGGTTTCTATTCTTTTTTAGATAAACATGCCAGAACTATATCAGGCTACTTGTATTGGCAGATAAGGATCGCTTCGGGCTGGGGGATATGGACAAGAGGTCAGTACAGACCACGTAGGTCTTGACTCTATTGTTTCACAGGCCCAGTACCAACTCGTCAGCAGTCCATCAACAATCTCTGGGGTCATATGCGTTCCTCAAACAGCGCATTTCTCAGTTTGATTTCCCCAGCAGCAAAACAGTAGCAGACTCATGCCAGAGCATTGGTTGGACAACGACAGTACTAATTCAGTTAATTTTTGGGGCATAGCAGCATTCTACGACCATCACAATAGAGCCCATCCAACTCTATCCGCTGTATAGCACACAGTGTGGCTCTTTGCCGTCCTCCCTGAAGCGTGCGGCTTTGATCTTACTCGCAGTCAGCCTCAACAGATCTTTAGCGGGTAAAGAGTTTCAGGTTGGACTTGCAATCCATCATGGCATTAGCTATGGGGCTTTTGGGTGGTTTCATAGCGGCGCGATATCCATCGGCATGGTTCTAACACGCCTAACAAACTGCTAGGTGTCTTACTCCAGATTTGCAGCACAGCTTGATATCCCTCATCAGTCGGTCGCACCAACGCCGCGAGAAGTCCTCCAGCACCACAATCCACATAATTTTCATTCTACCTGTCTCCTAAGCCATCGTATAGGCGGGGATGACCACTCCCAGGTTCAGATGTGATGCGAGAGCACGAATTTATCGAAGTCCCGATCTTAGACGGCTTCTTTGTCGCGATTCAGAGTGTCGGAAGGTGTCAGAGTAGGCAGACGTATCAGTACTCCGCACAAATTGTAACAGCGCTACTTGTTGTGGTGTAGTGGTATATCTGACAGAAGGCAGCCAGAGGCAATCCTCGGCCACCAGTCTCTGACATGATCACGAACCCATTCCCTCGAAGTGCTTCGCGCAGGTAATCGGTGATCTGGTTGAGGTTAAACATGATATCACGATAACCAGATTTACCCAGTCGAATGAGCTGATGATATTGGCCGACGGCCTACGCCGCACCATTTGAGAAGTTGAGAGTAAATGAAGCGTACTTCGGTCCCAGATAATTGATGTTAAAAATCAGCTCTTATGGGAGATATTTCGACGAATTCCACACTACCCAGCCGACACGGGGGTACGCCAGACTGTACTATACGCTCTCAGCGCCTGGTGGAATGGAGCCATACAGGCAGGACATAACTTCTATCCAGACATATTAATGGAAACCACTTTCTCGACGGGAAAATCCCATTCCTGCTCCGGGTTCCAAATGGGGCTACAAATCCCTCGCTCGCAGCATCTACGTCGATCGGCACGTCGATGTTCTGCTGTACTAGGAGTTCGCTAATTACTTTAACGTCCTTGTATACCCGGTATACGTGGCCTCAAGAATTGCCACGATGCTGATTGTGTTCTAATCGCATATCGCCACAGCCTCTTTCAGATCGATGACAAAGCGTTTTCAGGTGCAGTTGGTGAATTTTTCTTCGAGCTCGAAGTACGACGCGGCTTTCTCAAAGCAGACCTGCACCGCAGACGACATTACGATATTAGCGCGGTCGGTGCTCTTCCCCTCGGCCTGGAGGGTGCTTCCAGCGGGTTTGATGGCCAGTGCAGCCAGCACTATTGCCCCTGAGGAATTTTGGCAGATCCTCTCAGTTCTGTACTATCTACTCTGTGGGCGTTGGAGGCATGGAATCATACTTGAGCCTGGAGTTATTATCCAGACTGAGCTTATCCTTAATCAACCTATATGCAATTGGCGAAGGCATAGGCTCTTCCGGTACGCTTGAGCTAGGCATGTCTGGAAGAGCGAAGTAGGAGCCGTACACGCTTTACCGGAAGCTAAGACGGTCACCGTGTTTGATTGCATGCGCTCTGGGTACCGGGGAGGTTGCTTTCACCTGATTGGCATCTGTCTTCGAGGGTGAGGCATTGTGGGGATATTCAGGTACGATTTATGATAGGATACCATCGTAGTTCAATCCTCAGGAACTACCTAGCTGGAACTCTTTAGGCATTTACTGTCATTTATCCTAAGGAGCAAAGGCGGTACTCTCGCTTGTTTGTAGCTAGTCTCGGGTGGTGAGGTCATTCATATTAACCTTTTCTCCTGTATCACTCCAGAGCTCTGGATTCGAACAAAGTCAAAAACTGTAATGGCCTACTTGCTCTCGCGGTCATGGTGGACCCTTCTGGTGCGAAGGAGTCTACGAAACCTGGTCAGTCGGTGGGCCTCCGAACTGAAGAATTGCCTCAATGGCATGGATATCTAGACGACCTGCCGTGTCGGATAAAAATTCTTAGGAGTTCTGAGGTATAGATATGGATTAATGATGAATATTAATAATAATAATACTTTATTATTACCTCCACACATCCATCGGCTGCTTGGCTTAAACCAGTGGCGAGATGCTCTCTCCTAGCTTTCCGCATCGAGGCCGTACCGGTTCTCCATTGGGGATGTAGACGTCACACCCGAACCCTCTATATTCCCTGATTCGTTGCAGACTTTTCAAGGATTAATCTTTCTCTCTCACTTTTCTTTCTTTCCTTCTTTCCTTATTTCATTCTTTCCTTTTTACATCGTATATCCAAATAATCCACCATGTTCAAAAACCCGGCTGGTATCTTTGCCGCTCTCGCTGCTACGGGAGCGGCCGGGTATTACCTCCTTCGATCTGGCGGCGACCCGAAAGTCGCACATGGGCAGATCCGACGTAGGTTCATATCAATATCAGTCTAGATATAGTGCAAAGGATTGATGCTAAGAGCCTTCACAGATGACGCCGAGCGGACGGTAAATATAGTCAATGAAGCCGACAAAGTGAGGAATAAAGCCGATGCATATATCCAACAGACGGTATGTACTATGTCCCCCAGCCCGTTAACTGTCTAGCTCTAATATCTCCTGTGCTAACAACACCGTAGGTCAAGGATGCCCGCACCAAGGCCAAAGAAGCAGACATATATCTAGAACAGGCGGTATACTTTTCTTCTTCCATTCCGTGTTCTTCGGCAATCCGGAGGGATGCTATAAAGAATCATTCTGACAATCCTCCGCTCCAGATCAAGGACCTCCGCGATAAAGCTTCCGCGACTGATCAACAACTGACTGACGCTGCCAAAGATAGCATGACGAAGCTCGAGAATTACCTCGAGGAAATTCGGAGAGACGTGAACAGCAATGTGGATGAGTTCGATCGGAGCTTAGAGAAGCAGACTGCGAAAGCCAGGAAGGCATTGGCGGACTGGTTGGGCGGAGGAAATTCGGACGGAGGAAACAAGGACGGTGCAAGCAAGGACGCAGGCAGCAACGATGGAGGAAACAAGAAGCAGTAGATCGGCCGTGGTGTGTCGAAGATCGAGAAGGTATGGCAAGTCACCTTGTCTGTAATGCACTAATTTGAGTGGGAAGGATTCGCTTGTATGGTTGTTGACTTGGTAGGACGTAAAGCCCCCAACACCCCCATACTTTAATTCCTGCCTGAACCAGTTGCAGAGTGTGATGTTATACGGCCTCAGGGTAGTCGAGGAAGCATGGGAATCTCAATACTGGTACTGAAATAAGGCGTGCTCCGGAGCGCGTCATCATCTGAGACACGTCTTCCATATAGTAACAGGTGTAGAAAAGTCTGTCAAGGTAGGGAACAATAGGAACGTATGTGACTTCCTGCACGCCGAACTTCTTAAGAAGTTGTACATGGATACAGAGAGAGAGAAAGAGGTCTCGTTATGCCCTATTATAGCTCATCTTCAGAGCTCTTCCAGGCTCATCAACGGCCAGGGGGGCCGGTGGTCAATAAGCACATGAGGTAAAATGCAACGAAAAGCATTAAGATCCACTCCAATATCCAATCCCGCATGTCATATCCGTAGTTTCCCACATCCGCGAGGTAATATCCCACGTAGGGAGGTTGTCGGAATAAAGATAGTCCATATTGGGTCATCATGTGAAGTAATGAAATGACGTGGCTATATTAGCTGTGGCTCCAGAAGGGGAGGATAAATCTCACCGTCTAGGGGCTCTCCCTCAGAGGCACGGATACGTGTCCGGACCAACATTGGCCCGACATGAGGAAGGCGTTGAGGCCAATCTTCCTGGTCTGGGCTTGGAACACCTCGCTTTGCGCCGCACGGTCTTCCTGCTAATGGTGGGGTTAAGTTGTCGACGAGCTGATCCATGCGCGCACGCACGTTGCTATTGTCGTAGCCATCGTTCCTTGCCGGTTTCCTTGATCTATCTCAGCGGCTGACTTTAGTGCGGCTGGATGCAGACCGTCTAAGCAAGGAGCCCTAGAACCCAATTGGTCACCGCACCGAGGTCGCCTTCCTGTAGACCATATTAGCTGCAAATTCATTCCCGTGGACCCCTACGTGAGCCAGGATCCAGTAGAACCGGGTGTTCCATCCCTGGGTGAGTCGTTCCTTAAGCAACTGCACAATCTCCTGAATAGGATACTGCCCAGACGTTTGGAATGGGAGTCCAAGGACTCTTATAAGCAAATGGATATGTGTGAAGATACCTTGAAAACTACTGAAAGCACACTAGGCCTATGACCGAATTACTCTCTAAGGAAGAAACTTTCAAATCGGTTCAGGAACGACAATAATTATTTAAAAAAAAAAAATAAAAATTTGTTTAAGAAAGCACCAATACTAGTGCTGCATGATCCCGAGAAGCCGAATAGTATTAAGCCGGACCTTCAGCGTATGGCACTTGGAATGGTATTGGAATAACAGAGAACTACTTGCAATTATCAAAGCTTTTTTAAAAATGGAGACTAGAGTTGCACGGATGAACCGCAAAAACGCTGCCGAATCCGCACTGCATGCGGTTGCGGTTTCTGATGGCAGGATCCTCAAATCTATGAGAATCCGAACGGACTCTGTGGTGGTTTTCTCCGCAAGTCCCAAAAATCCAATGCATAGTATTATTATATAAATAACGCACATTACAATTTTAAAAAAGGTTATTACCGGCACTCCCTTATTACATCCTTACGCATCCTATATTTTCTTTGTGTGATGGTTTGGTTGTCTCTGCGCTAGTAGAGATAAAACCACTTGACCGTATAAAAAGGTACAAGTCGACTGATCTTCGATCAGTCGCATCTAGCGCCCTATATAGGAGCGAAGGCCATGCCTGAGCAATACATTGGGTTCAACCCTTGACACTTTGCTTGTAGAAGATACATGGCAGTCTACTAACTAGCGTAGTGAACTGGGGATAGAACAGCTTTGCACATAACTAATCTAGTTAAATAAGTTATATACGAACTCTGATAGTTCTCCCTGGGGACTGTTATCCTGACGGCGGCCCCTGAGGACTCCTAATATTTAATAGCTTGTACAATCCATACATAGTATGAGGAGCTGCGTGAAGCCAGTTTGCAGCGTTTATTTATTCTGTTGGTGGCGAGGAAGGCGTTTGGCATGGCGTCCACTTTTATTTTCTTTTTGTCTTCCCTATACTTTATATTCTCATCGCAGGCACCGAATAGAGTTAACTTTGTTTCATTTCCGCCTCTGCTTCGTAGGTTATAACACATAGTACCTAGTACCTACTTAGTCGGTCATGTGATAAGCGAGATTGCAATATTAATCTAATTATAGCTAGATTATATAGTTATATAATTTATTTTACCTTTTTTGGGCACTTTTTTCTTATTAGATCAGCAACTACTTACTATATCTCTAACCGTTTGGAATAGGTGAGGGCCCAATATTTGGCGAGGATATATATAAGGTGCATTTTTCCCAGTAATAGGCTGCATTCTGTTTTCTCTTCAAACACACTAAAAATTACGAATTTTTTTACCTTATGTTATTTTTAAAGTTCCATTTTTATATACTTCTTAAGTTAAAGTTATTTATTATATTAGATATAATAAATTTCAGTCCAATTGATGATTAGTATAAATAGTTTTCCGGTCCCCTGTTACACTCCTTCGGATTAATGGTCTTGGCAATCATGTGACTGTCACGTATGTACTGTTTGAGACTTACCGTATTCAACAAGATCACGTGGCCTCTCTTAGTCACCCGTCTAGATCCTGTCAGATATATGGCTAGTCCCGAAGAGGAAATAGAGTACGATTGGTAAAAAAGGTCTTATTTTGAATGAATTGAGCTATTCTCTTCTTGGTTATTCTTGATGATTATTTTGTTGTGTGCTCCGCGGGGGTTTTAACCCGATCTAGTCACATGATTCTGGTCCACCAACGCCCATATTATTTGATAGATAACTAAATTAGACGGCTCGCCCAAGCCCCCTTGAATTGAAGAGAATCGTGCCTCGCGAACATGAGTACAGTAGGTCTCTAACATCTGGTGAGCGTCACAGGTTCTCCACAAATGTGGTAAAATCCCCAGATTGACGAGCCAGGCACATGAACCTGGCAACGTATAACCATATTATTTGACATCAATGTAACCTCCTAGCGGAAATGTAGTCCCCGTCAATTCTCTTTATTCGCCCTTGCATAGTTCACCGTTTGACCTCCAGATCTCATATTCAATGTTAGACCGGAATATGTGGTTTGAAAAAAATGAAGTGCTAAGCGTGATAAACTTTTGGACAAGAATGATACCATGGCTGCGACCTGAAATACGAGGGTTGTAGCGCCAAGCGCGGCTTGTCCTGTTTTGTCCCCTGAATAGAAAATGGAATCGTATCCGGCTTCCTTTCAAAATCACTATCTTTTGTCTCATTGTACCGGTCGCTCCAATTCTGCTCCCAGCCTAGAGAGATAATTGTGGTTTATCGCGCTATGGTAGGTAGTGACCCATTGATGCGCCTAAATCTCGACTGTGCGCTGCACATTCTCAGCTATCTACATCTTGATGATGTTGTACGATGTGAGCGGGTGAGCACTTATTGGAGAGACATAGCCCGTTCGTGGATGGGGAAGACTGGAGACTCTCTCCCCTGGACATTGCCATCATCCGGGGACAAGTGCAAGGTTGCAGCAATTAAGCGCTTTAGATACGGCGGTAAGATCCAAATAAATTACCTAGTTATTATCAAATGCATGGCTAAATGCCAGATCCTTAGCTGAGTGGGAGGCCAACCTCCGGCGTGGCAGAGCTTCGTCGGTCCGCCGATTCAATTCTGCGGTGTCATTCTATAGGGCCCAACAAGGGTGCATTGCAGCGTCGGGAGATTTCATAGCGTGCGACTCGGATGAAGGCCTTGTTTGGCAGTCCCTTTCGCTAAACGATGATGGCTCTATATTGCCTCCAAAGGCAGTGGAGGTTCCGGGTTTCAGCTTTGGGACCGAGTTGCATCATGACCAAGTTTCTCACCTGCAGTTAAATGATGATGGGTGCTTGTTATTCCGGGCTCGCACGCACCGATCCAACTCCCCCGCAGTTCGGTACGTTAACTTCTGTTCCGCGTTTCCCCGGATTCTATCATCCATGGACTAGTGACTGACATTGGCCGACCAGTGATCGGGTGATCTGTCTTAAGAGCGGAGAGGAGCTCTGGAAACAAGATATAGATCATCCAGATTGGTCCTCCCAACCCGATCTAGTGCCTCTTTTGATCGGAAAGGAGCGGGTCTATTACACTCGCACCAGCGAGCCAACACATTACCTTTTGGCGTATGAGTTCAGAACGGGTAAGCTAGCGTACGAGGTGCCGACTGATTGCTCCCTAAGTAAGAATGACCCAAACCAGCTTGTGGAGCTGATCCGCGACAAGGGGGAAGAATTTATCGTGAATCTCTCCCAGAGAACTAGCCCCTGCGACCTAACCATATATGATGGTGGGAGTGGATGTGCTATCGAGAAATGTGAATACCAAGGACTGTGCAGATTTACATTGACCACTGTGCCAAACACTGGCACGTTTACGTTGATGGCTGATGTATCAAAGAGCCGCTTTAAAATTCTTCTACGGTTTTCACGACAGTCAAAGGATAGTTTCCTCTGCGTTGGGAGGGAAGGGCTGTCTTGGGAACGTGGCCATAGCAAAGACGATGAATTTGCGGTTGACCCTTCTACACTTTTTATGGTCTCTTTTCAACAGAAGCGACCGATCCCGAAGGTGTGGAAGCTCGTGGAATGCACTGATCCAGAGTTGAGAGACATTGTGAATGAAGCTTTGTTAGAAGGGGGAGCATCGGATATCAGGGTAAACTGGTGTTGGAAGCCCACCGAGCCACAGGAAATTGACCTGCCTCCGGGGCCAAAGGGAAAGAAGCGACGCCAATTTCAGGTGCCCTCGGGTTCATTGGGCTCCAACCCGTGGTTCCTAGATAGGCGGCATATTGCCATTCATATGCATACTAATGAAATGCGAATGAGTGGGCGAGAGATGCGTCATTCTGCATACAAGGGTATTTATCTATTTGACTTCACACCAAGAAAACGAAGGGCGTAAGTGTGGTCTTTAGTGGAGTTCTGTACTTTTGTTCGTACTGCAAACATGCTCTCAATACTTCTCTCTCGCTCATTTAAGTATTCTAAAATGGCTTGGACGCCATTAGTTCATTCGTCAGATTGTGGAGAAGTATTCTCTGTTCTGTAACCGGCATGTCCAATATCAAAAGGAAAAGCTCAAAGTGAAGGAGTTGAAGGTGAAGATCCATTGTTATAGGCGAAAGTTGACGAATTTAGAAGATGCTTGGGGGTCGGATGAGTTTGATTCAGACGACATTCTAGTAGGGGATTCTTTAAGGGGGGGAAAGTATATGTGAGTAGCAGCGATTTATGTCTTATTGTAAGATCTCAACTTGTCTTATATCTTTCCTTGGTATCGACAGAATTCACAATGGCGAAGAGCTCGAGGAGCTTTTATTTCTGCAATTTTGGATCCATAATTTTTGACAAAGTGATGAGCCACGATTGAAGCAGCATTAGGGGTTTCACTTGTTTGTGCTTTAATTCAGCTAACAAGTGCTATCATATTTTTGGCGTTATTGTTGTTTGGGAAACTTCTGTGGGGGTGGTACAGACCAGAGGGGAAAGTCCAACGAAATGAGGTCGCAGAGACCGCTTTCAACGCCATATTTTGGGGGATAGGTTGCCGTGAGATGTCTATATTGAAGGTTTCTTTAATTACTTCTATAAGGTTGCCAATATATTAAGTACTTTAATGTCAGTCTGCATGTGTGGGATTTCTCTATCTCATCCCTAGTAGACTAATTCTCTCTGGGGGACGGCCTCCGCTTCTTACATTGACAATCGTTTACAAATAGACGCTTGATCCTACCGTAGTCAAATTTAAGAACGCAGCCAAAATTCAATACACGATTCACTTCGAGCGAGTAGACAAGATATTGCCCAAGGGTCCCAAGCTATAGATCCTGGATTTTCATATACTGACTGGCGTTAACATATCATGATTGAGTCGGCCAACCTCAGTACAGTATCTGTGTACTCACGGATCACCCAAGTACATTAAGGGTCAAATTCGCATTCTATGAACCCTACTAACCTCATTGATAGTCCCGTGCGCGATGAACACCAGCCGGATGGATAACATAGGAACGGAAATACGACAATACTCAGAATGCTTATTTTCTACTTCCCCCCACAGTCGGGTTACCTTTCTATATTGCGAAAAATTTACTGGTTAGTAGTTATTCTAACCATTGCTTATTAATCCAGGATGGTTGAAGTGTCATACGGTGATATATCGACAACGGAGGAAAGACAAGAATCATTTCCTGGTGTTTTGGATTTACATTGTTGGTCAGTGCCAGCGCTTAATCATTACTTCTACGGATTAACCAATTTAGTAAGTGATATTACCGACGGCATTTTTTCACACAAAAGTCAAGGTTATGTCTAAACAGATGTTGCTCACCCGAGAGAAGACCTATTGCCACGAGCGCCCTTCTCCCTGTCTTCTCTAACTCCAGAGGCCGATCCCGTTGTTCCTTAATAGCAAGGTCTAAATCGATTCGATCCATAGAGCGCAAGGCCTAAAACAAATCGACAAGAGTCTCGAGAGTGAAGAAAAAGGACTTTCAGTTTATTTGTATTTGATTTCAACCCCTGTTTACTCGTCTCGTGGTTGGCTATATTTAAAGTTTACTCAGTCTTATTCGCTGATACAACAGCAATGATGTTTCGCACTTGGAGGCCCCTTTGCAATCAGTTTAAATATGATCTGAACAGGGCCGGTTATGATGTGCTTGGAAAATTCTCAATATATCCGTTAACAGATACACAACTTATGATCTATTCGACTTTTTCCTAGGTTCATAGAATGGAGGCCAACACTCAGGATCCTAGTATCGTGGACCAGGTACGGATGACGGGTTCGGACTTTCGCACTGTTTTGCAGCCCAGCCGCAGCTGTGGTATAAGAGGTTTGTGGAAGCGTGGCTCAAAGACGTCCTGGGTTTACCCTCCAGGGCAAGTTTTGCTCTCGTTTCAGTATGTCAGATGGCGCACGCCACGTGCCATACAGCGGTGTACAACGGCCTCTTGCCCTGGTATGTATGTTGGGACAATGAGCTCGATAGCCTTGGAGGCGTAGCCTCCTTCCCTACGTCCCGCAACCCCCCTTCTGGTGCTATTTGTTATAGAGGGAGCACCCATATCACCAACACCCTGTCCAAGACCCGTTTCACAATTATATTAAAGCCTAGGGCTCTTCGAGGATTGATTGTGGATTTATCTGGCTTAAGTACGCTGAGCGAACGGGAAGCCCTGTTTTCCACACTCTGTCGCCATATGTACTTGATTCGGGACGGATGAAGCTTATAATCAGGAGTATACCTATTATTGAGCTGCCAAACCTTATGTGATGAGGGAGAATTAACTATAATAGTAAGCAGCAAATCAGGCGGTAACTAGAGGGTTTATGAGAAGAAAAGCTTTCATTGGGCCACATGAGTCCACCGTAATCTCTGTGGTGGCCAGCCGCCAGACGCGGCCTTTCTCAGCGCTGACTGCGTCAGCGCTACCCTGCATAGCGACATTCATATGTAAGCTAGGACAGGTCAATGAATTCTTCTACTACTACTACTGCAAGAGACACAAACTGACACCATCGACATAGCCCTTCATTTGAGTCTTCAAGAGCGCCCTCTGTCATCAAACCCACCGTCGTTTGAGCAACTCAATCTTCATCGACGACCCAGCATCTGCACAATTAGCGTTGGTTTCCAAGATTGCCAATAAGACTTGAGTGATCCATGCTCACAGTTCTGCTCATCTGTCACGCCCACTGGATCCTCTGAGGGCTGGATGGTCTTCTTGTTGTCCAAGCCAATCATCATGATCTTCGCAACGCTAGGCACGCCATCCCGGTCCATGACGAAAAGCATCCAGTATCCAGGAATCAGAATACCCGGATCAGTTGGCAGTGTAACTTTCCAGGTGTTTCCAAAAAACGATGTAGCAGAAACATGAAGTGGAATTCGGCGCTGATCAGTGTTGACAGTATGGGTGGCGGTGCCCAAACGGATCAGGGAAGCCGTCGAGATTGGGCCCGATGTTTTGAATCTTAGGGTACTACCGACCAATGCTTTATCTTCCAGGCCTGAGAGGATCTCAGGACGAGGCCGGGGCTGACCCGAAGCGGTCAGAAGATAAGGAGGCGTGAAGATCTGGCCATCGTAGTGGTTGGCCGTGCAGTTGCCGCAGAGTCCACCGCCGGCATTCAACACCCGACCATCTGGGAGGAGGATTGACACGGTATGATACACTCTCACAACATTGTTCTGCTGCAACTTTTGAAACGTGTCGGTTTCAGGGTCGTAAATCTCTGGAACAAACTGGACGTTTTCCTCATTAAAGGCAACGCCGAAGGTCTGGCCACCAGCGATAAAGACCTTTCCATCGGGGAGAACCACTGTAGTGTGGAACACACGCTCATAATGCATGGTGCCTCGTCCACCAGCGAGTTCGACCTTCGGTTTCTGGCCCGGTTCGCCGATCGTGATGATGTGGGCGGCGTTGGTAGCCCACGATTTGTCATAGTCAGGGGAACCTCCAAGAGTGAGAATCTTTCCCTTCACAGCATCGAACATAACAGCATTTCCCGACATGGAATGACCATCATTCATGCGGTATCCTGCCGCCTTGACACTTCCATTGCCATGAGCGGAGTACCAGTTCATCTGTTTGCTGGGCCCGGCTTGGAAGACGCTCAGGCCCTTCCAGCCGAAGAGCCAGCCATGGTTGTCGGCTCTCCAGGGACCTTCCATATCGTCGGTCAACATGTCGCGGACCGTTGCGCCGGGAAGCATGGTCCAGTTCTGGGTAGCAGGGTCGTAAACTTCGCCATCCTTAGCAATGTTGGAACCTCCAGCCCAGGAGCCTCCAATGACAAAAACGCGTCCGTCGGAGAGAGTCGTGGATGCCTGATATCCACGACGAAGATTCATCTCGGTTGCGCTGATCCACTCATCATTGGCAGAATCATAGAGACTTGTCTCCGCGGCGTCATTGCCTCCGGTCACAACCATCATGCCCGTGCCGTCATAGGAAATGCCGGGGCAAAACATGTCATGGTGGGTGTTGCTAACTGTGCGCTTGGAGACTTCGTGAGTCAATGGGTTCCACCGGGTCATAACCGTTTTGCCTCCTGGCGTCGAGTGGAAATGATCGTCGGCCCACGACGACCAAAGAGCAAGAATGCCAGATCCCTCCTGAGCACCGGAAACAGGCACAATAGGGAAATCAAGAGTTGGCCCCCAGACACCGAGAGCAGGATCGCGAGGAATGGTGTACAGAGTTCCATAGATGTTCAGCTCAGAGATGCCGACCCAGGGGTTTTGGTCGTCGGGATCAGTCGTGATTCTTACATATCGGGCAGATGATGGCTCGAACGCAGACATTCGCTGTCTGTTTGTGTTGGGCCACATTCCATATGCGACAGGACCCGTCCAGCTCTCATGATCTTCGCTGACCCAGATCTTGTGCTGGGTAATCAGACCTTCCACCCCCTTGTCGATTGGAGGGAGAACAACAACAGCGCCGACTTGGTACCATGCCCCAAGATCAACTACTAAAGTGTGCCCCTTGTCGGAAGGGTCGCTGTGCCAAGCAGTGGTGTTTTTTCCGTCGATCGCGTTTTTGCATGGATAGTCGCTAGCGGAGCTGCTGCAAGTCAAGGTCCAGTCTTGACGGGGGATTCGAATGCCTTGATAGGGAGGCGATTCATCGTTGAAGGTCGGTGTCCAAGAAGGGTTATCGGATTTGCCATAGCCAGAGACACGTTCTCCTCTCATGGCCTCGGCCATATATTCCGCCATAGCACTGACTCCCCCGATGGAAGCCCCAACGAGGAGCCCGGCCCTTTGCAGCTTCATCTTGGGCGAGAAGATTGACTGGAGAGCGAAGAGACGGAGAAGGAGAAAGAAAGGCCCACCCCACGTCTGTGAAGGGAAAACATTGACGTAGGACTAGGGGATATATAAGTGCAATACTGAGCATACTCCGCCTGGGGCCGCTCGCCACCGTCATCAAGATTCAAATGATTTTCAGCACACGGCAATAAACTAGACCAATAGTCAAGAATGGTTGCGCAAACTATTACAGGTAGGCCGATCTCTTGAGGGGCTTGCTTGATGCGGACGTGAGACACAGTTAGTGATTGGCAGCCTGTACATGAGCTCGCACTGCGTATTATGACACGTCTGGGCAGTCTCTTGGATCACGGTGCAAAAAGAAGCACAAAAAAAAAAAAAAAAGAAACTCGATCATGTCGACAGCAGGTCGAAGATCGACGTCCCCTTGTCCTGCACAGTACACGGAATGCAAGCACATCTGGCCCGCTGGGATGATTCTGCAGTTACAGTAAGTTCATTTCTGGCTTGCAAATCACCGGTGGGATATGCATACCTAAGACTTTTGTGTCACCACGGAGCGATAATCGTCAACTCACTCATTAGCAATTGGTGCAGCAAAAGTACAGCTGCATGATGATCATGGTTCATCGAGGGGAATGTGCCATAACTAGTTCATCCCCGTGGCATTCAATGGGTGGAGCTCAGCCCGCCACGGAGACGGCCCGATCGCTCTCATCTTGAGCGAATCTCTAGGCACGGCAGTGCAAAATAGATCCACGCATCTTCCTGATTTTCCGTTGCCGGAAGAAGCAGTATCCACAGTTCAGCTGAAGCTCTAGTCACCACTTTTTTCTCCCACTCGAACCAACAATATCGGCAATCATTATTTCCACGGCCCTAGAACTTAGAAAGAACATGGCCGGAATAGGGCAATAATAGGTTACGGCAACTTGAGGAATGATCGGTCGGAACAATTCCAACTCCTCTGGAAAGCTATCCGGGCCATGGAATGACACATGTAATCCATGCCTATTGTAAACAAAAGTGGAGACCTTCAGGGCCCCCAGTGGATTGGCGATTAACCTCCACCAAGGAGGTTCGCCATTTTAGTCTGCTAGAGTGGATACTAGCTTCGTGCAGATGTGAGCTATAGAGTCGCCTAATGAAAACCTTTCTGGTCCGCATTTCAAAGTCAAGATTTTCATGCGACCATTGCCGGCTATTGGAGAACCATGCCGTCAGTATCTTGCATCTACGCACGAGCAATCAATCGCCTGCCGTGGTTGTTTCAGCCCCTCCTAGCGAGCGACTAGAATGTGGAGTGGATAAACACGGTTCGAATTAGGTGCAGCTAGGTAAGTAGCTGCTGAGGTCTTGAGATCATACGGCGCCAGAAATCTCCGCGAATGTAGCGAGTACTCTCATCTCTGGCGGCCTGGGCTATGTTGATCTCTGGTTTTGGACGAAGCGCTGACCGGTGATAATCTTCGAATTAGAAATTCCTCTAATTCACGACCCATGAAGGCTATGGATCTGCAAGGCAAGGCAATACGGAACGCGTATCTCTATCTTGTTGTCCAATGACCGGATAGGAGACGCAATCCACCCCCTCCCATCTTGCCCAAAAGATGCTCGTGCAACTGAATATGGTTATGATTGATCATTGATATTGAGTCTCAATATGTAGTGATGTCACTAACAGCAGTTCCTAAATGATGGCCATTATCGAGTATGCCCCATCTCCAATGGGCGGTCTGATCCAGTAGCTGAATGATACGTGCGGTTTAATCACACTACTGCATTGCCCCCCTCCCCATTCCTCGACTTCTGTGTTAGAAAAATGAGTGGGTGTTGGGTTCATAAACTGGCGTGTCACCTTATCTTGTCTTCCAGCTTTCCCGTCCCATCAGGTCTGCCCCGCGTGGTTCGAGAGTAACACAGTTTATTTTAAATCGCGTGCTCTTTAAAGGTTGAACTCGGCGTCATGAGTCTTACTCCAGCCCTCAAGGCAAATATCCAGGGAGACATTTGGTAAGTTCCCCTACCCGTCCCACGCTCATATATCGAAATTATCTTTCAAAAGTCTTACCTCCATCACCAGGCCCGGTCTCCCCAAGAGATTTCAAAGCTTTCTGTTTTTTCGCGTTCGAAACCAAGTTGATTTCAAAAACCGACTCAAGACGTTCATTCCCAAGATCACCACGGCGCAAGATGCCTGTGAGATGAAGGAGATAATCAAGCAGGAAAAGGATTTGGCTAAACAGAGAAAGAAATCAGCTAAGCTCAAAGCTTTGCCGGGAATCAACATTGCCTTTACCGCGACGGGTCTTGAAGCAGTAAGTCATCGTCGCAACTGTTTGCACTGGCGTTGAATTTTTATTGAGAAACACATCATAGCTCGGAGTATTCGTGCATCCCAATGATCAGGATATAGTCAAAAAGGACAGAGAGCTATCTAAAGTTTTCCGTGAGAAACAGCTCAGAGGTGGACTATTCGAAAAGGGGATGTTTGCGGATCTTGTCGGTGAGGGGTGGGACAACCCCCAGGAACTCCGAAAAGAATACCAGCCTACCAGTAATAACGAGAGGCTCATTGATGGTGTTATCACGGTGACTTCAAGCCTGAAGCCTGATCTGCTTGCGAAGGTCAGCGAGGTGAAGCAACATTTTCTGGCCGAGGAGGGGGCGCCTCTCAACGCGGATACATATGTCGTGAGCAAGGACCCTTCCATTGAGTTGACCCTGGTTAGAGATGGAAAGGTCCGTCCGGGCCTTGAGAAAGGAAAGGAGCAGTAAGTACTTACCCAATGCCTGAAAACCTACACATCTGGGTAGTCGACGGCTGAGCTAGGCTTACATTTCTGTTAAGCTTTGGATTCAAGGATGGAATCAGTCAGCCTCTTCTCGAGGGCTGGGACGAAGCGGTACCGAAGGAAAGAGAGCCAAAAGCTGTCAAGTCAGGGTAAGAGTGATGGAAGTCATTGAACTGAGGACTTTCAGACTGATGAAACGTAGAATGATCTTTTGCGGCCACGAGGGTGACGATATGAGCCAACCGGCATGGGCGAAAGACGGTAGCTTCCTTGTTTTCCGTGACCTTCAGCAACTTGTTCCTGAATTTGCGGAGTAGGTGTCCCACCTTTTATTGTTTTCTGTTCTGCGTTTTGTACTGATCAAATCCATCACTAGTTTTATGGAAGAAAATGCTGAGCACGCCCCTTTCACTCAGGACCACCCTAAGCCAGGCGAAAAGCTCGCAGCATATTTGATGGGAAGATGGAAGAACGGTTTGTCGCAACCAAAGAGATATACTCGGGATCCATGCATAGATTTACTGATTGAAACCACTTCCAGGGACTCCTGTGGATGAGTCTCCTCACGATGACTCTAACCCAGACCTCTTCGAATCAAACAACTTCGACTATCACCCCGTCGAAAAGCACGACAAGTGTCCTTTTGCGGCACACACCCGCAAGATGAGACCGCGAGCTGACTTGAATCACGACCATGCTGTCATTATTCGTCGTAGCATTCCGTATGGCGAGGAAGTCACGGCCGAGGAAATGACTGATCGAAAGTCGTCAAAAGATAATGAGCGTGGACTTCTGTTCGTGTGCTACCAGAGCGACATACGAAACGGATTCAACTTCTTGACTACCCGTAAGCAATTGAACTCCTGCATAGCGTGAGAGGATAAAGGGTTCTTCTTTAACACCTACTTTTTATTTCTACAGGCTGGGCAAGCAACCACCATTTCCCCGACCGCAAAACCAGTTTCGTTGGCGATGATGGCCCGGGTATTGATGCTATTGTTGGCCAGAGACTTGAGCATCACCCGCCTCGATCTATCGGTCTTCCTGATGGCAAGGACCCCACTGAGGCCCGCATGCCGCTGGAAAGCTGGGTAGTTCAAAAGGGAGGTGAATACTTCTTCGCGCCTTCTATCTCGGCGCTGAAGAAGGAACTGACGGGTCCTGGTTTCTTTGACCCAAAACAACTGCAGCGCCTTCGTGAGGCTAACACCTAATTATGGGACATCAGAAAGCTATGTCTATGGTGTATGTCATGCCACACGTGTCGAGATCCTTGAGGTAATCAATATATCCCGTGTTTAACTCCTATACTTCAGTAGATAGCATGAGACACGCATTATCTCCTATAGTGCTTTGAAGTCCGATTAAATTCAATATACGCAATCGTTCCCTAAGCTACTGGCTTAGTCCCTATTTGGTTAAACATAGACAAGCATGTTCATTAAATATGGCCTTTCGACTTCGGACGCACAACATGTAATAACCGGAGTTAAAGAAGGTCAAATAAATGCGATGAGGGGATTCTCCCCTAACACGGTTTTCCAGCCCACTAATGCGTATAGCTACCTTTCATTTACATATGCGTTTATATTGCCATGTCGGAACTGAGTTTTATACTTTCGCAGTATGGACGGCTCAAACGAATGGCTCTATATTCATCTGCACTAGCTTTTGGATCTTGTTGCCCTGAACATGCGAAGGCCTATATTTTTGCATTCTCAAGCCAAAGTCAGTCTTTTGCAAGCTCCAGCATTTCACCATTTGCATCAGCATAAGTGGGCGTCGGAATCATGTAGTCAGCAGCATCCTGCATAGGAATTTGCGGCCAGACGTAATTAGTGGATTCACTTTCGCAGTGCCGAGATCCTGGCTTGGTGCTGAGGCCATTGTTGGAAATTTGGCAGCACGATATATCACAAGGCTTGCGCGTGCTCGGCGTGCCATCCGTGTGGAAAGGAGTTGAAGCAGCGGCGGACTATGTCAAACCTATCAGAGAAAATAGAACTTCCGATGTGTGTTACATGAATGCTGCTTTTCGTGAATTATGAGGTGATCTGTAATGTGTAATGGCTAACATGTCCACGATGTATGTTTTGCGATTTATGGCCTATGTAATGCCTCAGCTAATCTAATCATGCATAATGAACGTTAGCATTGCCAACTTTGGAATCGAAGCTGTCGCGACATGTGCTTTTTATACCCGACCCGGAACCGTGAGCCTGCTTCATTTGTTGGAGCCGATGGTGATATCTCTCATGTTAGAGAAAATCTCCCCTCATTTAGTGGAGACCATTAAAGTCGACGGGTCTGGTCAGTCTGCTGCCCAAAAAGGGCAGAGTTCCCTAGAAATGAACGTGAAACAAATCCTCCTGTGTAGGTGAATATATAGCCACAGAGAGAGCTATATTAGTTCCCTTTATTATAATTTAAAAATTTATGCATCTCAGGGGTAACAGGGAGATATGAATCACGCATACAAACAATTCACTGGACCAGAGCTTTCTCCTGATACTCATCAAAAGCCTTGTCTTTAGGTATGCTGGCGCTGCGAGCCTGTTGTCCCCGGCGAACGCGACTGCGTAGTGTCTAGCGCGAAATGCCACATTCCCGCGTAATCTTCGCTGAATTCAGTTCTTTTTCGCGCTGGGTGGCTTCGCGGGCCTTGAGTACACGAGATTCATCTACTTTCGGCGCCTTTGGCATGGTGGGTGGATGGGATGAACGTCAAGAAGCTAGATGGGCCACCGAATTTTGGGTTTACGGTGTGGATTAGGTTTACGGTGTGGAGCACCTAAGCCATAAGCAGTGGGGCGGGCCACTGGAAGGCACTAATATAAGTTATTTACCTCGTAACACAGGTACCATCTCCGGAACCGCAGTATCCGATGCCTTGTCTTTGTAAACTCCGCTTATTCTTAGCTTAGCGTCGGAAGCAAGATCCTGGAACATGCTTGCAGTACGTCTCTTCCCACCAATGTTAATCAGTGGGACATCTAAGAGAGCAGTCTGGATGGAGAGTGGGCAAAATAGCAGCTGTGATAACACTAAGACCCTGGAGTCCACTGCATAAGCAGAACGAATGACGAGGAGAATGCTGATGCAAACATCATCAGGCCAATTATTAAACACTCGCCGAATGTAGTAAATCAGGGACCCTGGTAGGAGTACGGTAGCTTATGAGGGCTTGTAACAATGAAGTAGGGATATCACCGACAGACTTTGCATGGGCTGCTTGCCGAGAAAATCTCTCACCACCTGCTGGATGTGGCATAAGGTCGAGTCGTCATCGTGCTTCGCATCACGTATGGCCGGAACCCTGTCCATAAGCACGAACAGCGCTGCTGGGATGTACAGGTTTCCCTGGAGGATGGCTCGGAGGGCCTGTCTCCTTCCGCCGCCATTCACAATGTTGCTTCTGGATCCCAGTTTCCTCTTCTGAGCTGCGGCGCCAACCCATGAGAAGTCATACATCTCTGTGGTCGGCAGCTGTTCCCTAGTGGCCATCGCACGGTTTATCATATCCGATTTGTAGGTCACTGTTTCGAGGACATCATATCTCGCCCTGTCAGAATGACCGAAGGTCAGGCCAATTGGCACGCGATTGGCTTGTTTTGGTTCTACCAAGCTATTGGTTTGGAACAACTGTGGCCAATGGATGGGCAGGATTGAGGGAGGAAGATATCAAAGAAATGGATGAAGTAGGGCAACGTCAAATGTTTGCTCCGATAGCGCATGGAGTTCTACGTATGACCAACGCAACCGGATGTCGCAGAGGAGAAGACATCCCCGTGACTAAGTTGAACAGTTCCAGGAGACCCGCGTCGACATCCTGTTTATTGGAGAGCTCGACAATGGAAATATCCTCTGACTCTGGGATAGCATCAAAGACCTCATAGTCGACAAGGAGTTTGATGACGCTGATCCCTGCCATGGAACTACATAGCTTCATGAATGGACCCATCGACCTATCGTCACGTTCCTATATGCTCTGGTTTGTCTCAATGGTGTAGATAATATCATGAATTTGTGTCAATACGAGAAGGAGAGGCTAATGCGAAGAGAAGGGAACAGAAAGATTACCAGGTAGCTATGTGGAATATGCTTCGGGATGTATGGATTGCTAATTCTGTAATATGCATCATTTGAGCTATCCGATGGAGGGTTGATTCACTTTTTTCTTTCGATTTGTTTTTTCTTTGTTTTTTGCCCCTCCAGGCTTCAACTTCAAGTCTAACTCGCTGCTTCTAGCCCCCTTGAATACGACATGCATTCTGAATTAGGAGGTCAGAAAATCCTTCTGGCAGGGGTGATTGCAGGTGTGTATGTATGCGTGCACGTATGTATTATTTCGATGGAGGGATAAAGAGTCCACTTCTGCACTGTAACGGTTACAATTTACGAAGGGGTACGGATAATTGAATCGCTGGTTACTGCATACATTGAAGCATATCTACCTTTCATAGTTAGAGTGCTGTGTGTCTTCCACACTCACAGCCGGATGACATCAGTGTTGCACAATCGGACAGAAAGATTGGATGACAGAGCATAGTGAAGTGGATTAATCCAGAGAACGCGTATAAATTATCTCCTGTGAATGCGTATTGTAACTGTGCACGCGCAATCCTTGAGCTGGGTATTATCTTCCCAGACTGGAGGCAAGACCACATACACACTGACCCGCGCAGAAGCCCACATAAGTCTACGAGATCCCCCCTAGGACATCCTTATTCGACTTGACAAATTCTTAGCTGCTTCAAGATGCACTCAGAGCAGGCTGCCACCTTAGTACCGCTTGAGGTTCTCAGCCGAACATTCAATTTTAATGACCATGAGGCCAAATGGTGGGATACCACCGCACCGCTCTTTGCCAAAATGCTTATCAATGCCAAATACGATGTACACGCACAGTACAGGTTTCTGTGCCTTTATCGCGAGTTTGTTATTCCCAACTTGGGAGCGTATCCTACTAAAGGGACCCAATTGGGCTGGAAGAGCATGCTCACACGCTATGGACTTCCCTTTGAATTAAGCTACAATGTTTCTAAATCTCTCGTCCGTTTCGCCTTCGAGCCCATTGGCAGTCTCGCTGGTACCGAGCAAGACTTATTTAATACCAAGGCGATCGGTGAGACATTGCACAGATTTGGAAAAATTGTGCCAGGTCTCAACTTGGAATGGTACAATAGTTTCGTGTCCGATCTTATTGTCTCGGATAAAGAAGCCAAAATGGCCCGCAACACAACAATCCCATTCCGAACGCAGAGTGTCATTGCGGTCGACATGGAGCCAAACGGGGATGTGTTACTAAAAGCCTATTTCTGCCCTAGGATTAAATCTGTTGTTACCGACAAATCCAAGGAGAGTCTGATGTTTGACGCTATCCGGAAGGTCGATCATGACGGCCGTCTTGAGGTTCCGCTGTTAACTTTAAAGGAATTTTTGGCTTCGCGCGCCTCCGCGGCTAGAGGGCAAGATTCTGCCCTTATTGCGCATTTTTTTTCATGTGATCTTCTTCAGCCGTCCGAATCACGAATTAAAATGTACTGTTATGAGACCAAGCTGGACTTTGACGCCCTTACTAGCGACTGGACATTGGGGGGGAGGCGCAATGACCCACAGACATTAGCTGGCCTGGAACTGCTCAAGGAGCTATGGGACTTGCTACCAATCACTGAGGGGCGCAGCGAAGGTCCTCCCGGCTTCCATGAGCTTGGTACTTCACCTGAAGAACGCCTCCCGTTCATTCTGAATTTTGGCCTTTGTCCGGGGAATCCCATCCCGGAACCCCAGATATACTTCCCTGTCTTTGGTTACAACGACAAGGTTGTTGCTGATGCATTGAAGGCTTTCTTCCTGCGCGTGGGCTGGACAGACTTAGCCAACTCATACATGGCTAACCTGTGTGAATACTAGTGAGTTTTTTCTTTTTTTCTACCCCGGATAGTATGAAGAGAAAAACGTCACCTAACAGTTCAAAGTCCGGATGAGGATCTGGGCAACACAAACCACGCCCTAGCATGGATTTCGTACTCCTTCAAAAAAGGCAAGCCATATATGACTGTGTATCACTACAGCTATGGAACCTTTCAGAGTTTCTTAAAAAACTAGGCTGGGTGCGGGCAGTAGCAGGTTATTGCCAAGAAAGTATATTAGGGCTGGGTTCTTTATGCGCGGGTGGGAGTTTCATCTTCTATGTTCTCCTCAGAGTTTGGTTGGTCTACTGTGTATTAAATCTGGAAGGCGAAGGCCGTTAATCGGACTGTCGATTGGTACATGAACATTCTTTAGAACAATCCAATAATTGGCGTGGTCTGACCTCAAATCGGAAGATGTTGATCTTCGGTGGGGGTTTACATAACAAATACTACACTCGCCTCAGCTCAGATGCAAGAATGTGTCGAACACGAATGTCTTAGCATCATTAGAAAACACGAGGAGAGAAAGGGCCAAGGAAGTGAAGCTTTTAGGGCTGAAAACAACTAAGAAGAAGTCCAAATCGAAGATTGCCACCAGTGAGTCTTAGCTAGTCATTGTTCTGGCCGGTATTGATATATTGATGATGGCTGATTAGTGTTGTGTCAACCTGAGACGTACTGCTAACTCACATTTGGTTCTTCAGAATGTAAATTACAGCACTAGTGGTCACAAAATTTGATCCTCATATTCGTTATTTGTACTGAAGCAGAATACTATATAGGAGGTATTAATTAAATAGTTACAGGAATCAGATCGCTTGCTCAGTCTTGACAAGGCGTATATGAATTGGGTGCCAAGTCAACAGGTCGGAGGTCCTAACTATTCTTGAGCGTTATATTACCTTCACCCTGATACACGCTACACCTTATTAGGCTAGTCATATATCTATCTATACAATACCTTACATTACGTGTAACTTAACCACCACTTTACGGCCATTACAACAATTAGTTAGGAAGATCGTCTACGTATTCCGCATGGGACATGCATATATCCCTGTCCTGGTCGTTGCATATTTACCCACGTCAAATACGAACGCACGATGATGATGCTCAAATTTGCTTATTTTTATTTTACCCCTCCTTCGGAGTCCCCAATTTCATGAAGATCCACCCATTCATGCTTTGAACGTAGGCGAAATCCTCGACCTAGTCCATTGGCTGGGCCTAGACCTTGCAAGCCCTGCCCTAGCGTTCCTTATAAGGTTAATCCAGTGAACGCCTGTTGGTGTCGGTCACCTAGTTTCCGCCGTTAGCCGCATCAGAGAATCCTGTTCTATTCGAATCCATCAAGAACAGATCAGCCCACCAGCCCCTATCGCCACTCTTGTGTCTTGCTTCATTAATGCCCAGACACTCTCATTCGTCCAGTTTCTTCCCTCGGGAAATCTCTCCCTCTTTCTGCACTGTCAGATTGAGAAATCCATGGTCAGCCAATCAACAATATCTTACAGGCAGTCCTTCAACTCTCGGACCCCAAAGATGAGAGACATTATTGTCCAAAGCACAAGTGCTCACTGACAGTCTCTTCATACTCCGCTCGTGATGTTGATTGATGCCTTGCTTATTAGTCCGCCAATCGCATCAACTCTTATAACAGGTAGCTGGCTGACGCCACCGAGGATATCCGATTGGTCCGGTTTTTAGTGGCTCTTTGCGTGGTATATTGTAACCGAAGGAGGTTCCTATAGCTGGTGCCTAAATCAGAGATCCTAAGATATGGTTGCAACAAGGATAATACGAGCAAATCTAGCAAATACCCCAAACAAATATCCCAACATGAATCTATCCCTCGACAGTTAATCCCGAACGCTATGCCAGTCCTCGTATCCTCCCTTTTTCTACAATCGGGAATCTAAAGTCTGACACGAAATGTAGACTTCAACCCCCCTCTACATGGAACTTATCCTGAAAGAATGATCATCTTCGATCAAGAACCCACCCCTAGCTTAGCTCTTTGTCTGAATGGTCTGGTGAAATTCGCTCATTCTTCTTTTCCTCCACCATCAGGAGCCTCCATACATGTACTGGCTTGATCACTGTACGGAACGTCCAGGAGTATCCGGCCATAGACCCACCAGGTGCTCTGCGATAGATTCTTGGCTGTGTCTGTCAATGGCTGCGGAGTGATAGAGACCTGTTCAAAACTAGTATCGAAACACTATGCTGCGGGAATACGCATCAGAGGCAACAACCAATAGTCGAGGACAGGGCGAAAACAGGCCACATATCTGTGTATTTAGGGGATGAGACGCAAACTATCTTGGCCTCGTCAGAGAGGCTCGACATCAAATCTATGCCACTCTACACATCCCGTCCTCATCCCAATCCACACTCCCCACCCCCAACTTCACGACAAACAGGCCCTCTGGATCCCAGGCGTGTTTAATCGCATACAACCGCTCGTAGTTATCTTTGCCCCAGAACGCCTGACGGAAATCCGGCTCCCCCGGATTACCAATATTATAATACGATGCCATCCGATGATCTTCCAGCGCATACAGCTGCGGCATCTGGAAATGCGTCAGCTTATTTTGGACAGCCGCTTGCTCCTCCGCAGATGAAGTCGAAGAAAGACCCAGCACCAGATCGACAAAAAGCAGCGCCTCGCGGAAGGAAGGGTGTATTGCGCTCTGCACTGTGGCCCCGTTCTCACGGACCTTCCCAGTTACCATGCTAGCAACTTGGATGCCATCGCCTGGTCGGAGCTGGAGTTTCGAAAACGCCGTCGCCATCTGCGCCGGTCCCTCGGCGAAGAAGGCGTAGGATTCAGAGATTAGAACAGATCCGTGCAAGGTTCCAATCCCACCCCCGTAGATAAAACCGGGGTTTGCGGCCAATTTGGTGCTAATTTGTTCGATAAATTCGGACGAGGAGGTGTAGGGGATGTCGCCACTGTCAAAGATGCTCCCCACGGTTGATATAAACTGTGCATGGATGGCGTCAGAATTGGTTGCATTAATTATGTACGCCTCCATAGAGACAACCGCGGTCTGATTTTTTGGGGGAACACGTCGACTTTGACGAAGTTCCGGTTGGCGCTGAATTTGGGTATAGCTGCGTACAGCTCTGACACTACCGTCCAGAAATCTTCATCGACCGCTGTGATATTGCTGTCCATGGTGACATGCACCGCTGTGGTCGCGGGATAGACGCGAACAGTGACATCAACAACGACGCCAAAAGTACCGCCGCCACCGCCTCTCAAGGCCCAGAAGAGATCGGTGTTTTGGTATTCATTGGCAGTCACAATCTTGCCCTGACGTATTGAATTAGCGGTGATATCTCAGTGATAGATACTCCTTCGTGTGTCTCTCACCTCGGCCGTCACTAAACTGCACCGCATTATCCGATGCCAATCCAAGAGCAGGACTCAGCATCGACAGGCCACCTCCTTGGATGAAACCGCCCGCCACGCCAACAGTACTACACAATCCCGCAATAGCTGTGTATCCCCCGGCCGCTGCAGCCTCATAGAGTTCGCCACCGAGAATCCCCCCCCCCAGCGTCACAGCAGGCCCTACACCTGGTTCATCCTTGCTTCCAACAGGGTTAAAATCCTTGGCGTAGTTGATATACTTCAGCCGGTGTGTCGCGATCTGAAATGACCCTGGCGCGCTCGGCCGACCCGTTAGGTCGTGGCCTGTATTTTTGGTGACAGGACGCAGTCGTCGATCTCGCGCAAACCGCACCGCTGTCTGGATCTGTTCGGGGTCTCCGTCAAGGCCGAGTACAGGGCGATCCGACCCTGATCGCATGGGGTGGACTTTGTGTGTTTGCTGGAAATATAGCAATACTGGTCTTTTTCCGGCCAACTTTCCCAGTTGGTGTACTGCAGTGCTCCTGAAATTGATTGTTACATAAATATATATACAGTATACGAAAAGAGAGTAAAGGGGAGTGGGCCCACCAGGTTGTCTACCTCGCCAAACGGAGTCATTGGATGCGCTCTTTACGTACTCGCAAACCTTGTTGTCAAAGGTACCCTTGTGGCAAACATAGCCTACAGGTCGGACATGGACTAAGTTGCCCTGGATGGAGTGGTTGAGAGCCTTCCAGTCCTCGTCCGATGGCCAGCATGTGTCGCCCATGCCGCAGCGACAGTCATCCCAATTGGCCGCGCTGCCTACGCTGGGGAATGCACGTACGTGTAGAAGAAAGGGAAGGAAAAAAAAAAAAAACGAAACATATCAATGTGTCAGGATATAGTGGAAGATAGGAAAATAGCTCCTGACAGAGTGAGTAATGATGGTCAATTTAATGGTTCTGGTCTCATTCTCTCCATCTATGATGTATTCATCCATCAATTTATTCATATTCTCGAGCCCTGGATGCAGTACGGGGGCGGTGGATCTTCACTGCGGTTGAGTACAGATTGGTTGCGTTTCGAGATTCCCCTGGCCCGTATTCCACGAGCGAGATTAATATCACACGAGGGCTAGCCACTGTAAACAGAAAGGCTGAATAATAGTCCAGCTCCTGGCCATCTTTCTGGATTGTATCAAGACACCCCACAGACACGCGGAGGTGAGTTTTTGGAGACTGGCTTGCTTAGCCCAAACAATTTAATATACTCCTATGGTAGATACTGAAGATCTACCTTTCCCCTCGTATAATCAATATATTGTTACTTGATTAACGTTCGAAAGACACGAAATCTCCCTTCAATGGACTGGTGTGAACATCACCAGCCATATCGTATATTTCTACCTATTTCTACAGTATGACCTCGGTCAAATCCGCCGTAGAAAACAATGAATTATCTCGAATTATTGTTTATAGTGATAGCTTACTTTGCGTCTATACTCAAAAATTTGTCAATAATGTGCCAGCCGCATTACGTAAAGCCTCAAATGTATGTAAGTAGACACTCATATAGGGCTTATTCGACTTAGAGGAGTACGAAACCCACGCTTGCAGATGGTTCGTCTCGGCCATGTCCAGCTCCGGGCTGTGGTATCCGTCAGCGGGGCGTTCCCAGTGATATATTCGGGGAAAGCAGGGAAAGCTTACTAGTATGAGGCCAAGTCAGACGAATAAGTCTTCGCAAGACCCGCGTAGCCCACGTCCTTGAAGAATGTTGTGAGCCCGTCGGCAATTGCTTTGTCGTTTTGGCCGAACGCGGGGAAGTAAATTTGGGGTTCGGGGAAGGGCTTGTTAGGGGATAGGCTAAAATTGATAATAAAGGGAAGTTGTTCTTTGGGGGACTGTCCGGGCTCGTAGAAGCAATTGGGAAGGGGACAGCGGCCCTCAGTTACTGGTAGCAAGTCCCAGAGCTTCCTGAGTAGTTCCAGCCCAGCCAACGTCTCGGCATCGTTGAGTCTGCCGCCCAGCGTCCAGATGCCCGCAATGGAGTCAAAGTCAAGCTGGATTTCAAAACAGTAGACTTTAATTCTAGATTCTGAGGGCTTGACAAGGTCACACGAAAGAAAATGAGCGATGAGAGTGGGACTCCGTTCTGCCATGAATTCCTCCAACACTGCCAATGAAGCCGCCAGTTGGCCATCCGGGTCCGCTTTGCGTATCGCATTGAACATCAGTTGTTCCTTGGGCGTACCAGTGGCAATGGACTTGATGCGAGGGTAGATATATGTCTTTAGCATGATATCGCCATTGGGGCCCAGGTCCGCCGCAAGTTTGTTTTGGGTTTTGAACACTGGGATGGGATTCTTATCCCGAATAGATTGGACGTCTTCCGCGGAGACAACTAGCTCCCTGACGAAATGATTGAACCATTCAAGGTCCAGCCGGGGAATGACGGTTTTGAGCTGATTCAACACAGGCCCAATCGCCTGGGCATTGAATGGATCTTCCTCTGTGCCGGTGCGAGGGCCTAGAGGCTCAAACGCAAAACGGAGGAGCGACTTGGAATAGTTGAAGCTTAATTCAAACGGCAGTCCAAAGCGTGTCAAATGGCTTTTCCAGGGCATCGGCTCCCCTTTGGTGGGGTACGGGCCCAAGGCCGGGATGATGAAGTCGCGGTGGAGGCACAGGAACTTGTACTGCGCATGCACATCATAATTGGCACCGGCCATCATGGTTGCAAACATGGGTGCGGTGCTTTGCCACCATTTGGCTTCGTCGGCACTCTTGAAGTTGAAGCTCTGGCTAAGAACTTGAACTGGCATCGGCAGCTGAACTGCGACATTGCTCGGATCGCGGGCCATGGTGAAATGCTTGGGGGTCAATCCTCGATCCTACCTAATTTCTGCGAACGGAATGATTGTGGTTGATATATGTGAAGGCGTGGGCTTAACAGTTCAGGACCGACAGACAATCCGGAGAATATGCCGCATGAATGCCTGGATTTCTGACATTATCCTTTCTCCGATGCCCTTGTGGTTCTGCAGCCTGTGGGCCCAGTAAGAGGCTGCAAGATTGTTCAGCCCCAAAGAAGCTAGGGCTGTTTTGGGGAACTTCAGGGGTTTCAATATGGTATTTTCATGTTTGCAGAAGGATCGGCGCCTATGCAGCGGGGGCTGTAGAGAAATACGAGGTTGCAGTTCTAGGTACAGGGAGTCAATAAAATATTTTTTTGAGTTCGACACGGTCACTGGACTCCCAGGTCCTCCACACCGTGAAACATCTTTGGAGCATCATAGGTAAGCTCATCCTTCTCGATCAACAACCCCCGGCCTATCACGTGTCCTGCTGCAACAATTGCTGCCACCCTACTTGCATTCTTCCACATTCCCATCCTCGTTCTATTTTCAGCGTCGTTTATTGTCTTATAATGCCAGATCTCACCTGCAGCCAATCGGCCATGCTTCAGCTACAGCCCCTTCGTTCAGCGACCCACAGACACTGATTCATCATTGCCAAATGTACAGTCACAATACTTGCTTCGGTGCCACCCGCCTGTGTTGCTTGATTGACACCTTGGCAGTCAGATTCCGTGTCGATTCGGTGTCCGTCTGGGGCTACCGAGGATCCCCGACGTTCCTATGGTTTATCGCGGCACAATCCTAACTATATCCGATAATGCTTATGTTGGAGACTCAAATTGGAGGCCCATAGTAAGAAACTGGGCCCGAACAAGGATAATACGAGGACCAACGTATTCCTCAGACCATACTCCAAGAGTAGGTCCAGACCCGGTAGTGTCGGGGATGGCATGCCTGGCGAGACTGCGACTTTAAAGTAGACAGAATGGCAAATTTCATGAGGTAAGAGAGAGATCTGTATTCGCTTCTGTGGTGAATCCTCATATGAGCTGCCTCCGTCACATCGAACCCGTCGGAACAACAGAAAGCAAGTTTACGTCCCAGACCTTTTTTATTTAATCTTTCCTTGGTCAATACCCCAGATTGGGACTTTCGACCTCTGGCCATGGGTGAGCCTATTGCTATCGTTGGCAGTGCTTGTCGATTCCCAGGTAGTGCTACATCGCCCTCAAAGCTTTGGGATCTCCTTCATGAACCGAGAGATGTGCTGAAAAAGTCCGCTCCTGGACGACTGAACCTTTCTCGCTTCTACCACCCCAATGCAGAACACCATGGAAGCACCAATGTTCCGAATTCCTATCTTCTCGACGAGGATCATCGTCGATTCGACGCCAGCTTTTTCAATATCAACCCGGCTGAAGCAGACGGCATGGATCCACAGCAGCGGATTTTGCTAGAGACTGTGTATGAGTCGATGGAGGAGGCCGGGTACACGCTTGAACAGATGCAAAACTCCCAGACCGCGGTCTATGTGGGAGTCATGACGGGGGACTACTACGATATTCAGACACGCGATCTAGAGACTGTTGACCGATGGTATAGTACCGGCACAGCGCCTAGCATCTTGTCGAATCGGATATCTTATTGCTTTAATCTGAAAGGCCCTTCAATGACCATCAACACTGCTTGCTCCAGCTCGCTGGTCGCTCTTCATCAGGCTGTCCTGGGTCTTCGGAGCGGCGAGTCAAAAACTGCAATTGTGACCGGAGTCAACGTGATTCTTGACCCCGCACTCTATATTGGCGAATCAAAGCTTCACATGCTATCCCCTACATCGAGATGTCGCATGTGGGACAAGGACGCTGATGGATATGCGCGCGGCGAAGGATGCGCATCCATTATCATCAAGCCGTTGATCCAAGCTGTGGCCGATGGCGACAATATTGAGTGCGTTATTCGAGGGACCTCGGTCAATTCGGATGGGCGTTCGCCTGGTATCACCATGCCCAGCCCCGAGGGCCAGGCCTCATTAATGAGGCAGGCGTATCAAAACGCAGGCTTGGATCCTGTGAAGGATCGATGCCAGTATTTTGAATGTCATGGCACTGGCACCCAGGCAGGAGACCCAGTCGAGGCTGAGGCGATTCAAAAGACATTCTTTCCGGAGGGCACCGAATTCAGCGTCAAGGACAAGATGTATGTGGGCTCAATCAAAACGATCATCGGCCACCTTGAGGGTTGTGCCGGCCTTGCAGGCATTCTCAAGGCAGCAATGTGCATCAAGAACCGTACAATCAGCCCCAACCTTCATTTCAACGAGCTGAACCCTAATGTCGCTCCCTTCTGTGACCACTTGAGGATTCCACTACAAAACACCCCGTGGCCTGATGTTGCCCCTGGATCTCCACTGCGTGCGAGTGTCAATTCTTTTGGGTTTGGCGGAACGAACGCACATGCAATAATTGAGGGCTATACTCCTTCTACTTCAACCGATACTCTCTCCCATTGCAGACTGAGTAGTGCGGATAGAGAAGCTGTAGGACCATTGATATTCTCTGCCCAGACGAGAGTCTCCTTGCTGTCAAATATTAAGAATGCTGCGAACTACATCAGGTCTAATCCGTCACTTAATCTCCATGACCTTGCATGGACTCTGAGCACAAAGCGGACGGCGTTTCCTGTAAAGTTGTCCTTTGCTGGTGCTGATCGGGAGGAACTTTTGGCCTGTATGGAGGCTGCCGTCCATGTGGGTGAGGCAGCCCCGGACAGCGAACTGGGCAAATTTACCCGCCCCAGTCAAAGCGAAGCGTGCCGTATCCTTGGTATTTTCACTGGCCAGGGGGCGCAGTGGGCAACGATGGGGCGTGACTTGATCAATTCATCTGACCTATTCCGAAGATCTATCGAGAACTGTGAAAACTCCTTAGCGAATCTGCCTGACGCTCCTTCGTGGTCTCTAAAGGACGAGATTATGGCCAATGAAACATCAAGGTTATCGGAAGCTGCTATCAGTCAACCACTGACCACAGCCATTCAAATAGCCGTCTATGATTTGCTATATGCTGCCGGAGTCAACCTTAGCGCTATTGTTGGGCACTCTTCTGGAGAGATTGCTGCTGCGTACGCCGCTGGGATTATCTCCGCCGAGGACGCCATAAGGATTGCCTATTATCGCGGGCTGCATGCAAAGCTAGCGCAGAGTAAAGATGCGAAACAGCCAGGTGCAATGATGGCTGTTGGGTTGCCTCTTGATGCTGCAAGGGAATTCTGCTCTCAACCTTCGTTTTCTGGGCGTATGGTTGTTGCAGCAAGCAATGCCCCTAGCTCAGTAACCTTATCAGGGGATGCCAATGCCATAAGTGAAGCAAAAGCTGAACTTGATCAGAGGAATATATTTGCACGACTCCTCAAGGTTGATGCAGCCTACCACTCTCACCATATGATCCCATGTGCTAATCCTTATCTGACGTCGTTGAAAGCCTGCAAGATCCAGGTCAAACAGCCCAAGCAGGGTTGCACATGGTTTTCCAGTGTGCGGGGGAATAAGGCTTTACTTGGTCACGAAATTACAGAGGTAAAAGACCAGTACTGGGTGGATAATTTGACCAGCCCCGTACTTTTTTCGCAGGCCGTCACCCAAGCCATTCGGACGAAAGGGTCATTTGACATTGTCATTGAGCTCGGACCCCACCATGCTCTCAAAGGTCCAGTCTTACAGACAGCGAAGTCAATCGTCAACAAGGAGGTACCATACGTATCTGTCCTCAAACGAGGATCGAATGACGTTGAAGCTGCTTCCTCAGCCATGGGATTTGTCTGGCAGCACCTGGGGCCTCGTTATATTGACATTGATCGATATTGCCGCGCTATTAGACAACATCAACCAAGAATGCTGAAAGGATTGCCTAGCTACTCGTGGGACCACAGTAAGGAGCACTGGAAAGAATCTCGGATCTCACGTAGATATCGCCTTGATGATCAACAGCCACATCCGCTACTGGGGAGACGGGCCCCTGACGACTCGCAAAACGAGGCGCGCTGGAGAAATATTTTGCGCTTAAATGAGATCCCATGGCTAAAGGGGCATCAGTACCAAGGACAGGTGCTTTTCCCCAGTTCATGCTACATTACTCTTGCAGTCGAGGCCGCCAGATCTATTGCTGCAGGGCAGTCCATTGCGCTTATTGAAGTTCATGATATCAACATAGCTAGGGCATTGACTTTGGAAGAAAATGGTCCCAGCATTGAATGTGTTACTACCTTGAGGCTATCTTCCAGTTCTTCGAAGACAAGACTTGAGGCAGACTTCTCGTGTGATCTAGGTTCCGATCAAGTTACGACCCTGGACCGATCGTGTACTGCCCGTGTTTCTATCCATTTAGGGAGTCCATCTACAGATGAACTACCACCGAGGTTACAAAGTCAGTCTAATTTGGCACCAGTCGATATAGACGCCTTCTACGAGCTACTTGAGTCCATGGATCTTCGATATACTGGGCTCTTCAGGGGTATTAACTCAATGAGCCGGAGTCTCGAATACGCCACTGCATCTGCGTCGTGGCCAAAGGATGCTCTCAGAGGATATTTGTTCCACCCAGCAGCTCTGGAGTCTTCTTTTCACTCAATTATAGGCGCTTTCACCTCGCCGTTCAGCAATTCTCTTTGGACAACATATTTCCCTGTTAATGTACGCCGGGTCTCTATAAATCCAAATATTCTCTATGAGTCTGCCTCTGGGGACGTACAGTTCGAAGTTGACGCAAATGTGACAGCGTCCTGTGTCAATTTCATAGAAGGAGACCTTTCGCTGTTTAACAAGGACGAGAACCCGATCGTCCAGATAGAAGGGCTGACTTTGAAGTCCTCCGGGGGGGCGAATTCCTCGAATGATCGCAGACTGTTCTCACACACTGTGTGGGAGAGTGATCCGTTCGGGTCCTCTGTCGAGATGAATCAGCCCCAACCCGAACTAGAGGAAAAGCAAGTACTGGAACTCGTGGAGAGAACAGCACTATATTATTTCCGGCGTGCTCTACGTGAGATTCGACCTCGTGAGATTTCTGGATTTAAAGACAGTCGCAAAGCCTTCTACAACGAAATTCGACATGTCGTGGAAACAGTTAAAGAGAATGGACATGCTACCGCAAGCCCGAAATGGCTTGACGATTCAGAAGAATACATTATAAGCATGTTCCAAAAGTTCCGCGGACAGGCCGAGCTGGAGTTGTTGCATCCAATTGGCCAGGCTCTGCCAGCTATTTTGCGTGGTACCACTGACCCTTTTGAGAAGCTATTGGAAGATGACGTTTTGGACCGCTGGAACATCTACGGTACTACGTTCCGTCCAATGTGCAAGAGCATGTGTGATTTTATCAAGCGTGTCGTACATAAACACCCTCATATGGACATCCTCGAGATTGGGGCAGGGACTGGCGGAGCCACGAGACAAGTGTTAGAAGCAATCGGGGATAAGTACACATCATATTGCTATACAGATATCTCTGCAGACCTAGTTGAAAAAGCCACTGAGAAGTTCCCTCACCATGCACGCAAAATGGAGTTCAAGGCCGTCAATATTGAAAGAGATGTTGTTGAACAGGGTTGTGAAGTGGGTAAATATGATATGGTCATCGCTGGCAATGTCCTTCACGCAACACACAACTTAAGTGAAGCCCTTCAACAGACACGATCTCTATTAAAGCCTGGTGGCTACCTCGTCCTGCTGGAAATCACTGGCGAGATGATGCTTTTCCTACTGTGTGTCATGGGTTGCGTCCCAGGGTGGTGGCCTCGATATGACGAAGGCCGGCAACGCCAGCCAGGGGCCTCGCCTACGGAATGGGATAAACTCCTGCGCTCAGCAATGTTTTCCGGTGTCGATGGAATTGCCCACAACTTGCCGGATCCAGTGGCCCATTGTTTCTCGGTGATCGTCTCACAGGCTGTAGATAACTCGTTGCTGATGCTTCGCGAGCCGGTAGTACTGAGGAGCTTAGAGCCGACAGCAAAGCAGGTGCTAATCCTTAGTGGAAAAACGCTGCCAGTGTCCCGTCTAGCGTATAACCTGAAAAATCTCCTTACTTCGTCTGGTGCTTCGGTCAAGGTCGTGGACAGCATTGAAGGGTTGAGTAAGGATGGTCTAGGTGCTGAAACATCTGTGATATCTGCTACTGAACTTGATAAGCCGCTATTCGCCAACAAAGTCACGTCAGAGAGGCTCGTTGCGCTACAAGATTTATTCAGGAATGCGAACAACATCCTCTGGCTAACCGCTGGGCGTCTGTCCCATCAGCCACATCTGAATATGACCGTAGGACTTGGACGAGCGATTGCTTCTGAGCGACCAGATGTCAGTCTTCAATTCTTTGATGTCTCAGATATTGCCTCGTTGTCTCCCACATCTATTCTAGAAGCATTCATGCGACTTGCGTGGTCGCGACGGGCAGAAGTTACTGGTGGTAATATACTGTGGACAACTGAACCCGAAGTCCACTATGATGGTCAAAAAATATTCATACCACGTCTCCTGTTGGATGATGCTGCAAACGAGAGGTATAATGCTTCCCGTCGACCATTGTCTCGAGAAGTGTCTATGGACCAACAACTCCCGGTTGAGATCAAACTCCATACTACAGGTGGGGATGAATTAGTGTCTGTGAAAGAATCTTCCAGACATTACCAAGAAACGGCAGGCTATGTGAAAGCCAAAGTGAAGTTTTCAATTCCACTCCTCGGGCACGTCTCAAAAAGGTCATTCATGTGGCTTGGTACCTTATACAACGGGAAATGCAAAGCCATTGGCATCTCGGAACACGACTCCTCGATTGTTCAAGCGAAGCTAGACGACATACACATCCTACCGGGCGAGGTAGAAGCTAACCCTGAATTTCTGAGGGCTGTTGCTAGCCATTTAATTGCTAACATAATAGCTGCTTCTGCAGGCCCTGACGGTGCTACTCTTTTGTACGAGCCTCATGGCATCCTTGCTACCGCCATCAGCAGGAGTAGTCACTGGCACGGACGTCAAGTCTATTTTGTATCCAAGTCGGTGAAAACCGAAGCAGGGTGGATACCAATCCATCCACGATCTTCTCGCCGTGCAATTGAAAGGGCTTTACCAAAAGGAGTGACTTCCTTTATTGATCTATCCGTGTCGACTGATGACCAAGTAAGGCCAATTCTATCTAGCATCTACGGCAGGTTGCAACAGGTAGACTACACCATTAATAAGGAGTGTGTGTCTCTTTCCGAAAGAGAACTTATTGGCGAGGCCTTTACAGAGGCAAAAGCTACCTCGGCCAACTTGGTCCTAGACTCTGCAGTTGTCCTCACTGTCAATAAGCTCTGTGGGTTATCAGCCTCAACCTATGCCTACCCTATGGTTATAGACTGGGATACGTCGACTCGAATGTCTGTGGAAATCGAACCCGTCAGCGCAAATGCATTATTTTCATCTTCCAAGTCCTATTTCATGGTTGGAATGACCTCCCCGCTAGGGCTGTCAATTCTCTCCTGGATGGCAAGAAGCGGAGCCCAATATTTTATTCTTACTAGCCGAAAGCCACATATTGACCCGCTTTGGCTTGACGAGATGTATGCTCTTGGGGCTTATGTGAAGGTTATGCAGATGGATGTGGCCGACAAAGAATCTGTTCGTTCCGTCTACGCAGATGTACATGAGACGATGCCACCAGTTGTTGGAGTGTGCAATGCTGCAGGTGTTCTTTCCGACAAGATGTTTGACAATCTGTCCGTCGACGACTTGGAGTATGTATGGGGACCAAAAGTCCACGGCACAATGCATCTCAATGAGTTATTCTCCGAACCTTCGTTGAATTTTTTCATCTTATTCTCGTCTCTTGGGTCTGTAGTTGGTACTACAGGAAATTCAAGCAGTCACGCTGCACACTTGTTCATGTCGAGTGTGGTGCAGCAGCGCAGACAGAAGGGATTGGCTGCTTCCATTATCAATATTTCCATGGTTGTTGATTCTGGATATGTTGCAGAACAAGGAAAGGATATGATCCAGAGTATGAAGAACCAGGGGCATGCACCTTTGTCTGAAGCAGATTTTCTTCATTCTTTTGCAGAGGCTGTTGTTGCAAGTAATCCTCAATCCACGAGAAGTTCCGATATCGTAATCGGATTGGAAATGGCAAAACAATCTGCATTGGATCAGGCAAGACCCCCATGGTACTCAAATCCTCGTCTGTCTCACTTTGTCAGCAATAGCCCAATTCAAGTAGAGAAACGGCCAATATCATCGTCGAAGTTGAGCACAAGGGAACGCCTTCAGAGTTCCCAGTGTAAGCAGGATGGCGTCCAGACACTTCTGGGCTGCTTCTCAGAAAAGCTTGGGACGATGCTCCGCCTTCCGGCGAGCGCTGTTGATACCAATGTTCCGCTTCTAGATCTTGGTTGCGACTCATTGTTAGCCGTTGAAATCAGAGCATGGTTTATCGAAGAGATTGATATTAGTGTTCCAGTGCTTAGTGCCCTGCAAAGTACCGCGGCAGAGCTCTGTTCTGAAGCCGCTGGACAATTCTGGGCACCGAAGACGACCCAGCCACCTGAAGAACAGCATGAAGTGCACATCGCTGGCACTTGTACTCCGACCACCATGGACTTCAGGGAAAGCGAGAGTACAACGTCAGCATCAGAACTAGATACAGGCAAAACAACACCAGTCAGCACTCCATGGGAGAATGTGTCCAGTGAGTTTGCCAGTTCTAGCGTCTCTCAAGGTTTTAAACGTCTCGGTCCGATGTCCCACTCCCAGTCACTGATCTGGTTTTCGAGCAATTACACCAATTCGACTCAATATAACATCGTTTTTTCCTATCAGACCAAGGGAAGCTTCCAGCTGGAAAGATTTAAGCGGGCCCTTAGGCAGGCTGTTTCCCGACACGAGTCGCTGCGCACGGCGTTCTTCGCAGACCCTATCTCTGGTGAGCTAATGCAGGGTGTATTGGAACATCCTCTGCCGTACTTTAAACATGTCAATGCCACAGATCCAGCAGCTGTGTCACGGGAGTTCGAAAAGGAGGAGATGTATGAGTGGAGATTGGAACAGGGCGAGGTCTTCAGAACTACTGTGGTCTCTCTCGAGTCCGGTCAACACACTGTCATCTTCAGCTACCATCACATTATTATGGACGGTGTTAGCTGGTCGCTCTTTCTGCGTGACTTGAAACACGCCTATGAGAAGAAGCCAGCACCAGCAGACGTTACGCAATACCTAGACTATTCAATAATGCAACACCAGGCCATCCGAGATGGTGCATTCAACCATGAGTTGAAATACTGGAAACGAGAGCTATCTCCATTGCCGGACCCGATGCCACTCCTCCCATTCGCCAAGGTGAAGTACAGAATGGCGACTGATAATTACAATTCCCATACCACAACCAGAGAAATTGGAGCTGATCTGGTGGACAAGATCAAGAAGACAAGCCAGACACTCCGAGGTACGGGCTTCCACTTCTATCTTGCAGCCTTGCAGGCATTATTCGCGAGAATGCTGAACATCGAGCACATGAGCATCGGTATAAGCGACGCAAACCGCAAATCGGAGCGGTATGCTAACACTGTAGGGTACTTCATTAATTTGCTGGCCTTGATATTCCACGTCAAGCCAGACGACGCCTTCTCCAGTGTATTCCAACAGACATGTCCAAAGGTCCTATCCGCGTTGGCTCACTCTTCCACACCCTCTAACCATATTATCGATAGTCTCAATATTCAGCGAGATGCTGCTTACACGCCCCTCTTCCAAGTTGCAATTAATTATCGTGTTGGGGAAATGAACAAGATTCCAATGGGTGACGCTGAATTAGACTATCAGCATAGTATACCAGGGAACGCACCTTATGACATGGCGTTCCATGTTACTCACGGTGCGGATGGATCCTGCAGGTTGGATCTTACTTGCCGTGACTATTTGTACACGCCTCAAGATGCAGGTATAGTCCTGGACACGTACATCGGCCTACTTGATATCTTTGCAACGGATCCTTCCGTGTCTGTTCGCAAGGATTCCCCTTCCCTGTCTTCCAGTGCCGCGAAGCAGATTTCTGTGCGACATGCTCAACGTCAACCGATTAGATGGCCAGTCACGATGTCCACACGGTTCCAAGACATGGTTAACAAATGTGGAGATCGAATTGCCATCACCGATGAAACTGGGAAATTTAGCTACTCACAACTTGCTTCGAACCGGAACCGTATTGCCAATGCCCTTATTGAAATGGGTGTCACACCTGGCACAAGTGTTGCGGTAATGTGCGGACCGTCGATGGAGTCTGTGGCAAGCATGCTTGCGATTCTACGCATCGGCGCTGTTTATCTTCCACTCGATCTCAGTATCCCTAAGGAGAGACAAGCGCATATGATTGAAGCATCTTCTGCGACGGTTATTCTCTGCTCTTCATCGACAATTGATAGGGCTAAGGAGCTGGGCACGACTTCTGTCATTAATATCTCTGAGATGTCGATCTACTCGGATATGCAGGTTGATGATCGAGGTGACGGGACATCTCCAGCAATCCTACTATACACAAGTGGTTCGACGGGCAAACCAAAGGGAGTCATTTTACAGCAGATTGGGTTTGTGAATTACTTTGCAGCCAAGGCTAAGGAGCTGTCCCTCGACCAAAGTACCACAGTTTTACAGCAAAGCTCTCTTGGTTTCGACATGGGTATCGCACAAACATTCAACGCCATCCTGAATGGCGGGAGATTGGTCATTGTTCCTCAGGCATCTAGAGGAGACCCCGTCGAAATAGCTAAGTTGATTCGCAGCGAGAATATCACCTTCACGCTGGCTACGCCGTCAGAGTACCTCGTTATTCTCCAACATGGGCACGAGTATCTAAAGGATTATACATCCTGGAAGATAGCTTGCCTGGGTGGCGAGCCGTTTACAGACAGGCTAAAGCTGGAATTTGCCCGGTTAGGTGAGAGAAGCCCTACGATCCAGGATTCTTACGGTCTGACTGAGATATCTGCCTGTACCACCTTCGAGACGATGGCAGTGTCCGAAATTACGCGATCCCAGAGTGTTGGGAAAGCAATTCCCAATACCTCTCTCTATATTGTTGATGAAACTGGAAACGCAGTTGACATTGGTCTCCCGGGTGAGATCTGTGTGGGTGGAATTGGTGTTGGCTTGGGATATATGAACAAGGAGCAAACTAAATTAAAGTTTGTCAAGGATCGCTTTGCTTCGAAAGAAGATATTGCCAAGGGATGGGCCAAGATGTATTGCACTGGAGACAAGGGCCGTTTGCTGGAAGACGGCTCGCTGATTCTTCTGGGCCGCATGGAGGGACAAACAGAAATCAAGCTGCGCGGTCTACGTATCGATCTGGAAGACATTTCGTCGACACTAATTAACTCTGCATCGGATTTGATCTCTTCAGCCATCACCTGCATCAAGGGAGAAGGTGATGATGGAATCCTCGTGGCATATGTGGTTCTTGTCCCTGGACGGACTGCCACCACAGCTGAGCTCCAGCGTCTTTCCCATAATCTTCCTTTACCACAGTACATGCATCCGGCAGCCATTGTTCCTCTGGACAACTTGCCCAGGAATCAAAACGGCAAGATAGACAGAAAGGCTGTTGAGGCCTTGCCGTTTATAGTCACCAACACGAGAGTGCAGCCATCAAAGCGGCTGACGTTGGATGAAGGCGAACTCAAGCTATTGTGGGAGACGATCCTCCCTAGAACAGGGCAGATCGAGCCTGAGTCCGACTTTTTCATGTTGGGCGGGAACTCCTTGCTGCTAGTCAAGTTACAAGGGGTAATTCGCACATCCATGGGGGTCTCGCTGAACCTTCGAGAGTTGTACGCTGCAAGCACTCTTGCTAGCATGGCACTTAAAATCAAGTCGAAGAAAGACAAACTTCCTCCAACGACGATCAACTGGCTAAAGGAGACAACTGTCCCAGAAGAGATCCTTGCCAATGCAAACCCAGTTGACGTCAACAGGAAGCCCAAGGATTCAAACTATGAGATCCTTCTAACTGGCTCGACCGGGTTCCTGGGTAGGACGCTTCTGCGTACTCTACTTGAGAAGCCCATCGTCGACAAGGTCCATTGCATCGCTGTCGAAAAGGGAAGTGAAGACGCCCTACCGACCAGCGATAAAATCGCTGTGTACCATGGGACACTTCTTGAACGTACTCTGGGTCTGTCTGAAGCCCAATATGAGGAACTACAGTCCTGTATCGACGTGGTCATCCACGCCGGTGCAAACGGCCACTGCTTGAATACGTTCACTTCCCTGCGCGCCCCCAACCTCTCCTCGACGCATTTCCTTGCGCAGTTCGCGCTGCAAACCCGCATTCCCTTGCATTACATCTCATCCCCCCGAGTCATCCTCCTGTCCGGAAAAACATCCCATGCCCCAGTCTCCATGTCTCAATACTACCCTCCAACAGACGGCTCCGAAGGATTCACCGCATCCAAATGGGCAAGCGAAGCATTTTTGGAGCGGCTCAATGTGCAGACAGGGTTGAATGTGTGCATCCACCGACCATGCACTGTCGTCGGCGCGCAAGCCGCACAAGAAGACGCACTGAACTCGATTCTCCGATTCTCTCTTCTTATGGGAGCCACCCCAGAGCTCCTCAATATGACTGGTAACTTCGACTTCCAGAAGGTTGAGATCGTAGCTGAGGAAATCGCCACCGAGGTGATGACCATGTTCTTCAAGTCTTCGTCGTCATCGTCGTCGCTCTCGACGTCTTTGCGCTTTTCCCACCACTCGAGCAATCTGAAAGTCCCTGTGCGCAACCTTAAAGGCTACATGGAAATGATACACAACCGACCGTTTGAGCAGTTGAGTTTGACTGAGTGGAATGACAGGGCCACTGCGTTTGGAATTGAGCCTATCATCACGACATTTTTGGAGGCTGTGATGGACGATCCTGAAAAACCGATGCCGTTCCCATATCTAGGACGGGATTATGAGTAACAAAAAAAGAGAGGCGAAAAGAAAGGAGAACCAAAGGATTCTAAAGGTTATGCGCGAATTATAATTATTTTATATTATATAGCCGTTATGAATATCGCATCGGTCCGGGTGATTATCGGGAGGATCGGTGAAGTCCTCGCTTATATATGTCTTCCCATAGACGAATTCCTATATACTAAGTACGCTCATACAATTCAATGGCATAGTTCGCTCTATTTAATGTCAATTCCCCTGACCTACAGTTGATTCACAAAAATGGCAAAATTTTGTAACATTGATTCACATGGTGATATGCCACGCTCAATTAGATTATTGATCCATTTAACGAGTTCCTTTTGACTGCTGGTTGTAGAGAAGTCGCGGGTTTTCGTACTGATCTTCGCGAGAGCCTTGTAAACGACGGTGGCGCTTTGATAATGTTGGCCGTATAACTCCGTGAATTTTTCGCTATTGCTGCATAATTGAGCTGTTCAGTTGGCATTAGTAATTCTATTTCTGCGAGAGCTGCTTTAATTGAGCCCATATTGGTGGTGTCGTGGTCGTTTGAAATCTTGTTGGAGCATATCGCCAAGCATGGGCGCCTGCCCCCGGTTTCGACCTCGCTTAGTCATCATTTATGTAAGCTAGCTTTTAGTCACGTAAGCGGTAACTAAACGGGCTGCGCATGTAAGCGAGCTGCGCACCTCTCCCGGTTGGCGAAAAGGAAGCCATTTAAAAACACCCAAAAATCTGCATTTCTATATAAAAACTAATGTCTATTGTGATTAGGACATGTATTGATTTTATGACCCTGAATACCACAGCCAGAACACTTTGGTGGCGCCCGTACACGTCGCTGAGTTGTAGATGGCCCTGCATCTACTGGTATAGTATCTTGAGCTTCTTGGGCCTTATTCCGCTGCTGTATACACTCCTCGGCCTCTTTGGTAGAAAAGCCCTTTGCAGTAGCTATTTATTGCTTAGATTGCTTTTTCTTTTAATGTCTTGTTTTATTTAAAGCTCGATAATCCCCTAATTCTTGACGTGCAAGAATAGCTTTATTTAAAACTATTTTATGCCCTTTGATAATCTTGTCTAATCGTGTTTCCAAAGAAGCTGAGGGGCTTCGTGTATGTGCTTTAAGCCGCCTTTTTATTATAGATACTTGCTTCTTTAATTGCTGAGAATTGTAAGGTGTTTTGGGTGCTGAATTAGTTGATCGACTACCTGGTGGTGTAGGAGTTTTTAGTTAAATATTAGGCTGTTTTAAAGCTCTTTCTGGGTTAAATAAAACCAAGCCAGTTCCTGAAATGCCACTTTTAATATTCTCCTCCTTTAAAGCCTCTGTACGGGCCTTGGGATAGGCTTCAAGAAAGTCAAACTTGTCGATATAGTTAAAACCAAGTCATGCCTTGTCTTTAACCAGCTTTCCATACGCGCGCTTTAACGGCCCAAAACAACCAACATCAAGTGGTTAAAGAAGATGTGATGAGTGCGCTGGCATGTAAATTAAAATAATATTATTCTTACTGCAGATCTTACCAAATCAAGGAGTTAAATGGCTTCCATGGCCGTTAAGAACTAGCA